TAATATTGCACAATGAGGCACAATAGACACTTGGAATGGGATAGGTCCATCGTTTGTTTCCGTATCCCAGGGGCCCCCTGTTAAAAAAAGCCCATATACGTGCACCGATACTTTCCACTGAAATTTTCTCTAAATCTCTCTCATGTATGTACGCATTCAGAAAACTAACGTTTTGAATTATATCCACATCCACAAATCCGATTCGTATGGAAGTGATTTTGTTAATCATCAATACATCCACAAACCTGTCTCTGTTCTATCTCGTCCCCCCAAAAAACATTGTTGTCCAAACACCTAAAGGATGTCCGGAAATAAAACAGAAAGTCAGATTTGTTGGATTTTCACTTTGTCCTCCCACCGTACGTACGTATGTATATGAGGATGATGTTGTTCCTCGAGAATGGAGACTCACGGGAGACAATTTGTTCCGCATTTTTGCCTTGATCAATGGCATCAGTGAATTGTATTATCCTCTCTGACTTCAAAATAACATCCAACATCTTTCACTCTTGTGTGTCTCTCCAACGAGTGTGAAAAACAAACAGACCTAAAACTTTTATCGTTTACCAGACTTGCTCTTTTTTCCACTGCAATGCTACGAACGACATTTGTTATACGTGTCCATTTTAATTTATGGACATACAAATATATGTATGTCGCTCACTGCAAACCCTGCAAATATCCATCCATGCACCAACTTCCCTATATGCAGATTCAATTTATGACGTTATTCAAAATTTAAGTTTAACTGAATAAAATAAATGACTCAGATACCAATATGCAGGAATTTTTGATGTCTCGCCCATGTATTTACTTGAGCACGACAATAATAAGTGCGTAACAGAGCAGCAACTTTTGGTTTCCCATATAATACTGATTGTCTATGTGTGGTTTCCCATATAATACTATAGTATGCTTTCATTGCATGCATTGCATCGTTAATACCACATAAGGACGACAATTGTATTGACCAATAACCTTTCCTGGTCAAATCGTATTATCAACTGCAGACCAAATAATGAGATTTTTATTTCCAAGTTTGACGAGGTGGTCCCTTGGGATTAAATTAAGGAAGCCTTTGGCTTTCCCTGCCTGTACCACTGCCAACTATCGCTTTGCTTTGTTGGGTGGGTCGGCCGGCCGTCAGTGTGCGTGTAAATGTGGTGGACCTGAGGATTCTATTATTCCACCTTAATTGTCCATGCCAGCCAACCTTCTCTAAAGAACAAACCAACCCAGTATTCAAATCAAGTCATAAATAGGCTCATTTTCAGCGTGAGAAGCCTTACTTGAATTTTTTTGGAAGGCACACTTCATTTTTTTTTAGCTTATTCATTGAATATGTCTGTGCTCACACCCGAAAATTGGCACTTTCCTTTCATTTTCTCTCCGCATTTTCCCATTTTTATGGAAATTCACTTTTTATGGAGAGGAACCTTTATTCGACTGCTGTGCTTTTCCAACCATCGCACCACTTTATTATCGCAGTGGCACAAGAGGAGATCGGGCTCGGGAAACCTAATAAAATTACGCATTCTACCATGATCTAACCATCTTATTTAGTACATCGTTGTGCTCTCTGACAAGGGAGTGAGCCCGTTTGTTGGCGATGTAAGGGTTTCAGTGAGCATAACGCCACTAAATTACTTACCTCACCTTCATAACCAAACTGACTGAATCGGCTCTCACTTCATAAAGATATGTATCATGGAACCAGGAATATAGGAAACATCGTTATTAATACTATTGAGCTGAATTTGATCATAAATCTGTACAAAATTACATAAATGCAAATCTGTGGTTTGATTGGATCCCTGAGGATGGGGGGCTGTTGGCGGAGGACGTAGATAAAATCAAATCAAAATTATTGACGACTCACTGTTTTATTATCATTGGGAGAGAAATCCATGATGCTCCGCTGTTGCGTTCCTAAAATAATGAGTCGAGCAAGTAGAGTGTGAATGAATTGTGAAGTGAGATTTCAATTATGGAAATCGGTCTGATAAAATATTTCATTTTCTCATTTCGTCCCTTCGGCTATACGTACAATATGTACCACCTCGGATATTCACTTACTCGCCACTCAATTTTAGTCAGTATAAATAAATAGTTGCCTGTCGAGCATTATAAGAGGGTGATACACAGATATTATTTCCCACCATTTAGATATCTATGTATATATGCACATTCAACGCATCTTATAATTTTTAGTGGTTGGGATTTGGGAAGTGAAACATTTAAAAAAACTGCAGAATAATTGAAACATTCATTTAATCACTTAAAATATAATCCAGAAATATGTAGATAAAAAAAAATTGAAACCACTACAATTTATTGTTCCACTTTTGATTGATGTCATGATTCAATAATGTCATAATGATTCCATGCAGATAATGGATTTATTTTAGCCAGCACAGGAAAGATGGTATTTGCTACGTATGTGTACTTTGGACGTGGTGCTGTAATTTGGAGACGGAAATGACACATGCACTTACAGGAAGAAGGCAGGAAGGGAGAAAGGTGCGTTGCTTCCAATAACTAACAAACATAATACACAATAATAACATCATTATGACGACGATGGGAAAGCGCTTTGTTTGCTGAGCAACTCTATTACACGTACCGAAAAGCGGACACTCCTTGTAATTTACTTATCCATAATTCATCAAGCAATAAATATCCGTATTATCTTGTCTTTGTCAGGCAATTCTATCGTTAGTTGGGATTTTTGAACAATGCAACAATGTGTATCGGCTATAAAGCTTCCACTACATAAATGTCCTTTTGAAGAAATTTAATGCCGTTTTCTCGTCGATTTGTAGTCCTATCATAGATACACACCTACATAATCTGAGGATAAAATCAGTCTCTATATTTTTATAATGCACCTTCATTCCCAAAAAATTGTGGCCGCTAATCAGTGCTACGTCGTTCACCATGCAAACACATTTTGTGTACACTGCACGTGCTTCTCAACCAGTAATGATCTCTCTATCTGAACAACAAAAGTCTTCTTTTTATTGCTCTTCGTTCATATTTACAACAACTATAAGGGTTGCTCCCTTTCTCACTCAAAAGGGTCAAAAGGCTGCAGTGCATTTCATGTGGACATATGCTCTATTTCAAATCGGCTAATTCGTAAATAGAAAGAGGACATCAATATGAGACACAAGTTCGGCGCTTGCCATCTCCATTCGCCATGATATTTTCCATGGCCTTGGTTTGTGAACCGTTCAATCAGTACTTAATTCAACACGGAACATTAAGTTGATTATTTGTTGTTTGCCATTTATTACACACACGAACAATTTCATGCCTTGTTCTTCGTTTCAATTTATTTTATCTTGGAATCAATCTATCCATACTGTCCGTACAACCTGTGTAGCTTGCTTCAAGCAAGCAAGCCTGCTGGATCTTCATTATCCTCATCTCAGGAATATATGCTATACATGTAGCGAGATATATGTACATACATATGTACGTACGTATGTATAGCTAATTGAAATGTCTGTTTCTGAACAGGGTTTGCAAACTACATATAATCACTTGCGATTAGATACATATGAAAACCTTTGCACAGTACTGTTCGGATATGTCTGGTTGCATAATGATCGGAAAGTACGTAGGTATTCGGCATTGTTAAACCGATGTCCATCCAGTTTTATTCGTAGGAAAGAGTGATCGAACTTTCCGTCCCATCCGTATTTATTGCATGACTATCTAGGACAGTGGACAATCGTTAAGTCTCTTGAACCGGAACACCCTAGCTTTCTCTCCATTAAAGTCAATGGTCACCAGTGGACACATGCGATCAAATTAGAAACCCTTCCTTGGCTCCAATTCAAGAAAGATTTATGACAGTTCAACTCATGGACGGACACTTGAACCGCTTTCAAAATTGTACAATTATTTCTCATCAGCAACGCTTTGCTATGATTTAATATTTATTTTTAAGGATTACAGTCAAAACAAGGCTACGCTAGCTTCATTTCTTTCTTGGAATAAGAAAAAGGTCGTAATCTTACAGAATTAATTGTAAAATAATTAGTTTTTAAGCCCTGGGGACATCTCAGTTCTCGTTCGGTGAGCGAGCTACTCGTTCTTTACGATTATTCAATTATTCCTAAGAAATGATAATTAGAATTTGTAATGAAAATTAATTAGTCATTAATTGAATAGTCGAGCCATGGCTTATGGAACAATCAGGTCCGTCAGGTCCGTATCGGTGATGTGTAAAGACGCAAAAAGTGAGAAAAAGTGCAATTTTTACGCATATTTTGATTTTTCCTGAAAAATTTTGAAGGTGAAAATGGGGGTTTTTTATGTATGTAGAAATGATTTACTCATTAATACCTTCGATTTGATATGAGTCGACCCTAGATCATTCACTTTGAAAAACAGGGATTTAGGGTACCAAATGGTAGGTAAGTTTAGTGAGTGAAGTATTCCGGTACTCGCAAATGATAAATAAATATCTGAACCCAGGAAGTTCAATAATGAAACTTATCTACTTATCTACTAGTAATTAGTAGTTACAATAACAATGAAAACTCGTTACATACAAACCTGTGGAGCTTTTAAAATGAGACGATTTTTTAGTACCAAGACTCTAAACTAAATGTAATTTTAATTTCAAGTCATAATAATATATTACAAAACTAATACTTACAATGCAACCAGGGACACAATGATAATACGCTAATTTGCTACATACATATGGGTTCGGATCAGTGAACTAGAGAATCTAACTTTTGGCTTGGTTGACAAAATGCAAAATTTGATGCAAACGCTCGATAATGCCAAAATAATAAGTTTCAGCCAGGAGATTTCCTAAGCCAAAACATCCAATTCAAACGACTATGAAAGCGTTGCATGAAATGGACTGCGAATCTGAGGATCAGGCTTGGAACAAAGTTGTTGCTGCTGCTGATATTTTTGCCTCGAGGCTCGACGACTTCTCTTTATTGCCATTTTTGTTGTTGGGCAAAAGTGGTGATCTGAGAATCTCTGCTGCGCAGCCCTCGTTTGTTGTCATCTCCAACCCAGCGAGAGAAGTGAACTTGCAAAAACAGATGATAATCAACAAAACGCACTTTTCACAGTTTCGGACTACTTTCAGCTGCTCCTCCTCATCTGCTAACAATACCATACACAACCTTCCACATTTTTAAGAAAGTCAGGTAAGAAAATCACTCCAATTAGTATTTAATGTTTGCAATACATGCAGAACTAGATGGTTGGTTATAGGATGTGTATGAATGGCTTGAATATTGTGTACAATTTCACTGAATCTCACTCATATAACAATACTAAATAAATTTTATATTTTGACATCTGTTTCGCAGGTTGACGAGTTGCATCAGTACCAACATAACACTGGACTGGGAGTCATAAGACTCAGGCGAAGAGGTGCAAACAGACTATTTTCGACACTTGGCTCTTCTGACTTTTTTTGGGTCAGCGACTCAGCGTCAGAAGCGCGACCAGGACAAACCTTTATTTGGTTTTTTCAGTCGTCCGTCGTGACAGAAAAGTGAGAACTTGCTTGGTTCCTGTTGTAAAGTTGACCACAATGAGATTTGAAGGGTCGGATGGTGAGATATTTTTTAAATTTGTTTTGAATAATTTAAGATAACAGGAGAGTAATAATATTCTTGTGTATTTTATAGATGTGATGCGATACATTCAACATCGCATTGGAAGCGATATGGACAACAATGGTATTAACATTCTGATCACAGGATTCGGACCTTTCAGAGAACACGTTGTGAATGCGTCGTGGCAATGTGTAGCAAGTAAGTTCATTTCAGAACATGCTTTCTAATATTAGTACTCACCTTCCTCAATTTTATTACCGAGATATAATGTTTGATGTTGCTGTGCCGTGCAGGGATTCCTGAAAAAGGGATAACGGTTCCATCCAATATCAATCCGGACACCCCAATTAATTTAATTCTGTACGAAATTCCTGTGGTGTATAAAAGTGTAGCTCGCATAGTTCCGCAATTATGGGCAAAACATTCGCCTGACGTGAGTTAATCTTAGGATATTAAATAAGTATATATCTATATCATATTTTGAAGATAATATTTAAGGACATGATTTTGTTTTGTTGGTTTACATTTAGCTGGTTATTCACGTTGGAGTGTCAGGGATTGCTAAAGCAATTACGATTGAACAGGCGGCGCACAATTGTGGGTATTCATCCACCGACATTGTGGACAGTGTAAGTGACATATAAAGTAAATTTGAGTCGTTGTAAACATATTTTACTTCCAAACAATGTTTAGAACGACAATGATCAACATATTTCTTTTATGCATACACATCAACGTTGGACTGTATAAGTTTAATACAATTAATACTTTGTATAATTAGATCCCGGATGGAAATGTTTGTGTCGTGGATGGATGTGATGTGATGGAATCTGGTAAGTGGTCATTGTAGACACTAAGCTGTTTTTTTGCAATAAATCTACACATGTACTTTAAACTGATTATTCGAAATTTATATATAATTACTTTAAATGCCAGGATTCGAAATGCGAGATGTAGTTAATCGTATTAATTGCACGGGTTCTGGGGTGCATGCTGAACTATCTTATGATCCTGGCAGGTAATATCAATATTAAAAATAAAATGAATTATACAGTCCATTAGTTGATAATGATTTTATGATAATAATGAACTAATTAGTTTGCGTCTCTTTTGATAGATATTTATGCGACTTCATTTACTACCAGTCGTTAAACATTAACAAGGTAAGGGGTACAGTAAGTGACTTATTCACTAATAATTCTTCATTAATCGTTAATATGAAAATGAATCATTAAATATAAAGGACAGAACTGCGTTCATCCATGTCCCACCGTTAGGTAAATAAATAAATGCATACCCTCAACCGGGTTATTTTGGAGAAGGGCATATGGTTCCTCTGAAATTAATGCTTTGGTATCATTAGGTAAACCATGGAGTGCTGAAGAAATGACGGATGCCATTCGCATTTGTATAACTGAGCTTTTGTACCAGCTACAAGAGCGAAAAGCATTATCTTTATCAACATCATCAAGAAGCAGCAATGAATCTTTCAATTTGGAACAAAATAGACTTTGATTTTCATGCTTTACTAACATCAAATAGTATTGCATGGTCTGTAAAATCGTTGTAATTGATCGTAACTTATATTTATTATTCGATTCTATAGTTTAATAATGACGTACAAGTGTGTATTAATAATGACCATTCTGTTTTGCGTTGATTTATAACTATTATATATAACAGTGCACATAATATAATATTAATATATGAATATGTAAAGCCTCCTGTCATGCGTGTGTAGATTTTATGACTTGCTAAAGAGGCAATGCAACAGAACAAACCCATCTTTTATGTTTGTATTATGATATTTTAACTAAAATGAAAAATTCATTTTTAGTAACAAGTTTATACAGTACGAAAAATACCAAAGTTCAGAAAGTCCGAAGATTTATAATATAGCGACAATGTGTATATATATAGTGGATTAGCGGGTGTATTGTTAACTATTTAGTGTAGTAAGAAATAATAAGACTTAAAGTTGGGTGGGATGTTGTATACACAAGCGACTAATAAATACTATAGATAGCTGGTTACCTTCAGTGCTACACAGTTCTTGCCTAAAAATGAAATATGTATGTATGAACAACAGGCATCAGTGAATATTTAGATTAAGGATTAATGAATTACTCGTAAATATTGATAGATGTGAACTAAATTCGCTTCATTAATCACTCGGGTAGTGTGTTAAGATTATTTTATATTTATGAAATAGGCAGACTAAAGGTTAATAAACGTTTACATGTGCTCATGATTTAAAGTGTATCATATATGTACCGTGTATGTAACTTGGCAAATGTATTATTGCCACTACAATACTGTAGATAGTTTGTAATATTTTGATATGGAACTAGAACCCTCATAAATTGTTAGAAAGAAAGTATTAGGACAGTGTTTGTTTTGAACTAATGTGATTCTGTTGTGAAGTTGGAGCTAAAATTGATAAACAAACAATGCGTCTGCTGGGATAGTGAAGTGCAACTAGTAATTTTCGCGTAGTAAGACGCTACCCATCTTATGCATTTAGACAAGTATGTTTAATTCCATCTGACATGCGACTATCAGTTGAGCCTATTATATAATAAGAATAATAAATACATACCAAAGAAGAACACCGTTGAACTGGAATGATAATGACCACTTGCATTTTTATTTTGCATCTATTTATTCTTCTGTATATGATGACTAATAATTTTATTGACATGGCGCAACGACTAGATCAAAATGTTTTTCATTGAAAAATCAATGCTTTTATATCATTAACCATTTTTAAGAGGTGAATTGACTTTTCATCATTGCAACTAAGCATTTCTTCCTCCGTAGATTGTTTAAACTCCCACCGTTTCTCCAACATTTTTGCAATCACTGATTTATGAAGACCGAGTTTACATTGGCGAATTGTTTGAACCCAGTCTAAGTTCTTAGAGTCCCACAAAATCTAGAATAACATAATTCACAACTCTTTTAGCATTTTGTACATATGTGATTTTGTATGTATGTATGTATGTAAGCAAACCTCATCAAAAGTCCTATACTTGTTTACGTAGTGGAAATCATGAATAATATTAACATTGGTAAAATGAGTACGAATCCGTGGAGCGATTTTTAGGAGATTCATGTTGAGTTTGATTACTTCAGGCATCGATTTGGAATTAGGAACGGAAGGAGTCTTGTCCTTAGATTTAACGGGTGGGTGAATCTTTCCACTTTTGACACCTTCCTTATTTCTCGTTCCAGTAATAACGGTTTGCAACATGGTTCCATGGCTCAGAATAAACCAATACATGGCACGCAGTGCAATTTGACCTTCGACATTTTCCATGAGAAAGTCGGCCTTCAAGTGAGAGATGTCGCACTCCATTGCAAAATCGGTCATAATGTCAGAACTAATTGTGGTTTTGTCGTGGTTTCCTTTTGTGTGTTTCATCCTGCGATAATAATTTATTTTAATTTGAATTATCTATACCAATATATTAATTTGATTACATTGATTCCATTTGAGTGATCAGCCTGTGAACAACTTGGTCAAAAACAGGATCATCGAGGTAGCAAAGCCTAAATAAGCAGATGGTACAAATATGTAAGCCTGATACTTAGCCTATGAAAAAACTAATTATTTTACGATAAATTTCCAACCTTTCAGCAACAGATAACAAGCAAGGGTCCAAATGATTTGATACAGAAGGAACTGGAGAGGGTTGTCTCTTATTAGTCGACCGACTCTTTTTATCGTTTTTAGCAGGAGGGACTTTAGACTCATTTTTCGGCAGGATTACTTCTTCTTCTTCAATGATTGAAGTGATAATTCCGGTTCCAAGATTGAGAAGCATGTACAATGCCGTAATCACAAAGTGAACTGGAACATTATTCCTGGAATAAATTGGAAGATTATTACCTATCAACTTCATGTTTATTAATTGAATTCCTTTACCTGACTGGAATAAATTTTCTGGGAATTAGATCATCCATCTCTTCGCAAACCATGAAAAATCCTCGGGGGATTATACTATTCACTTCCGTGACGCTGTTGAGCAATTCTATAACCTGTAAATATACATTTAGATATATAAATACATACTATGTGCATGGTCTGAAGATTAGACCATTAGATGAAAAAACCAACCCATTGGGTTAGAAGCTCTTCTTCTTTGTCAAGACCAACGTTTAAAGCGGTGCTGACTGAGCCTCGTCTAGTGGACGGTTTCTGATTAGATGAAGAGGTTGCGACATCAGCATTCGTGTTGATATCTTTCATAAGTGAAGGGGGATTTGCTGATGATGTAACAGTGTGCTTACCACACGGTTTGTTCACATTCTCTGATATGACTAATATCAAAGACTGCACGCACTAAATATTTGAAGGCAAATATAAATCAATTGTGTTGAAACAGATTGCATTTATTATTCCTTGATAATGTTAGTCAATAAATCATAAATAATAATCCATACCGTTTTCAAGACAGGTAGGAGCAAGTCTACTAAACTTTGGAACCAAACCGGCCGCTTTTTGCAATTCCATATTTGAGTCTTGTCCATAACACTCCAATCTTCTATTAATGAGAGAACGGGCCGATATACTTGTGGTAAGACATTCCAAGCCAACCCATGGGCAATGATATACAAGGCACACGCGGACGCAACATGATTTGGTAATGTTTTCGGAAGTCCATGGCAGTCTGGATCCATACAGGAAGTATTGTTACACCGAATGAATCCATGCCCTTCAAGCAGGAAATATCCAACAGGGGCAGATATTTTAGGAAATAGCGTGAGTATGAACGATCCAATGAAAACTTGATGCATTGTTACAACCTATAATAACACAGAATATATATAGTAACACTAGAGAATAATACGTGAATGTAAAGCAGTAGTTCACTCTAAGCACCTTACCTTATATACCAAGGGAAAGTTGATGGAAGGCAGGGCACATAACAATTTAAGGTTATAAAGTAAATCCCAGTCAGAATATTCCATTCCACTTGGATAAAACCTTGGACAGAGTAGGGAAATCACAGACATCCAGGATGGTTCGGTCAAATGCGTTTGAGATTTAGTTCGGCTGTCCATTAAACTGCACGATGATAGACCACGTCTGAAATTCTTTATAAAAACATTGCATGAGTGAATTTACAAATTCAACCTAGCAATTGTGAATATCTAAATTAATTACTTTGTAAAGGACTTCTAACGGACAGCCCACTGTCAGTAACGCCGATGCTAAACAGTGGCATTTCATGTGTATAGAAAATAGTATTTTTGAGCTTGAAGGATTCATTTGTCCACAAACGCTTGCCAAATCTGGAGATATGTAAAACAGAAGCTCTTCTACTCCACATAGCACATTCAGGATATCGACAACATATTGCGGAGTTGTAGCCTCAGTGGGTCTAATCTGTAAATTCAGTTTACACAAATACATAATACTATTTTTATCAAACTTGCGGTTAAAAAATGTGTACATTCATGTAGCGGGTTCCCAATATACCCAAAGAATCATTTACGATAATGGCCAAAATTCTTTGAGCAAGCTGTGGAGGCATAATGGACCTAGACCAGAGTCGTTGACAATAAAATTGTCACAAGTAATTCAATTCAATATTACTTACCACATGTCTCTTTGCATTCCTTGAAATTAAAGCAACAAGTTTTAATTCAATTCTCAAATTAAAATAAATTAACTTTATTACCTTTTAAGAAATACATCCACATGGGCACAACAGGACTTCCTCGTTCACCTTTTTTTACCGTAATACATAATAAAGATTATGACCCGTAAATGATTATAAACTAATGATCACCTTCATAATACGGTCGATGGCTCGAGAAACACTGAGATTGTTCGTCGTGAAGTATGAATGCTGTCAACAGATTTCCAAAAATTTGTAGCATTTGCTCGCTTAAAATTTCCGTCAAATTGCAAAAAATTTTGTATTCCGCTTTAAGCTTAGACCTAGAGAATTAGCATTTATTAGAGAAATTGTGAGTAAAATAAATTCAATTATTTAAAAAAGTACTTGTTATCTGCTTCCAACATCTCAAGAAACACCCAAATGTAATTTCTTATCATAATTGCGTTACTGGTTATTACGTACAAATTTTCTAATCGGCCAGTACTCGTGACTTCATCCATGCAGGCAATAATATGACTCCGGATTTTAGGAGTAGCTGCCAAAATAGCATTGATGAACCTATGTATTGCGAAACATTTACAATGATTACAATTTTTCACAAAGTGTGATATAGTAAGTACGTGATTTAAACTTTCAAGTTATTTAAATGTCTTACTGTTTAACAGTGAGCTCATCTCCGCGAAACGGCATTTTTCCTATTCGATCATTTTTAGTAACGTCTTTTTTAAAAACACCGTAGGCGTAAGGCTTGGGAATTTTATTCTTAGTTTCTCTCATAAAAGCATCCAGGTAAATATCAATTGCTGTCGTAATGTCAGAAAAGTCATGGGAAATCATCAAGGGATAATCTACAATTTTCATAAAACGTTATCAATAACAAATCCTCCAAGAAATCTAATATCATAATTGTATCTCGTAAATTACGAGTCGTAATAAGTAAAATGCAATATTGTTGTGCAACCTTACCCAGTATTCCTCCAGCCAAGTGACTGCAAACTATAGATTTAACATAACATAAACATGTACATATACATACGTGTAATGCATACAAATTTTAACATAAAAGTTAGATAATATATTAACAAAATTAACATAGTACACCTTTAATAATTACCTGTATCTGTCTCCAGCTCATCTTGTTGCAGACGATCTCGTTCCTGTCCTAAATTTTTGTCTACAAAATCGAGGAAATTCTTTTCGCCCAAAAATAAATCGGTGACTTTGAATGCAGCCATTGTGAAAGATTATTAGTCATCAAATTGTAACATATTACAATCTCCTTATCAATTTTACAAGCAGTGTATATTTGATGTCCTCAGATAAAATTTAGTTCATTTTGTTTGAATATTACAATATTTTGTAAAATCTACACTATTTAGCCCAACAATCTTGGGAATTTCCGCGTCAAGTAATTTATACAAGGAAACACCATCATGCCGATAAATCCACGTCTTATTAATATAATCGTAACGTTTAGGACCACTTGTTGGCGACGAGAGCCATATCTGACGATTTGGCGTTTGTTTATTAATAACATAGGTGCCGTGTTTTCCCAGTTTGATTGTTAAAACCCCACTCTGCAAGAGAATATCGAAAAAATCAAAAAAATCAATATTAATTATTTAATATCTTTGACCACCACTCCTTTAGGGTTGCTCCACGATGGTAATGAAGGTGATTCGAAATATCGAGTTTTTTTAAATCCTTCTAGTATGTGTTGGGGGACCCTAAAAGATGGTCAAAAACCGTTGTCCGCGATTTTTGAAAATTTCGGTGGGGGCGGTAGGAGGGGGAGTGGCTTTTGTTGAGATCCCACTTTTACGCGCCCGGTTTTGCACGTAGGGACTTCAAATTTTGCACACACATACCTTGGGAAAACCAAATTGCGGACCTTTTTTTCTTTTTTTGAAATAAGGTCTTGGTGACCGTGTGCAGGTCAAAATGCGCGATTCGTTATTTTGGTCTTAAAATGGTCATGTGGGGTGTCGTTGGAAAGCTAAGGACTGTACGAATGCTTCTGAATCACTTTCGCACCCATCTGACCTCAGCGGAAGGTCATAGCGCCGTTTTAAGGTCACAATAAATAATTATTTATTTTGCCTTTGTCATATTTGAATGTTTAGTGCTTAGGTACATACAAAATCTTTAAAATACGAAACATCGAGTCTACGATCTGTGGAATTGATGCACTGCAGTGTTATGAATCATTGTCATTTGTAGTTATCACGATTTCAGTTCGTCATTTTCGACATGAATTTTTTTTGCTTCATGGAATTGTTTTGTGTGAAATACTTGCATAACTATAATCATTCAAGCGTTTTGTACTCTATAAATTCACGAAAAATTTATTTTTGATGCATACAATTTTAAGTTTTTATTATATCTTGTATTTGTTTTTACGCATTTATTAATTACGAAATGTCAAGTATCAAATTGTTATTAATATATGCTGCACAAATTGATGTTTACGTTTATGACCTTTTGGAAAACGGCTTCTACTGCGTTCGAATTTACGCCATTTCAGTGTTGTCGTGATCAATCTTTTTCCCGCAATATAAAACCTACTAGGATACAGATGACGACATATATTGAACTTACACTCCACGGACTTCGGCATAAAATTTCTCGAAGCGATTTTTGCTTCTGACGAGTAGTATTGTCATCCCAATGTAGTACTAATTTCTATAATCAACTTGAATTAAATTTGTTAACTATACATTATTTACATAAATAGATTAATTGTTTATTTTCTATACTTGGGAACACATAACTAGCGCGTGTTTACAGTGTATTGCTTGAAGTCTTCACAAAACTCCACAGCTTTCGCCTCATTTTTTTCAGAACTCCAGGCTGACCGATATTTCGACGACATAACTTTCAGCTGTTTCAATGCTGTCTCTTATATCCTCGGCACCTGGCAAAATATTTTGTCATGTTTCTTAACCATGTCCATAGATTACCTGTCGAACTTAGTGCATGTACAATAATTTTCGTTTCTTACTCACACAGAAAACACAATTGATACTTTTTAGACGTTTCCCAATTAATAATTACGTAAAAACAAATACAAGAAAACTTACAATGCATAAAAAATAAATTTGTCATGAATTTGTTGAGTACAAAACGCTTGAATTTGAATGATGTGTACGAGTAGAGTATAGTTATGCAAGTATTTCGCATAAAACAATTCATGCAGGCAAAAAAATAACATGTCAAACTGAAATCGCGACAACTACAAATGACAACGATTCATAACACTGCAGTGCATCAATTCCACAGATCGTAGACTCGATGTTTCGTATTTTAAAAATTTTGTATGTACGTAAACACTACACATTCAAATATGACAAAGTCAAAATAAATAATTCTTTATTGTGACCTTAAAACGGGGCTATGACCTTCCGCTGAGGTCAGAGGGGTGCGTAACTGATTCAGAAGCATTCGTACAGTCCTTAGCTTTCCAACGACACCCCACATGACCATTTTAAGACCAATCTAACGAATCGCGCATTTTGACCTGCACACGGTCACCAAGACCTTATTTCAAAAAAAGAAAAAAAGGCCCGCAATTTGATTTTCCCAAGGTATGTGTGTGCAAAATTTGAAGTCCCTACGTGCAAAACCGGGCGCGTAAAAGTGGGATCTCAACAAAAGCCACTCCCCCTCCTACCGCCCCCACCGAAATTTTCAAAAATCGCGGACAACGGTTTTTGACCATCTTTTAGGGTCCCCCAACACATACTAGAAGGATTTCAAAAAACTCGATTTTTCGAATCACCTTCATTACCATATCTCGTGGAGCAACCCTTTAGATTTTTGACTTACGCTAAAAGACACATCACCATTATTTATGACGGGAGAACTTTCCAAGATTTCATCAAAGTAGGTGTACAACGCTTCCAGAGTCTCATCCGCAATGTCCTCATACACGTTTTGACTGCAAAGCAACAGAAATAATTACGTGACATTATACAAGTTGTGAATTATAGACAAGCAAAGAAAATGTGTATAAAATAAAATATAATAAAATCTGAATAAAATAAAAATTACTCTAGCTCTTCAGGAATCAAAGGTGTGGAGGCTTGACTTCCAAAATGGAGTAGATTAAAGCCTTTATATAAAAATCGTGTTTGATCGATACATAGTAATCGGGCATCACCAAGACACGTGTTGAGGCTTGATGATGAGCATTTAGCTTTTGTAGAATAATCACACAATTTTTCTCCATTCAAGAAAATCAGGCCTTTTCTACGATAGAAAGTACAAGGGCCAGAAGATTGGGCGAGTGGGGAACCGAACGGCGTTGTGTGTTGACACCGTGTGAAAAGACGTGTCGTGATGAGAAAAAATGGCCGGAACTCCAGAATAACTTGTCGAACAGGAAACGGGTGCATTATCACCAAGAGGAAGTAGAGCTAACAATTGGAAAATAATAATGTGCAGGTAATAAGTGCAGCAGTATCAGTTTCAAATTTTTGTACCGTGTGTGTAGTGAATCACTACTAAAGTGTAACTTACAAGTTGGCAGGTGATCAGCAAATCCAAAACCAAAGTTTTCACAAATCAAATATAGTTTGTAGAAGTAATTGTGCTCATTTACAAAAGAAGCTGTATTTATTATTACCGACCAATGGTTGGCTAATTTCACTTCATTTTAATGATCTTCGGTGTGAACATTTTTTAAAACCAGAAGGTAAAAAATAAAATGAACTTGCTCAAAGTCAGCGGCATAAAAAGCACGTCTCATGTCACTCATCATGAGTTTGCTCCGTGACTGATTGTGAGACTATGAATCGTAAGAGTAGTCTCATGAGATGAGACTCTCATCTCGTGAGACTAAAAAGACTAAAAACTATATATTTGTAATTAATAGAGTACATTTGTATGGTTCACTCATATGGGACATCCAAATGTACTCTTTCTTGGACAATCAACCAGCTAAAAATAACAATCACTTTTAATAAATCATAAAACAATTATACAATGCTTGATATAACATGACAGGAACTGGATTCAGCATCAGCAGCCCCATAACATGAGTTATGGTTATTCGAATTATTAGTTTGAATAGAATTACTAGAACTAGCTATCGACTCGTTGTCATCACCTTTAACACTATTGGAATTACTATTATTTATACTTTGAGATGATGGCTCTTCAATTACAGTTTCAACGTCATAGTCATTGTCACTAAAACTATTTTTTCTTTTTACTTCGCCAAGTTCTTCTTCGTCATATTCATAAATTTCTCGGCCGAGTCGTGCGTATATTCCTCGACTGTTGCTAAAAGTCCGATTGATTAAAAGATCATGTCCATAGTAAAAGTCTGGTGGGCAATGCATAACGAATTTTAGTTGAGCCAGGACGACCATTATTTCCGCAGAATTGGCTGTAATTGCAAATACAATTGCATTATGTATGTTTTGGATAGCTTTATGAAATATATATATATATATGAGTAAAAGTAAAAAAAATCAGTACCAGGTCGATAGTCAAGTAATGTGAATCGATAAGGTTCATCATCATCGTCATCATCATTCATTTCCGCGTCATGTTTTTCATCCTCCTCATTCTTTATTGAGTCAGGATAAGGTTCTCCATAGATAACATCTGCTGCTTCTTGCCGAGGTTTAGGTTCCGGTACAGGAATGATTCGTTTTAATAGTGTCAAGCTGGCACAGTCATCCATGGTTGGAACTTTGATGAATCTGTGGGAACCCAATGTCAAATGAAACTTCTTTCTTTGTTACTCTGTTCTCTCATCATGTCATTTAATTTCTGGCAGTAAAAGTTCTCTGTCGTTGTTGTATAGAATAATTTGCATATGTAAATACATATGGTAATATTACCATATCGTTTTACTCATTATTATACTCCCGCAAACAGTAATCCATGCAACAGTAATTGTATAGTCTCACCCATTAATTTGAAAAAATCTTTGTCTAGTCAAATCTGGATAAAGCGGTCCAACGAGGTCTTGCAATAAACATATGATATCTCCTTCATGGAAAAAGGTGTGGTCGTAATAAACAGAATCAGAAGTTGTTATCCCAGCAGTGTGTTCATATGATTTCATAGGCTGGAATACAAAAAAGAAAGAAAATAAACTTGATAATCTACATTTCAACTAAACGTAAAATTTGTACCTTGTTCAAACGCTTATATATGGCTCGTCTACCTCTTCCCTTTGGAGGTAAAGGTTTCAAAACCTGTTTCCTTATCCGTCGCTCCATCCTCATATCATCGGTTACTTGTTTTTTTGCAACAAGCTCCAACGCCGCAACCATCGCGGCCCGAACAGGTTTCCACTCATGTTCAGGGTCATCATCGTGATACCCGTCGTCATCGTCATCCGATTTTCTTGAGTCGTGGTCCCCATTATTGTCCTCGATTTTCTGCAACTGCAATCTTCTCATATCTTGGCGTTTATCACTTTCGTCTTCAGATTGATCCACGTCTCCCCCACCACGACTACTAACACCACCATGGCTTCGTAGTTTTCTTCTACTGTCGCTGGCACAAGACTCGTCCACATCATCCATATCCAATCCTTCTCCATTATCCGACTCTTCATCTATTTCAGCTTCCGCTGCCGCTTTTCTTCGCCCAAAGGCAGCTGGAGCAATTTTGATTCTTAGATATTGCTGTTTTGGTTTCAGAGTCTTTTTTGATTTGACTGCTTTCCTCTTCTTAGCCTTTTCTTTCTTGGGCTTATCTGATGTATCTGTGATTGTTAAACGGCTCTGCTTTAATATAGATTCCATTATACTACAACTGTACTCGTCTGGAGTGGTTGTGCTTGAAGATGCGATTGAAATGTTGTCATCCTCAATACATTTATCCAACTGGGGTGGAGATGCACCATCTCGAACTTCAATCATCGAAGAATTTCCATTGTTAACATGCTTATTTCCTCCTCCTACTAATTTTTCTAGCTGTAGCTGTTCAATTTTAAGGACAGGAATTCGAATTTCTTTCTCTAATTTAGGGGGAGGGTGGCTTATACTCAAAACGGGAGTATCTTCGTTCACTACTTCCTCAACATTGGCGTCCTCTTGGTGAATAGTGCCACTCATGTTTTTTAGTTGTGGGCTAGCAATGTCAAAGTGGGTTCCAGTTCAACAATTATGCAACCTCCTTGACCTAAGATTAACGACGAGGACAATATCATTATTAATTAACCCAAGTGACATAATGCATAATAAATAGTGAGGGTTTGATCAAGTTGCATACTTACCTTTGCTGACTATATAATAATAATTTGGGACACTTTGCTGAACGCGTAGTAAATGAAAAATCAGAAATAAATAACTAATGGCTAATCAATCATATAACATAAGCAAACAAAGGTTCATCCAGCGGTTTTCTATGTATACAAGTAAGTCAAGACTTTAAAGTGGACGCAGGAGTAACAGAGATTAGATTAATACGAATTAAACAAATTTAATTTTCGTAAGTACAATTTGTATTAGTGTCAGTCAGCAGAATGTAAGGTTCAGAGAAATGTTTATTTACGCCTGTTACCGGTTGGTGTTGAGTTGAGGAGTCTAGTCTCAACTTGAGAGTCTCAAGTTCCCTTCCTTGTTAGAGAAGAATTAAAAAACGTCTCAAACTGCCTCAATCCATACATAATTCATAATTCCAAGTGTTCTGAGAATTGTATGTCTTCAAAGGTCATCAACTACCCCACGGTCAAATAATTACTCAAATTATTATTTCGAGATAATTTTACAAACACATTCGATTAGAATGATATATTTAAATAATTTATGTATTTTTTAACTCCGCTTTTAATTAAAATTCTTACCTAACTAACGTGGTGTTTTCTACATAGTTTTAAATCGATAAATAGGTCAAGGCAAAGATAAAGGACACCAAGTAATAAATGGTCCTATATCTGCAAAAACACTGCATAGCAAGAGAAAACGGGTCCCTTGCCTGGCCTATATTATTCTGACCTAGTTAATTCTTACTGGAGCAATACAATAGCATCCTCTGGTGATTTATGGTCAGTGATCAGTAAACCAGTGTCTAAGACTTTTGAAGGGCCCATTTACCGTTAATATCCTGGTGCTAGGACTGGTGAAATGTATATTATGATAATATTATGCCGTCCTTGCTTGAAGCAGGGAGCCCTTGATCTTGATCTTTGTTGGGGTGACCTAGAATTTCATGGACAGAGGTCCAGATATATAAAGCTTTCAGTTTCAGTTATTTTCCCGTACAAAAAAAATTACTCACAAAATTTCCCTGCGTAACGTTGAATAAGTTATTGTAAAAGTTTAAATGGGAACTGTAACATGTTTGACATTCGCCGTCGCGATTATTGTAATTGGGCAGCTGAACTTGGTGGATGCAACTAAAGTTTATCAAGTAAGTTAATAAAGTGATAAATATGAATTAATAATTGACATATGGATTAATAATCGATTGGTTAAAAGGATTCACAATTTAACCCACTCCAACAATTGATGTATTTGAGATCAGCAGAGGATTATGCAAAGCCTGCCCAACAATCATCAGATTTAGACCACAGCAATGTAAGTTTATGTTTGTATAATAATCCTTGATACGTGTATAAATTAATCACCGTATAGCATGCAAATTGCATGTTTAAATATTTTAATGTTATACATGTAGCACCAACACACTCGAAATGGCAGATGCTTTTTTAGCACACCGTCCTCCGGCCGACCCAATACGGTTTGTCACATTTAATTTGATGAATAATATTGATGACCATAGCCTATTGATTAATGTTGCGATGTGGGTGCTTGCAGTGGTCGAATGGGGCGCTGGACGGGATTGACCTCAGTCCTTTCGACATTGATCCACGGCTAAGCAATTCCCAACAATTGCCATACCAAATCCTCTACCGCTCATCTGGAAATCATTTGGTTTTCGCCCCCATGGCCCGCGCACCCCCTCCGAAGGATGACGCCAACCACGCCATAAAACTCTAATAATTTATATAGTTGGAATAATAATGCGTAATGAGAAATGTAGCCCATAGAAATAAAATTGATTTTGAGAAGATCAAACTTACTACTAATTAACTTTTCATGTCTCATACCTACATTTAATTATCTCATCAAATTGGCTTAAATCTGTGATACCAGTCTGGACTGTATTTATACAATCAGCACTACAAATCAATAGAGGATATTGATCCGAGAAAACTTTATTGTAAGTTGGCGAATGTGGAATTACATGATTCTTGCATATAGATTCTTGCATATGTAGATATAAAACATTGATTATTTTTATCCGCCCCACAGGAAAGGACAATGGTTGGAATAATGGGGATAGGAATGTTGGCATACTTTGCAAGATTTATCTATGACGCTTTCGGTATTCTCAACTTTCAGTATTCAATTTTCAATTCAATTCAATTCAATTCAATTTTCAGTATTCTCAACTGAATGGTCTGTATTCATCATTCTCTTAATGGCATTGTACAACGTGGTGTTGATACTCATCAACCGAGTTCGAGATGTAATCGTCCTCTGGGCTCTTATGTTCATTGTCCACATCCTCGTCCGATTCGTCATTGTGTACACAGAGACAGACCCAGAAAAGGCCGGTGTCCTGGGCCATTCCGCCAGATTCTTCTACGACGCATTTATTTTCAGCATTGAGTGGAGTATATTTATAATTCTAGTATTGTCAGTTTACAACTTGGTCATGCTTGTACTTCGACATATGCAAGATGCAGTAGTGCTGTGGGGCCTGATATTTGTGTGTAATATTATTTTGCGAATAATGCACGGCCACATGACTGACTACTCGTCGGATTGGTAGCTAGCGAATTGAAACAATTGTGGAATAAGTGACACTAAATAATAATACGATGACAGCAAATAATAAACAACTATATTCTGTACTATATTCCCTGCATCTTAAAAATTGTGAGCTGTGTATTTATTCAAATCATAAGTTTTGCACAAGAAAAGTTTGTATTTGAGTCTCAAACTTATTCACACATGAGACGAAAGTCTTAGCGAGGTTTAAGTGCTGTTTTAATCGTTAGATCCGGCGTGCGAGTTGTTTGACCTATTTGACGGTTGAGTTGAATGACGTAAACTCTTGTGCTTGCCTCTATCAGAGTGATTTGATCCATTAGAGGAGTGGTGCGAATGGTATGACCCAGGAGAGTTATGATTTGAAATATTGGCCTTTGGCGAGTAATGCGACGACCCATTCGAGTGGTAAGATTCTGGATTCGATTGACGATGTTGCGATGCCCAGGCAGGTACAGCATTATCTTCATCCAAATTGACTTCATCAATGTCTTCTAAACTATGGAAAACTTCACCAATATCATTTTCTGAAACGATATTATTGACCGAATTTGACTGCTTGGTTGGTGAGGCACCACCGATTAGTGTCTGCCTTATTGGCCCCCCAGATATACTCCCAAGTTTGTTTTGCCCACTTCCCTTCTGAGATTGAGAGTGAGCATAATGCGAGTTGTTACCACTCCCATTGTTGGCAACGCTAGCGCCCAATGGTGATTTTGGGTCCAACGATAAACATGGAGGCATGTAACAACATACGATGGGCATAATTCCATTATTAATTGCGCACTCCAGCGGGTCAGGTTCATCTGGTTCAATTATAAGTTCCACTTCAGTGCAACAATTATCGTGTGGTAGGAAATCAAAGTTGAGCCCTTGATTTTTCTTGACAAATTTTGGTGTCTTAGGTTTGCAGATTTTCTTTGCTTGTGAATCTTTACATCGAGTATCACCTTGGCCTTTACCAGCCGGCCCTCGGGGAGGTCGACCAGGATAAGGATTCGGGTAATTAGTTGTTGGATAGTAGCCAGTATCGTAGCCACCAATTCCTTGCATCATACCCCCCATTCCTGGCATCATGCCTCCCATCCAAGGCATCATGCCTCCCATTCCGGGCATCATGCCCCCCATTCCGGGCATCATACCCCCCATTCCGGGCATCATGCCTCCCATTCCGGGCATCATACCCCCCATTCCGGGCATCATACCCCCCATTCCGGGCATCATGCCTCCCATTCCAGGCATCATACCCCCCATTCCAGGCATGATACCCCCTGTTCGTGGCATCATAATTTCCTCATCACTACTACTCTCATTGCTAGATGTCTCATCACTTTCTTCAGATGATGCTTTCTTTTGTTCCTTCATAGCTGAATAAAATTTGAGATAATAATTAGCTCCTTATAAATTTACACTAATCACATATTGTTATGCATTATTTACTCTTGGGTGGAGGTGCTTTTTTTCTTAATGCAGTTTCAACCTTCTTTAATTCTTTCTCTAATTTATCGAGTGTCTCATTTGGTTTTGGTGGAGGCTTCAAGGGATCTTTTTGTTCTTCTGGCTTCGGTGGCTCTTCAACAGGTTGGGGTTCTAAGTCATGGTGGACACCCTGCTTAATTAATTCAGGTTTGGGATTGGTCTTTTTAAAATCTTCAGCTTTCTTCATCATTTCCTGAGTTTTAAGAATGTTCATCTGTTTTTGCTCCTGCGTCAGAAGTTATTCAAAAAATTAGACTAAATTCAAACCCGACGGGGGGACGATTCCAAATTAATTAATATTTGAATATATGCTTTTGTAACTTCAATGATAAATATATAAAAAATAAGAATAAATTCTGACCTCGGTGGCATCGACCAAAATGATTAAATGTCGATTGGCTTCTTTTTTGGTCGAATCTGGTAAATTGTGCAGGTTATCATTGTCGCTAGCCGTGCGGACGGGGACAAAGGGTAGGAGTCGAGCATCCTCGTCTTTGAGTCCTCGTGGACACGTGAGCGATTGTTTTCGTTCGATGGCAAACTCTGAGATATTATAGTGCAAAATTATATACTACTTACGCATTATAATATAATTTAGTGCAGTGCACTTGATACCTTCGTAGGCGAAGGTGAGGTCGGTGGGCAGGCCTCTGGGGAGGATGGTGGGAAGATCTTCATCCTCATGTTCGTTGTCCTCAACCAAGGATTCTAGCTGGGTCTACAACGAACGAGATAATGTGAGCATCTAATTCCATGGTACAACCACCAAAATAAGTTGTGCGTACTTGGGTTAGACGCTTCCCAAAAGTATGACCTGCTCCATGAAGAAGAGTAAATGCTTCCGAGTTCCGGGCATTTAATCTTTCCATCGTGTTTTATTTTACTACAATAAATTAGAATACTTATAATTTGATGAATTATATGCCAATTAGAGTGAAATGTATAGTTTTAGTGTTTTTACTAAGCTGCAATAAATTCACAACAATCGCATTCATCTCATATATTAGAAATATTACCATGGCGTGTGTACGTACATCTACACGCCATCGTAAATGTGTAAGACGAAGTACGGTAGAACAATTGTTCAACCAATAATGATGGAAACCCGATAAATTCATTCGCAAAAATTATTTGACATCAATGAGTGTCTAGAAATTGTTTATGTATGTAGCACATATATATTTATCATATTCCAGCTATTTTAATGTGCCGCTGATGCTTCACGGCATTGAGGAACTTGTGACCTCAACCTCAACTCCGTCCAAGGGAAGGTTGTGCACACAATTAAATCGAAACACGTATATCGGATTCCCGTTACTTTTTTTCAAATTAAACGAACAATTAATACTTATCCATGAAATGAATTGAAAACAATAATGTTGCGAACAATTATTATTAATACGACTGGAATAATTAGAGCTACATACTTACATATAAATTATGGAGCAGCCCAAATCCTGGTGTTGGATTTTTATAAAAGATTAAAAACTTTGTTCAATTGTTGGTTCAAAACCATTAAATATTTATTATTTGCTAATAAGTAAGAACTACGTAATTAGAAAAACATGGTCCCAAAGTCTCAAGTTTTAACTGTTATTTGTATCCTTTGTCGGTTGGCTAGATTGAAGGCACATGAAAACCAAAAATCGAGTCGTCTGACAGTATCCAACTTGAATAAAGGCCAGAATATTAACAATTTTTCTAACCCAGATGCAGTGAGAAGTTTGGAAAAAGTCGTCGATTCAAATACTCAATTCTCGACTAATGGCACCATTTGTACCAAAGAATCGTCAGATCATGTGCACTTTTATTTGTATACAGCGTGAGACTCTAATCTGCCATTCTTTTTAACAGGATATTAATAAGTGCGCAATACTAACAATTTATTTTTCAATCAGTGACAACCCATTAAAAGGCTTTGAAATACTGGTTGGAGACACTGACAAGCTCAACGAATCTCTGTTCAGGATTCAAGCACCAATTAAAATTTTAATCCATGGATTTGGGAGTGGATGCAATCATATATATCCCAAAAAATTGAAGGATGGTAATTATATGTGCATTTAGTACAATGCGATTATTACTGACTGAATTCTAAATAATCAAAGCTTATCTGGAGACAAACACCGAATTGAATGTGATACTTGTGGATTGGAGCCTTTTAGCTGAACCTCCCTTATATGAGCAAGCCGTAAAGAATACAGGCGTCGTAGCAGTCAAAACTGCCAACCTCGCTTTATTTCTGATATCCGAAAATGCAACAACAATTGATAAAGTGCATATAATTGGGCACTCTTTGGGGGCTCACGTGTCTGGAATTGTTGGACAAAAACTAGAGGAAAAGCTAGGACAAAAGCCTTCAAGAATAACCGGTTAGTTTTGATGTATTAATGCTTATGCACAAGAGTGACACTGCGTTGTAAGTTACCAAAAATACTAAATTCATGTAGGACTTGATCCTGCAAAACCATTATATAATTTCAGCAGATTGGACCGACGACTGGATAAATCCGATGCCGATTTTGTAGATGTCATTCACACATCAGTTTTGGGTTTGTTCAGAACTGTGGGTAATGTTAATATGCATGTAAATAACTCATAGTATCACCATGATTCGTTATCATCTTATCCTAATGAACAGGGACAGTTGATTTCTATCCCAATGATGGAATAAATCAACCCGGGTGTTTCCCGTTTGATCTGGGTAACAACTCATAATGTTATGATGTTATGTTATAGATTGTACTCTATATTAAAATAATTATATTGTTACATGTACGCATAAAACAATTCAACCTTTAATAATATTTACAGCTTGTAGCCACAGTCGAGCCCACGAATTTTTTACGGATAGCGTATATGAATCCAAGAAATATAAGGCGTGCAAATGTTTTAGGAAACTCGGGAGTAAGATTTCGCTGAGTTTTCTGAACAACTGTCACTGTGACGAATCGGACGAAAAAACCTTTGTATTTATGGGCGATGCGGTGTCAACAAGGTATTCAATAGATAAATAAATTTAAAAAAATTCAATATAATCAGATCACCCTACAGTTTTTCATAATTTCATGATTCAATTATTCTTGGCATAGTGCGCGTGGAATATTTTATTTAGCAACGGATGATCGGCAACAACAGGATACTGAAACCTTGCAAACTGTAGTCAATCAGAATGTTTAAAATGTACAGGCATCAGTTGAGACTCGTGAAACAAATAAATAAGGAATCAGATTAATCTCTGTCTGATCACTGGTCGGAGCAACCTGCATATTTTAATCCGTAACTGTATTCGCTTGGGTGCGGCTGGCCAACCACCACGTCCAACGTATATCAAAGAAGCAACCACGTATTGTTGGATTAATCAGATTTACATTGCTAGAGGTCAGGAACCAGTTTAGTAAATGACGACAAGAAGTAACTGCGCTATGATATGCATTTCAATATTGTGTGTGCACACACAAGTCGTTTTTACTTTGGTCACTTTAAAATATGCGAAATTGGATTCGGGCATTGACAAGAAAGACTGAAAATTATACACGATTGCTGTGTTTTATCATCGTCTCGTTTTATTATACGAGATAAAATTTCTGTTGCTAGCAATATGTGATGATCACAAGGCTTTTGGGGTCAGCAAGTTTCAGAATGTCTCATCTTGGTTTTCATATTATCAGCATCGATCATTCAATCTAAATCAGTTTAAAACATAATTGTGCAGTTGTCACTTGCTATTTAAGGGACTAGTTATTTTGGGGCAAAATGCAAAGTTTGACAAAAATGAAGAGTGAGAGTGCATTTATATCTGCATCAGTTTTAACTTTGTTACTCCCCATATCAGTTTACTTGATACTTGTGGTAATGAAAATATAAATTATCCTGCCCATATTTTGTGGTTAGCAGTGTGTCAAGCTCTAAGGTACCATTCTTTATTGCTCAAAATAGGCTGTGGAAATTAAAGGCCACGGGAGATTAATGAACCCACCCGCACGAAATGCAATGTGGAGGTTCGGATATGCAGTACCTACAAATTACGACGACAATCAGCTTTGGTGTGGTGGGGCTCAAAGTAAGTTTGATGACAACTGAAACAATAGGAAAATTAATAATAATTAATGTTACGTGACCGAAGAATATTATGAGAATGGAGAAAAATGCGGCGTATGTGGTGATGACTTCGCTGAACCCAGCCCAAGAGATCATGAAACTGGGGGACAGTTTGCGAACGGTATCGTGGTAAGAAGATACGCTCCTGGACAGGTACACATACCTTGCCATCATACTGACGATGATATTAAATGATGAACAGTGAACTTAATGAAAGATTGTTTATTTACTGTAGATCATTGAGACTGAAATACAAATCACAGCCAATCATTTAGGTTATTTTGAGTTCAAATTATGTCCTGTAAAAGACGAAACGAAGGAAGTGACTGAAGATTGTCTCAATGAGTACTACATTATACGTATATAAGCGTAGTTATCTATGCAATAATTCAACCTCTCAAAATATGGGGCGATATTTACAGAAACACGTTAAAAGTTTTGAATGGGGAAACATGGGATACAAAATATTACGTGACCTCGGATGAAATGGCCAAAGACTTTATTGTAAAGGTCAAGCTGCCACACCACCTCACTTGCAACAGATGCGTAATGCAGTGGACGTACATTGCTGGTATGTACATATACGCATACATGGATAAGATCTCTTAGTATGGCCTTGATTATAGTATCATGCATGCTTTGTCCATTGTTACAGCGAATACTTGGGGGGTATGTCCAAATGGGACAGAAGCCAAAGGATGTGGACCCCAAGAAGTCTTTAAAAACTGCGCAGGCAATAAGAGAATAATTTTAATGTCTTTTGTTAAAATTCTATAAAATAAATAAACTTTTAGACGTTGGGATCATTATGAATTCTGGATCGTGGCCACCTGGCAAGCAACCTATTTTCGTTACACCTCCTCAAAATGCAATTTTAGAACCAGAAAAGGAAGGCGATAATGGCAAAAGAAAATATCTGGTTGTGAAGTAAGTTTAATTTACTTGTACTTTCTTTGGCAGCTAGTAAAATACTTAATAATTGCATGTCTCACTCAACTCAAGGTCTCAAGTTTGTGTGGCTACTAAGGAGAATCCAGGGATTGATGATTGGTGTCAAAAAAATTGTCTCCGGTACCCACAAAACTGCCCAGAAGACAAATGCAAATGTTTACAAGGTTGTCACGCCATTGGCAGCTTTAAGGAAAATGATGGAGCTGACTCCTACTGCCAGTACAACTGCTTAGTAAATCCGCCTAAAAACTGTACTGCTGAAAGGTGTTTATGCTTTTAGGTGAAGATTTGCTTAACAGAAAATAAAATATAACCGTCATATGTTAATAGGGAGGATTTATAGCTCAGTTTCATTTTTCCACCATGTTCATAAATACCTATGCAAGCATACATATCTATAAACTACATATGTGTATATTTATCTATGCATGGAATGCGTGTAGGTGTCTTGATTACGAGACTAATGTTACACACTTTTTATGTTTAATGATCTCCTAGTGTCATTGTGAAAGGTCAATATACTAGGTTCGGGGATGATGACCATGCGCCATCCTGAAAACGATGTAACGTAAAACAGTCTAAAGATGAATAGTAATGGTAACAACCGTATTGACGGATGTTTGTGAAAAACAAAAGTCGAGTCTCTTGCTTGTTGGGTTGTATGTAATAAGGACATTGGTTTGTACATACATGATACGTACGTATGTGACCGCTGAGGAAGTTGATTAGAAATGCGATAATGTCGTAATGACAGTGGGGGCTCAAGATTTGAAGTCTTCCATATCGTTGGGTATATGAATGTGGATTGGATTTTTAACGAGTGTAAATTTGAGCTTGTTCCTCATTTTGCTCAGATTCAGTTCAGGGTGAAGATTTGCAAAACTCGAGAATTTTCAGTATAGGTACTTTAGATTTTGATTCACTGGTGAAATCTCAAACTACAAATTTTTAAGTTAAAAAAAACACAGATTCTGCATTTACATAATGATGCATAAAGTAATTAACTGTTTCTGGATTCTTTCCCTTTTACTTGAGGTAAGCTGAGACTTTTTGTTTAGACGTCTGTCTAAGGGGTGTTTAATAAGTACATACTTACTTATTGTAATATATAGGTTGTAGAAATTAAAGGCCACGGCAGAATGATGAATCCACCCGCACGAAATGCAATGTGGAGGTTCGGGTATGCAGTACCTGTAAATTACGATGATAATCAAAATTGGTGTGGAGGGGCTTCAGGTCAGACTTAATATTTTGCATATTTCATTTTATAATATTCTTATGTGTGCAATTGTGCTACTCTACTTTTGTGTGGAATTTTGCAGTAATGATTGAACAAAACCATGGGTTGTGTGGAATTTGTAAGACTACAAATCAGTATACCTTACTGCATAAAATATGAGTACGAGTGTAATTTATAAGCTTGAAATATATTATTTATGAGGTGGGGATAATTACGCTGATCCATTGCCAAGACCTCATGAAACGGGAGGAATATACGGAAACGGGATAATCGTGCGTAGATATGCCCCAGGACAGGTATTGTGTTTCCAATTCAACAAAGCATATTTCTGAAGTAGAAGAAATTTGCAAGTATTATTACTTTTGCAGTTGGTCGATGTAGAAATCGAACTGACGGGTAATTACATAGGCTTACATAAATAATTAATCGTATATAATCGTATGTAAATATATGTATATAGCAAACCATCAGGGTACCTTTGAATTCAAGTTGTGCTCAGCCGATAATCCTAAGCAGGAAGTCTCCCAGTCCTGTTTGGATGCGTAAGAATAGAATAAAATTTTACCATCGCATTTCATGTGCATATTTGGATTTGATTTTGTTTCTACAACTAGAAATACTTTGGAGTTGTTCAACGCGCATGGAAAGGTAGCAAAGAGATACATGATCATATCACCGGAGAAGAAAAAGACTTTCTTTTTGAAAGTGAAGCTCCCGCAGTATATTAGTTGTTCAAAGTGTCTTTTTCAGTGGACGTACGTTGCTGGTAATCATTTCCAATTTAAATTAAAGCTAACTTTATTTTTATTTAAGTTATATCGTGTTTGTAATACAATTATGCATTATACATAATTTCCAAAATTTAAGCAAATACTTGGGGAACCTGCAAAAACGGCACTGAAGCAGTGAGCTTAAAATTCAAAAAAGGATAATTTTACTGTGAATATTCATTTAAAAATTGCAACTTGAGCAGGTTGGATGTGGACCACAAGAAACATTTATAAATTGTGCAGACATTGGTATTGATATTAAAAGAATTCCCATTGCGCTAAATTATACTTTACGGACTGGGATGAGATTCAAAAGTCGAGTTTAATTTTATAGCCATAATTCCCAATACTGGTGGAAGGCCGCCTGTGACAATTCCACATCCAAATGCCTTGTATTACAGCCAGAACGTGATAACTGGTGAAGTGGAACCGCTGGTTGTCAGGTACATATTACATATTACATGATTTTGGATACCTCACACAAAATATGAAAAATAAATTCGTATGGGGACTAGGTCGCAAGTTTGCCTTGCATCCGGAAATTACACAACGGAACCTGGAATGGACGATTGGTGTTATACCAACTGTTTGAGGTATCCACCCAACTGTCCTCAGGATAAATGTAAATGCCTCGAAAGTTGTGACCCCGTCGGAAGCTTTAAAGAACAGCCAGGTTCTGAAACATATTGTATGGAACATTGTATGAAATATCCGCAAAACTGTAAAGCGGACAGATGCGTTTGCTATTAATGAATTACATAATTATGTGACTCTATAATGTTGACGACAAATGCCTAATTCTAGCACATGTATGTATTATTTCAAAGCATTAAAAAAATTAATTATATAGAGGATTCACGACATAAAGGATTGTTTATTTTCGAATACTAATTATTTGTCAAGCAGTGATACATTTATGAATGTACATGAGTAATTACCCAAAAGATACATCCAGCTTTTACTTCATACTTGAATATTAGCCTAATATTATTAGGTTTGTTTGTGGAATTGCTATTTACGTTCTCAAAGAATTTAAACCTGACGTTCATGCAAAGTGACTGATGATCTTGACCACCATGTAAACTTGGACGAACATGGCCACGAAAAAGGAAATCGCTCTTGCAGGCTGTGGTACCGGAAACACTGCGTAGACCAATGTGTGAAGAATACGGGCACCCGTGAAAACCTTGAACAGCAAATTTGCCGTTCCATAGGCTGGAGAGGTGAAGCAGTAAAGGAAGGCCGTGGCGAAAAATGGGAGAATATTTTCCAGGTCATTTAAATGAGCTCTGCAACGTTATAAATATACAATTAAAAAGCACATAAGTCTATTTGACTAGCATAAAATAAATAAATATAAAGGGATATGAAGAAATATGTAAATTTGATACCGTCGAACCCTCTCTACGTCTGGGTCGTCATATGCGACCTTGGCTCCTTTCACTGAGGATGTATCTTCCGGACTAGTGAAAACCTGAATGCATGGTATAAAAATAAATAGAGGAATGATTCCATAATATTCTAAAGTAATTCTACAGCCCAGTTTATACATATATGACAGTATATATTGTTGGTACTTTTTTTGAGAATCTTTGTCTCGCTGTAAGTGGAATCATGACCATCATTTTTGCCAATAAAATCCCAGCATAGAAGGCGTAAGCCTGTGATAATAAGGATATTAAAATCAATTAACATTATAATTTATTTCTTGATAATTTATGCATCTAGGTCTCATACCCCAAACACTTCTTGGTTAACATCAATGCCCATGGTGAACGAATAATTTCAAAAATTAAAAAGTTTTAGAATTTGACAAGTATGCAAGAATTGTAGTCACAAAACTAAGAAAGATTTCAGGAAAGTTGGAGGAGTTATTAAAGTTAGAGTGGAGAGCGTCCGAAAGTTGAGACTGAACTACGAGTGTCCAGTCCAGTATGTCTTCTTAACTTAAGCTGATGACATGACGGTGCACAAATAGCATTAATATTATATAACACATCATATATAGTATATAATATATACCAATACTCACCAACAAGACTGATATATAATGTATGTATATGGAGAAAGGTCTCGGAGTGGATATTAAAGTCCAAGGTAGCTTGGTTGGATGATGAACATTTTTTTTATAACCAAAGTAAACATCACGAGCTTCATATTATTTACTAATACGGCTTTTTTCCTCAATCAAATTATAGGCTACTATGCTCATCAGCGTATTACTAATTACTAACCATTCCATATTTTTATATACGGGTACAATGTATCGTGGATTTTCCTGATTGGTGGAAGACCTTATGAAATTGGACGTGTCTAATGATAAGCTGATGATAAGTTTATAAACCACACTTGTTCAATATCTGATACACCAAATTGTTGACAATATTAACACCTTCGTATCAGCAAACATTATGTTAAAAAGTGGCACTTGCAATTTAAGTAGATTAGTCATAGATGTATTTAACCTAATTTTAAAAAACTCATTAATAAATATCAATATGAAAACCACAAAATTCTGCATAGCGTTTTTTTGCAAGTCTCATCATGACACATTTAACTCTTCTGTTGCATTGATGAAGCCATATGAACAAGCCGAGTCTCCTCATAATAAGAAATCAACTATTTTAATCTTTGGCCTAAAACCATTAAATCTATATATTTCTAATAATTCCAATGATATAATCACAGCCATGTTTTGTTCCCCTTCAAAAGAGGTTTGCTTTTTCCGTCACAATTTCACATATGTATATTTCACATGTGATTTCATAATCGTTAGATAACACGATGCAGCCCTTACAGTGTTCCTTACATACAGTTCTCCGTACAGTTCCAAAATACTCAAGTTCATCATCAATTAGAGAATTGTGACTGAAAATTGACTTGAGAAATTCAAGTGAGATGAGATGAGACGATGTAACGCGCGATGGTTGTCACTTGTTTTGAACGCATAATGTGTAATAATATTTTGGGAAAATAAATACTGATTGTTATGTAGTAGTATCTATCTGGAATTATTTTATCCTCCGCGATATTTTGCATCTTGTCAGGATTTGATATATACAGGATAATAAATTAAATTCCGAATACAGTAAACAATTTATTTGCGTTCGTCTTTGGTTAGGGGTATTAAAATTGATAACAAATGACGAAAATCCACGACGATTCTTCGGTTAAAATTTAGATAAAGACTAGTTAATTCTTCTCTTATAAAATACATTGCAAAATAGTAAAACCCTAAAAAATACCAAATTATATGCGTGCAATGCGTCAAAGGGGAGGATGCTGCTTATTAATAGGAGGACTCAGCGCCGTGCTGCTATGTACCGTTTACGGACGAGGTATACTTTTTTATAAAAACGCGTAATTTCAATTTGAAATTTTTAAACAAAAATTGGCTTATCAAATAAACATGGCTTTAACACCTATAGATAATCCAAAGAATGGAGGTGGAGGGTTTAAAACGCGTGGAGACGAAAAATCACAGTCAAGCGTAATTAGCCAACATAATTCTCATACACATATCAGCAGCAAGCAATTTGGCAGAAATAGCAATTTTGTAAGTGAAGTTTTATGAATCAATCCTTTATATGAAATCCACCAATTCAATGAAAGAAATTGAAATTCATTACTGTACATGAATTATTGAGGGTCACGTCAAATATTACAGAAAAAATCAGACTCTCCAGGGAATTGCAATAGTATGAACCAACAAGATTCAAATTGCTCCGAAATGTATTCTCAGATTGAGTGTATTCAGGTAAGATCAGAGACTTTTAATGAAAACTGGGTATCTTTATTTATGATTTATGTATTAATTATTTCCGTATTCAGTGTGATCTTGATGAGAAGTGTAGATATGGAGAGAACATTACTATCTCCTGCAAAGTTAAAAATGGAGTCGAGTGTAAAGTAAGTTAGCATTTACTAATTTATATACAGGGTTGAATTTGCATGCATTCATGTAGTACAGCTTATTATTTATATAAATTGTGCAGGGGAGTAAGGAGTTTAAAAGGCACATGATATGCCAGTACTGTTACCAAACTCCCATGTGGCAACAAATTTGCAATTCCATGAAGGGCTGTAACTCCGTTGGACCTCCACCAAATTCCTTCCCGTAAGCATGGCACAATTGAATCATTACAGCCGTGATTATAATTTTCCTGAATATTATAATTTGAAATGGGATTATTAGGGCTAATTGTACTGTCAGTCCAGAAGTTATTTGCCTTGGGAGTCGTTGGTTTAGCCGAAATATGCCATGCAAGTGGAAGAATGGGTACCGCTGGTCCACTACTTTCGTCTTGAGTGTTACGCTGGGTGGGTTTGGAGCCGATAGATTCTATCTTGGACGTTGGCAGGAGGGAATAGGAAAGCTTTTCAGTTTCGGAGGGCTGGGAGTTTGGACAATTATCGACATTATTCTGATTGGTGACTATTAGACACCGAATAATATTTATGTGTAACCAATTAATATCTGGTAAATTTTAGTAATATCTTCATTGTTATTCAATTACAGGTGTTCGCTACTTGGGACCCGCAGATGGAAGTTTATATGTTGACTGATTAGTTAGTGTAGTGTTATAAGTTTGTAAGGTTAAAAAGCTACGCATTTATTTATAAAGTACATAGATAAATGCTGTATTTATTATGATAGTCATTTCAGTCTCATTTATAGTAAACAACCCCTCAGTACTTTCATTGTTAGTAAGCTCGTAAAAATTCTTTCTGCGTTTATTTACTGCCTTTAATTAAGTCAATCTGCTGGTTTAAACGGCAACCGCCCTCCTGTAATTTTATGAAATGCTCTTAACACTTCAAAGTACTTTGAAAATTCATTTATATAAATACCGTCACATTGTTGTTCACATTGAGTAATTCTATGAGTTGTGTTCTTCGTCGCAATGTACTGCCATGAGTTGTTGAAGAAAAAGCGTTTCCGACAGTGGATGATCCATTTGGCGTTGGTTGCACCATTGGGTCGTGAGCATGAGTACCAATGGTAACACCGGGTGCAACTACTTGGTTTATTTGACCTTCGGGGGCTACCCGATAAGCCCTTCGTAGTCGAAGTAGTTTTGCAAGTCCTTCCCAGATTCGAGAAAACACAGGCAATATCCTAGAATGTGGACGATTATGAATATTGTTTTGAATTTGCAAAATTTGCAAAACAATTCTCCTACGGCGTCTACGAATTCTTCTTTGCATACGACGTAGGCAGGCCGTACTCCAAAATCGGCGAAATTTTTGCCAAAATGTTGTAGGATGACGTTGATCTGGATCTCTTATGTATCTTGGCGGAAGAATATGGCTTCTTATTGGGACAGTCATTCTGAAACTAAAAATGCTCTTCATTTTTGAAGACTTTTTGGTATTTTCGGTTAGTTTGATGGAGATCAAGTTAGTTAATTGCTTTAGCTCTTCAATAGAATTCGTGTCCTGAATTTTCTCATCGTCCCCTTGCATTGTTTTGTCGTTAGCATCCTTAACCACGGCATCCGCATCCGACGGAGGTTTCTCTTTGTCTGACAAATGTTGCAAACTCGTCATTGAATTAATATCTACAAATCCGCTGTTTTTTCGGGACCATATGTTTATAAATATCTCTAATTTTTCTTATTTTTCATAAGCTTGCATAAAACTTATATTTTTTTATTTCAAACAAACATATTCATAAAATAAAATACCTTACATAAATCTTCATCAAGGTGCTTGACAACCTTAGGAGATGTTCATAAATTATGTCACGGCTGAAGGGTGTGGGAAAGTAAGAGTTTTGCATGACGGTCACATTTGCGCCACATGTAATGGGGTGCAACGCGTGACAAGGGGGGAGGGTATGAAAAATTGTAATTTTTGCGTGACATAATTTATGTACGTTCTCTTTTTAGTACTGTACAGAGTTTTTTACATCGCAAATCTTCGTGGAAATGTTCATACGTGCATTAGTCAAGTGTTCACTCGAAATGACCTTGCTATCAAGATTACTTGACCCACTCTATAAGGGACGTAACTAAATGTCAAGTTTCTTTTGTTTAATAAATATGATTTTAATACAGAGATATTTGTTCTCTTTGTTATTTTTTTCAATCACAGAAAATTTAGGTCAAATTTAGTATGTAAATCAAATTTTCTCTTCCCAACAGTTGGCTACCGTTCTGACTTTTGACCCTGGTCTTCCAAAAATTGTTCGTTGCGCTTCAAGTCATTTGCAATTTCTTCCAATATTGCTTCTGTTTCTTTGAGCTTTTTAAAATAATTCAGCAAAGCTGGTTCATTTTTCGGGTCTACAAATTTCCCATTTACTTCCAAAGCTTTTTTGGACAATTTAGTTTCTGAAGCATGAACATCATGAAGCGTGCACTCCAAATTCTTTACTACTTTTCTCCTCTCACTGGTTCCCACTTCAGGAATTACTTGCTCTTCCAATATTTTGATCGAGGTTACTTCGTCTTCTGGTGACGAATTCTGGAATTCGTCTAGCAATAAAGAATCATTACTTCCTGCACTATCTATCATGATTGCGTTTAGTTCTTCTAAGCTGTGCTTCAAAGTGGACGCGCTCGCCTGCATTTTGTTGAAATCATTCCATAAAAAGTTCTTGGGGTTTACTATATCCATTGGGTTATTTATAATACGACCATTAATTTCCAGAATAGTGTCAATCTTTCCATTTTTTTCATGATCAACTTCCGTAAGCACATATTTCAGATCAGGCTTGTCTTTACTACCTTGTCCTAATTTTGTTGTTGCTGACACTGGTTTTTTGGCTTCTGCGATTTGGCTCGCCAAGTATACTTTGTAGGGCATTTCTTCTTCCATGTAATTTATGATAATCTCCTGAAGATCTGCAGGATTATGATGGTTTCTTTTGGATCCTCCCCCTTTATTATCGTCCTCTTGGGGGTGGTTGGGTTTCAAAGCGTTGTCCAGCTGCTGCTGACTCGGTCGGTCTTCGATGCTGTCTGGCGGACTACTACTCGAGACCACCGTCTCGGGGGCTGTACCTACTCCTCAGAATAATGTGTGTTCGGATATTTAATTCACATTTTAATACGATTTAGTGAGTAATTATATTTAATTATTCAATATTCAATGACCTGTCGAAAGTGGTGGTGGGGATAATGATTTAGGGATTGGCTTCCTGGATTTCGAAGATTTAATAGTAATGTCCAAAGATGGCGAAGAATTACCCGACGTGGTTGAGGCTGATTTGTCATTATCAATCTTTCCAACCATTGGATTGCCAGTATTTGTTTGGATCTCATAAGGTGTCACCGATGCAGTTGCCTGGTTCAATTCATGCGATGGATTTATTACTTTGGTTGGTTCATCTGCGCCACTTTTATCTAATGCCGCATCTTGTGCAAAATTTGTTACGCTTCTTGGAATGGTATCCATCGAGTCAATTTGTATTGTTATACTTGACCGGTACTGTGGTATGTGCTGTTGACCAGTGTCATCATAATCCAGTGTCGCCTTGTTCGGTTTGGATCTTTCAGCTGTGGACACATGAACTGGCGTTGTGTTATTAGACAAAGTTTCATTCGTCAGATTTTTTGGCAAACTGGTCTTTGTTCTCCTTGTGGGCCCAGGTTTAGAAGGAAAAGTGTCGTCCTTGACGGTAACTTCATCAGCTTTATCTTTATGGGTGGAGTTGTCAATCTGCGGTTTAGTTGAAATAATGTCACTCTTATCTTGTTCAACTGTACTCAGTGTGTCTCGTAATAATTGAGTTTGACTTGGAAAATCTGATTGATCTGATTGTACCAGCTCCGTCAAAATTCCGGTTTCTAAATCTCCTGTTAGAGGGATTGGTAGGGCGACTGACGTCTGACTGTATGGCTTGAGCAAGCCTTGCATCAATGTATAAGAAGGCGTGTCCCCGTTGACCTTGACGTCGCTAGGACTTGGTGTGGTGGCAGACGAACTTGAGGGAGGAACCGATCTGCCTCGTTCTGAACTAAGTGAGCGGGATGACGGCTTTGTAGAATCAAACTTTTCCAATGGATCAATTTCAAAGGACTGATTTTCTTGGTTGATCGTTATCCCATTTGTTGTCCTTCCACTGGTTGATTCTGTCAACTGTACTTGGTCGACAAGGTTAGTTTCATCATCTTGAGAATCGTACGTTTGGGCATGAGCATCGTTCTGCATAATTTTGTAACATTCATCAAGGAATGGATTAGTTGGTAGCATTTTGCACAATTCTGAAATTTTGTCTAAGCGTGCCAAGCATTCTTCATGGGTCAGAGGATGGTCAATGCCTACATTTAGTTTGTGAGCATTAATTTTATTGTAAATTTATTGGTAATAATACACAAGACACTTAAACTTACTCCGCAGTAAGTCAGTCTGAGAGTCTGTCACTAGTTCGCCTAAATTATAAATAGTATTCACATCTGTAATTCTAGATAAATCTTAATATATTTTTTTACCAAATTACATAATATATATTTACCATTTTCATGAACCATTCTGATTGTTGAGAAATTTGATGCACTCGTCCGATTATTATCTACTCGTGGACCTGCGTGGTTGATGCTTTTAGCGTCACTATCCTCATCCGAAGGATCGCATAAAAGATCTGACTCTTCTTCCACGGAACTATCTTTAAAATATTTAATATACCTTCAAGTGCCTTATTTATTACTCAGTTATTTGCATCCCATCACTTAAATCCTGGAAATATATGTAAAGCATTTAGTTTTGTTCCTACCACAAAGTTCTTGACTTTCAGGCAAGCTCTCTTCGTCACAATTTCGTTCGGGGTCAGATTCTCCGCAGAGGAAGTCAATGGCACTTCCCACAGCGTGCACTGCCTTATCTGCAATGTAGCTCCACCCACCCTCCTCCCGCTCCCGTCTCAACCTATCCTCAGACTTGTTGCACAAATTGTTGGTTTCGAAAAGAAAGTCCAGCATGGAAGAGCTTGTGGCGAATTGCAACACGTTCCTGTTGGTGTCATCAAGGAACTCGGTGCAGCAGGAGGACGAGGGCACGGGTTCCACTCGACTATCTCCAACCTTTGCTTGTGACTGGGATTTGGACATGGCCAAGGAGTGTGGGGGTGGTGGGTTCCCATGTCCAGACGAATTTGGGCTACTTTCGAGGTCGAGAGTCTGGGACTTTGAGTATGAGTAGCGGCTTTTATGTGACCTGACCGATTTACTGCTCATCCCGAAATCTGGAAATGGTGATAGAAATTATGTAAAGATAATTCTAAGCTATATTACTCGGCTACTGTGCGAAAGATAAAGGATAGAAAAATGAATATGAATATGTTTTTGTTATATGTAAAACTCGTCAGATTTTGAAGTCTCATTTTCCTCATTATTGTCTCAAATCTCAAAATGTTTTCGTTTACACGAAAGAGAAAGGCCATAGAGAATTAAGTACGGCAAACTCAATATCGTCTATATTTACTTGCTCAATAAACCTAAATAAATTTCACCAGCAGTTGTGCACAAAATTGAGCTTTACCATGAGTGACCTAGCAGAATAACACTTGGATCTGATTGTTCCTTAACTAGTGCCAAGGGGGCGACTACTACTTGTTGGTACCAGTGGCTGGGAAAGGGGCGCAATGGGCGAGCCGACTGTGGGGAGTCGCGTGGAGATTGTGGGGAGGGATGGAGCCCAGGGGACGGTGGCCTTTGTGGGGAGCACGACCTTTGCGAGTGGGAAGTGGGTGGGCGTGGCACTGGACGAGGCAAAGGGCAAGAACGATGGGAGTGTGAACGGAACGGCCTACTTTGACTGCCCACCAAACCACGGCATTTTCGTCAGGATGGCTCAAATCACGCTCGTGGGCGACGAGGGGACCAAGTCCAAGTAAGCAGCCGAGGCCGAGATAGTTATGGTTATCAGTTAGTTTAATGGATAAGTTACCTACCCCTGTTTTCTATATGAATCTTCCTTGGTTATTGATATGTAGCTCATCTACTGTGTGTCGCAATATGCAGTAAAGTTGATCATCTCTCTCTCTCTGTATATAGGTTGAATAGTCCGGCGGTGTCAAGCTTGTCTCCAGAAGATGTCAAGTCTGGAGGAAGTTCCGGTGGTGGGAAGGCGAAGGGAAGCAGCAGGTATTATTATCAGTCATTATTACACTAATTATTTTATTGCCTCTCTGGTCTCGAGGGGATTCTGGGTTTTAGGGGGAACATGTAATCAAGGGAATTGTCGCTAAGGTTAAATTTTTTGAATGATCTGAATGATAACTGATATGTAGTGGTTCAATCATGAGGTGGCTTGTACAATAACTTTCCTTATGGTAATGGTCGACTGATGATTATGCGAAAATTTAATGTTTTTTGATGGACACCCCATATTATAGAATGATGAGATGTAATGTGGGGTAATTAATACGCATGGATAATCTAAAGAAGAATTGCAAATCTTTCTTAACTATTTATGTGACATACTGCTAGTTGGGGCTTGCAATGCAAACATTCTTTGTTCTAAACTGGAATCTAAAAACTTAACTAAGTCTGAACTTTTAATCTTCAAGCAAGCATACCTCATCTCAAGTTCAAAGGAGGACTCAAGTGACACGGTAATAATAATAATTAGCTAAAAAATGCATTTAGTTTCCTATAGAGCGTAATACTTGCACACATTAATTGCTCATTTAAAATATATTACAATTTCAATGACTGATACTTCAATGTTTTAATTTTTCGTGCAATTTGATTTTTGCATTAACTGCATTTATGTCGTTTTAGTAGATGGATCTAGCAAGCATTTTTCGAATTCTAATTAGGCATTTTGAACTTTCTGAGTGTTCATTTTTTATTACATTATCAGTGTACCTCTTGCGTCCGTGTTTAAAAAAATGCGATGCCAAACTTTTTATGCCCCCATCACTTTTTCCCATCGTCAATATAATGTTTAGAAGTTTTCCAATATTCCATGTTTATAAACTTTTATCTTTTTATTAGGCTGCGTAAAGTTGATTTGAACTTGGATGGGTAATTAATCGTTTCTTCTTTCCTATATCTGTACTGTCTTGTCTTGAATCTTTGCCTTGAGTGATGTTTGTCATTTGTACGCGTATCTTGTGTCCTGTCTTTATGTTATTGGCTCGAGTTTGTATGCATTTTGTAATTTTGCAATGAAATTTATCGCGCAATGTGTCTCTTAATTTGTACTTAATGTCGTTTGAACGGTATTATCGACGGACATTTTAAATTATTTATTGAAATGGCTACATATATTAATTTATACCACTGTTGAATAGTTCATTTGCTGTATTCTTGTAACAAATGCTAGAAAATACGGTCTGTCTATGTTCAGCATGCAGGGTGTATATTATTGTGCATTTTTATTTTTTGAAAATGCGACATTTTTAATCTATCGAGCTTTACCGAATCAATCGTCAGTCGTCTTTCATGTCTTGCAGACTTCCTGTTTTCCATACTTCGATCGTGCCATCACCAACAGTTGAGTCCAGTACTCCCATTTCTGGACAATTTGAAGGCACAGCGAAAGTAGCTTCTGCTGCAACTAGTCTTAACCTCTTGTCTCCAAAATCGAGATATGTTGGCGAAACTGCCATAGGAAATGTTGATTGTCGGAGTTCATCTTACGACATCGGTGGTGGACCAAAATCTGATGAATTTTTAAAGTCTCCAAACAAATGGTACAATACTTACAACCCATTTCATCGCCGAAGTACAATTGGCGCAACTAAACTACCAGGAAAAGATGGTGTGTCTCTCTTCAAAAAACCTAGAAGTGTAAGACCAACACTGCTTCCAGGTTCATGTTCTCCCAAAACGTCTGGCCCTTTTCAAGTGAGAAGTGTAAAGACTCCGACCACTCCTATTTCTACTCATCAGAATCAGATGCCATCTCCAATAAATAGATCTAGCACCAAACGGATTTCCCCGGGATTAAAATTCAGCCTGAATCTTCCAAAATCGTTCATAACATCCAGACTTCCAACGACGACAGCACCTAGGACCAGCACTCATTCGCCCAATCAGACTGCAGGACAGCCACAAAATAAATATCTTGCTTCCTATTCTGATTCGGAATCTAAACATTTTGAATTTACAATGTCAAAATCTGGCTCATTAAGCTCATCCTGCCTGTCTTCACATCCTAATAGTAGCATCGAATCTTCACTACTAAGCTCCAAAGCTACTACTTGTTCCAATGTGTCGTCTACTTCAAATAATGAAGAATTTGTCCCTGCGACGGTTTTTATGGAAAACCTCGGCAAAACTCTTATGAACCAAAAAGAATCTCATAATGCTAATGTATCACCATCGAGGCGACATACAATCGAACCTGGGGTTCCATTTACTCCTAAGAAACCCCCTAGGCCGAGTTTGACGCGAATGAGCAATATAAAGTCGACGACCACCACCATAGCCACTGGGTCTCTGCCTGAAGTTGATCAAACAGTCACGGTCACTAGTAATGATAATGATAGTAATAACATCAAAATACAAACTCTAAAATTTTTATTTGCTCTTATGATTTTGATTCGTTGTCTAATTTTACTTTGAAATATTCAATAGCTTGCAAATTCGGACCAAAACGCAAAGAATCTCAAACGGACAGCGTGGGTACAACTAGAAGATTGGAATCTCCTATTGCTGTTGACACCCTCACACTTCGAAAATATCATGGTCGAACTCGCTTAGCCTTCCCAAACGGCGGAAACTCTCCATTAGCTCAGCAACCAGCAGCATATGCAAAATCTCCAATAGTTTCACCAGCAAATGCTACTGGCTATTCGCCAAAGTTTCGAAAGTTTGCTTCTTCTTATGCGCACCACAAAATTGCTACGCGTAACTCACCTGTAGCAGTAAAGTCCGGCTTAATTCATAGGTTTACTTTTTATTATTTTATTATTTCTTTTTCACGGATCAATTTCTTGATAATGCGATCTAATTTTCCGATGTAAATAAGCTCAAATGGTCGAATTGTATGTTTGTAAGTACCAAAGCAAAATATATAGCCAAATCGTGCAAAATATATTTATATATACCCATACAAATATATATATATATATAACCTTGCACTTATTAGTCAGTAGATTTTTTATGTGCATGCTTACATTTTTTTTATTACAATATTGTTTAAATAGGAAAGTAATGACAATATATGTGATCTTATTAATTTATAGGCTTCCCGTGGCCGGGGCCAAAGAGGTCAAACCGTTGCAGTCTACCCCTTCCGGCTCACGAAGCAATTTATCTACTCCGTCCACGAAAGTGGACCCCAGTTCGGGCCCCAGTAAACGGAACTCTTTTGTTGAAGTAAGTACATGCATATTCAAACAAATGTACCTAGTCAGAATTATTGTGGTAAAAATTAATAGCATGCCTGCATAAAAAACGATGATTACTGAATTTGTTAGACTGGTTTCGCTCCGTCAGAACGGGAAATAGTTCCGCAGTACACTCCAGGAACACCTGCTAGTGTTATGGCCACCCCTACAACTCCAATGACGCAGAGTGAAGACAGATTTACTGCAGTTCATGATAACGCCGCTTTACGAGCTGAAGTTAAAGATCTCAACGAAAAACTAGACACCTTGAAAGGTTGACAAATAAATTTACATACAAAATTAAACAAGCAACAACTTTGTTTCATGTTTGATTTTATATAGCGAAAAGAGCAAATGATGTAGAAAAACTTCGCGAACTAGATCGTTTTCGCCTCGAAGTGGAAACTTTAAGTGAATTCCGTACAAAAGTGTTGGAAAGTCAAGCTGCCTTACAAAAGGAGTTAAAAAGGGTATGTGTTTAGATCAAATGTTTATAGAATTATTTGTTTAAAAAATTCACTTGTTGATGCTTTCGCAGGCCAAGAATGAAACACGAGAAGCCATTGAAGCAAAAGAACGCCATGCTGAGGAGATGTCAGATTTGTCCGAAGCTGTCGAAATGGCGACGCTTGATAAAGAAATGGCAGAAGAGAAGGTAATCCAATATATTTCTGTATTCGTTCGTATATATTTTTAGTCAATTTTTTTGGGGGAATCTGAATTCTCCAGTTATTACCATAATTAAACAATAAACACACGATTGGGTTTTTATAGGCTGAGACCTTGCAATTAGAACTAGATCAAGCTAACGAGAAAGCCGAGCAATATTTCATCGAGTTGAAAACCATGAAAGATGAGCTGAGTGGAAAAATAAACATAGAATCAGGAGAAGCGGGCGTTACTTCATTTCAAGTAAAACAATTACAAGCTGAAAATTCACGTCTAAAGGAAGCCTTAGTAAAGTAAGTTTTACTATGGCTTTCAAATTTCAAAGTCTATATTCACTATTATCGTTAAAGTATATAAATATTATTAGCATGCTAATGATTTTATAATGTTCAACGTGTGGTACTACATAATTGCACGATTTGAAACAGGTTTCGCGATGCTACAGCTCATGATAAGCATCTTCATCAAAAAACGATTAAAGACTTGGAAACTGTCAAGACTGAGCTAAAAGAAGCACTTAGATCAAAGGAATCTTTCGAAATCCAAGTTTTGGAATTAGAGGAGCAAGTAGCGGATCTACAAGATCAGACGGAAGCTGCACTTGGAGCGGAGGAAATGGTTGAAAATCTTACGGAAAAAAATCTGAACTTGGAAGAAAAAGTCAATCAATTGACCGAGACGGTTGCTGATTTAGAGGCACTACACGATGTAAATGACCAACTTCAGGAATCTGCCAAAGAACTGGAAATGGAATTGCGAGATGATTTGCAACAGTCTCAAACGATAATCCAAAATGTATTATTATTTTTATATCATGACTCAATGACAAACATGAATGAATGCAATTATACTTACTATTTTGAAGACTGTTCGAGAGCGGGATGCCATGATGGAAACAGTTGCGGATTTGAACTCTACCATTCTCAAGTTTCGAGAAGTTGTTCAAAAAATGACAGATGAAAATACACTATTGCGTCAAAATTTGGAGGAAGAATCCTCCAAGAGCAGTATCCCCGGATTAGTTGAGGATTTAGCTTTCAAAGTAAGATACATATATTTTTATTATAGGGTTACTATTATTTTTTTGTAAATTATCAAATCATTTCTATTTCATAATTTATAGAAAGTATTTGCTGAAACCAAAGCACAAACTACTGCAACCGAGTTGGAACTTCGGCGAATTGAGGCCAAAGAAGCTACATTGCATAGTCAATATTTAGCACAGGCAGTTAAAACTGAAATGGACCAAACTCGAAACTTGAAAATTCAACTAGAGGACAAAGAAGCATCCATTAAGGTTAATATATACATTCATAGATTTACCTCTAGATAAATAAATAGTTGCATACATGGCTTGGAATTGTAATACGTAATAATGTGTTTAGGAGTTACATAAAATATTGAAAGCCAAACAAGAAGAGCTGAGCGAAGCTTCAATTAGAAAGGAATTAGCAGAGAAGAGATTGTCCAACGCTACTAAAGACAGTGAAATGACGATTGAAAAGCTAACAGTAAGTTTATAAACATAATAAAAAGAATGCTGTTAACTTCATGATAAGCTATGAGCTAGATACACTATAATTTAATTAGTAATAAATGTTGCATATGTTGTGTGTATATTTATAACATTTATATTAATTTTGTTTTTGTGTGTACAGAGAAAACTAGAAGATTTGCAATCTGTCCTTCAAAGAAAAGAAAGAGAATTCGAAGGTTGGTTTCAAATTTGAAGTTAGTTTTTACTTTCTAATTTTTTGTCTCGAGAAAGTTTTGCCAAATGTCTTTAACATCCTGGAATATTTGCTCGTCCACCAATCGGGAACAATTAATTTCATTGTATTTCATCCATAAATTCAATTTCAGTAAAAATTTCATTTTTTCCCGACCACACCCCCTGAGTGAGAGGGGGCGTGGTTGTGCGTCTGAATTGATTGTACCAGTGGTGAAAGCAGAAATTGAAAAATCTTTACTGATTAATAAGTTATTGCTTGTAGTGCTTTCAAGAAAGCCACATCCCCTGATATTAAGAGGTGTGGCAGCGTTGTCATATTTTTTCTGATCCAGGCCACCATGGTGCACAATGTACTTATTTGCCTTTAATTTGTCACCATCGTGTAAAATAATTCCGCCTTCATACGCAACTTCATTAATTGTTAAAAATTTCAAAAAAGAAAAGAAATCTATATCAACGTGTGCTAAAACAATATCAGAATGTACAATGACCTTTTTGACTGCGCTTTTTTTGTTGTGTTTATGTTCTGGTATGAGTTTTGCTGTTGCATGCATGAAGCGACGCTCAAATAACAAACAGACTCGACATCACCAAACTAACTTTTACTTTTATTTTTTATTCCGAAGCCACTTTGGAGCACTTCCAGTCCGATATCGAATCTCTACAAATGGAACGAGGAGAACTAAAGGACAAACTTTTATCAGTGACCAAGGAGCGTTTCTTTAAAGAATTAGTTTCTGGAATCCCTTCAGGTATCCTGACTCTGTTGTATTAAGCATAAGCAGTATACATACCTATGTGTCTTAAACAATTAATTAATATATGTTTTTAATTTGTTTATGGTTAATTAAATTTCAGGGTCATCTCCTATGCACTCGCCAAGTGTTGGTCACACTCCTGTTCAGTCTGCAGGAACTCCAATGCTTTCAAGTGGTGGATCAATTGGTGCTTCATCTGATAGTTTAATTGAGTACACAAGATACCTGCAACGTCAGAATTGGCGTCTTCAATCGCAACAGTTGATTGAGAATCTAAGAAAACTTCCTCCTATCCAGGTATTAACGTGGCTCCTACTAATGATTTGTTTATTTCACGAGATTATAATTTATGAATTTCGTTTTTTGATCGGCAGCTTCCAAAGAAATCTGATGATGTTATTAAACAGATGGAGAAAGAATTAAGCCAGCACAAAATGGTACTATTACAAACCCAACGGATTTCAGTGCTTGATTTTCTAATTTTTTCAATTTACTTGGATAGGAGATAACATCCATCGTTTGCGATTCATTTAAAATCTCCTTCGACTCGAACCTATCGGCCTCACGGAAAGAATACTTGCTTCACATTAACGAACTTCGCAAGTCTAAATTAGCAGAGAAGATGGGCGCTTTACAACACAAAATAAATGCCATACGAGTTGAAAGAAAATGCCCTAACATCATCCGTGGAGATTTTGCCTCGTTCCCATCTGAAAGATCGATCAAGGTATGCAAGTTATGCCATAATTTTAGTATTACTCTCTTCAATTGATACTACATTGCTAAGGTTTAAAATTCATCTTGTAGGATGCAGAAAACGAACTGATTAAAGTTGGATCAATCAAGTTTCCGGGATGGGAGAAGAGCAAAGAGAAACCTCAATGTGTTATTGTGAGCGACGAAGAACTTTTCGAAATCCACAAGCTTCTCACGCCTAATCATTAAGGGTTAACTAATATTTATACATATGCTATTAAATGTATTGCCTTTTTGTAATTTATTACTCCTATTCGGGATGATGAGATTATGCTAATTTTAATACGCGTGTAGTCAAACTACAGATATTTGCCTTGCCTCCATCATCAATAAGTGACACTTTAATAATATTTGTGAAAACCTACATGTGACAGAGAATTTAATAAACATAATTATTGCAATTAGATTCAATTAAAGTTGGAAATTAGTTTTATTCTGTACATCTACCACGATCTCTGCAAGTAAGATTAAAACGAGATCAATAAAAAACTTAAGATAAGGCCTGCTTAGTTTAGTTGTATAATAAACTAATTATTTCTGGGATATTTTGGCCCTCCTCCACCCCTTCCTGCGCCTCCTCTGCCACCACCACGACCCCCACGGTCTCCACCGCCACCACCGGAAGGAAGAGAACCTAGTCCTGGTCTTCCAGTGAGGCCACCTATAAGAATGACAAGAAAAGGACCACTTTGTATTATAATATAGGCACATTAGTAACAAAAAAATATACCTCGGGGGCCACCACCCCGTCCACGCCCGCCACCGCCACCTCGTCCCCTCATACCACCACGTCCTCCACGACCCCCACCCCCAGAATTTTCGTCTTCTTTCACCATGTCAATTACCTCATCCGGAATACGAAGGTATTTAATATTCGTTCCCCTAATATAACATTCCGGCATCCTCCAGAACTTATCTCCATCCTACCATAGAAGAATGCATGTCAAGTCATGAATAATAATTCCTAAAGGTATTTGCATCAAAAGAGTAATTAAATTACCCTTGAGGTACATATTACATCCCTAAGACAAATATTCATCCATCCATCACAAGCTTGAAGATGACCGTTGTATGTCTCGCCATTCTTCAGTTCCACCAACTGAACATGAAAGAATTTTACAAAAACAGAAGCCCATAAGTATATAACAAATTAAATCAGTTATTTTGACAATAAAATTGTGAATCATGTAGTAGCCGGCAAATGAAATCATCACATGTCATACATAAAAAACATTACAAAATTTTACCATTGGCATGTATTGTGCTGCACGAAGGAGTGATAACGGTAACTGGAACAAAACAAGTCACATTTATTTGTGAAACACTGTTTTAACAAGAAACTTCAAAATTGTAAATTTAAAATTTAATTTAAAATCATAAAATGTTGATTGCAAAAATAAGTGTGTATCCTTTACCATTGCAATTTAGATATTCCAACTAACTCTCAAACAACGCCAACTTTTCCTTCCTCACTTAAACTTCAATGCAACGAATAACTTATTTTATGTAATTTACAGCAACTTCAAAAACTTTTAAAATTTTAAATTCCTGAAACACTTTATTTACTCGGCTGCCAAAATTTTGAATTGAATCTCGCTCTGTGTTCTCCGCGCATCCCGAGGCACGAGCCAACAGCCTAGCGAGAAAAACCAGGCTGGATGGAATCCATGTCTGCCGCATGCATATTCCGCACGTCGGGCGCGGTGGTGGCGCCCTCATGCCGGCTTTCCCTCGCTCTTGCTCTCTCTGTCAGCAGCAGAGCAAGGAACGTTTTCCAACGTTGTTCTTTCCACTCCAACTCTCCTACGAAGCGGAGGTTCTGCTCCTATCACTCTCCACTTTTGAACAAGCTCTCCACGCAAGAAATACTTCGCAAACATGGTAAGTCCACATTTTTATCCACACCCACTTTGCTTTTCTTCCCAAGAGGGCCCTTGGAGTGGGGGGTTGCGTGGGGTTCGAAAGATTAGACAGAATTTTGGGGGTTTTTGGTAATTTGTAATTTGACATTCCTGGCTCGTGGTGGTGGTTGAGAGAGCGGCATGGCATGCTCTCGCCATTGCTCAACATGCCGTCACTTCATGTGCGTTGTGGCATATGCTGCCAGAAAGGGAGAAAGTTTTTTTTAGAAATGGATGGATTAATAATTGTTGCATGTGGGGTGGGTGGTGGGGTTGGCTCAGGTAAATTAGGAGATGCTTACTTGTACTTGTATGTTGTAGTAGTGTGTACAATATTTGAGATCCGTTAAGAGCGAAAGGAAAGAAATCAAGGTCAAAAACCGTTTCCGGTTTTATGAAGCTCTTTTCAGTTGAATTTAGAACGATATTTTTGTCTAGTAGTCTTTTTGGATACAAATAATGAGTAAATTACTGAAAATTACATGTAAATGTTGTTTTGTTAATAAGAGTATGTGTTCATTCTTAAGTTTTGTTGAGAAGTAGTAGGGGTTAATATATATTTAAAAGTCTCAGAAACTGACTCCTCTTCTTGATGCATTGCAATCAGTGTATTAATGGCTTCATCCCATTTATAGGTGAACTTTACTGTCGACGAGATCCGCGGGATGATGGACAAGAAGAGGAATATCCGAAACATGTCCGTCATCGCTCACGTGGATCATGGAAAATCTACTTTGACCGATTCCCTCGTGTCCAAGGCTGGAATTATTGCAGGGTCGAAGGCTGGAGAAGCTCGTTTTACGGACACCCGTAAGGATGAACAGGAACGTTGCATCACTATCAAGTCTACGTAAGTTATTCATTTAATCCGATTCTACACATGACGTCAAATATTTGATATTGTTCGTTGTATGATTTTTTACATAGTGCCATCACTATGTACTTTGAGTTGGAAGAGCGTGATTTAATTTTCATCAACCAACCGGATCAGCGTGATCCCGGATCCAAGGGATTCTTGATTAACTTGATCGATTCTCCTGGACACGTTGACTTCTCGTCTGAAGTAACGGCTGCTCTTCGGGTCACGGATGGAGCTTTGGTCGTCGTCGATTGCGTTTCTGGTGAGTTCGGTTAATTTTCACTAAATTTTAGTTAGTTGGATTTGTATTGCAACGAAAAAAGAAGCCAATAAATAATTAAAGAACGTCTCCAATAAAAAGTGCGCGGGAGGGACCTTTGCCGTTTTGGTACCCCTTTTTGGGTCCGTTTTTTTTACTGGCCGTGGCAATTTTCCCTGGTCTTCCAAAAATAAAATTAAATCAGTTACGCGTCAACTTAATATTTTAAGACGGAACATTAATCAACATGTTTCAAAAGTATTTTTTCATCCATCCATTGCCGCTATTATTTACTTCGAATGATGAATGTTCTTACTGGTCTGATATTTGTTATGACTGACATCAGAACGGCCATCTGATGTATCGAATTATGTAAACACACCGACATAGCTTAGCTCTTAACAAATTAAATGAATTATATGATTCCAATTAATAACGAGTAATAGTAATTAATAATATGGTGATTTAATTTAACCCAGGTGTGTGCGTCCAGACGGAGACCGTCTTGCGTCAAGCCATTGCTGAGAGGTAATGTTAAACTTTAAGTTGATTTACAAATGATTTAAAAGATCCAAAGCACAACACAATATTATTTAATCAACTGATAAATATAACGACGCTGCGTTTCGCATCGAGCAATAATAAAATTGTTGTAAATTTATTCAGGATTAAGCCAGTCCTCTTCATGAACAAGATGGATCGAGCTCTTTTAGAGTTGCAATTGGAACAGGAGGATCTTTACCAGACTTTCCAACGTATTGTTGAAAATGTGAACGTCATTATTGCAACTTACAATGACGATGGCGGTCCCATGGGAGAGGTCCGAGTTGACCCAAGCAAGGGCTCTGTTGGATTTGGGTCAGGTCTTCACGGTTGGGCTTTCACCCTGAAACAGTTTTCCGAGATGTACGCTGATAAGTTCAAGGTTGACGTGCACAAGATGATGACTCGCTTGTGGGGTGAATCTTTCTTCAACCCTGCTACCAAAAAATGGACCAAGATGAAGGATGGCGAAAACAAACGTGCATTCAACATGTATGTTTTGGACCCAATCTACAAGGTCTTTGATGCCATCATGAACTACAAGAAGGAAGACATTACCAAGTTGCTCACCAAGCTGGGTGTCAAGCTTCTCCCAGAAGATCAGGACAAGGATGGAAAACAATTGTTGAAAGTAGTGATGCGAACTTGGCTTCCAGCTGGGGAGACTCTTCTTCAGATGATTGCAATTCATCTGCCATCGCCAGTTACGGCCCAGAAATATCGTATGGAAATGTTGTACGAAGGACCTCTTGATGATGAAGCCGCTATTGGCATCAAGGTAATAATATAGTAGCCTTTGCATTATAATACCTCCCTCAATATTGTCGATGATGAAAAACGCTTTAAATGTCTAAGCTCCATTGAATTCGAAACTCTTGAATGTTCATGTGTGAGTTTCCACTTTGGAGTCCGCAAGGGCTGAACCCACCAATGTGCTGAAATCGATGGATATTGCGGATTTTTTTAAAGCTGTCTGAGTCTATTTCATAGATATAACTTTTAATTCTCCTAATTTAGTTCTACACACTTTGAGTTTAGTAGCAATTATTATTTTGTTTGATTGCCTTTTAAAATATTCTGTATCACTCTCATTCTAGACTTGCAACCCTGAAGGACCTCTGATGATGTACGTCTCCAAAATGGTTCCCACCTCCGACAAGGGACGTTTCTATGCATTTGGCCGAGTCTTCTCTGGAAAAGTGTCGACAGGAATGAAGGTATACAAAATTGAAAAAATTTGACTTTGTTGGTGAAGATCTTGATTCTTCGTACGACGTAATATGAAAAGTTTAAAATAATTTGCGTAGATTTAGATTTAGGTGTTATATATATATGACAGGGTTTATATGTTCTTAAATCTTTAGGCTCGTATCATGGGACCCAACTACGTCCCGGGCAAGAAGGAAGATGTTGCTGAAAAGACTATCCAGCGTACAATCTTGATGATGGGTCGTTACACTGAAGCCATTGAAGATGGTGAGTGTTCATGCAGATTGTTTGCGACCTATAAAACTAGAATTAAAAATCCGAGTCGAGGGTACCTATTAATAATATGTGGGAGAACCAAATAATATGTTTTGTTACATTTCAGTTCCATGTGGTAACATTTGTGGTCTTGTTGGTGTTGATCAATTTTTGGTGAAGACTGGAACTATCACCACATTCAAGGATGCCCATAATTTGAAGGTCATGAAGTTCAGCGTGTCGCCTGTCGTGCGTGTGGCCGTGGAGCCAAAAAATCCTGCCGACTTGCCCAAGTTGGTTGAAGGTCTTAAGCGTCTGGCCAAATCCGATCCTATGGTCCAATGTATCATTGAAGAATCTGGAGAGCACATCATTGCTGGAGCTGGAGAACTCCATTTGGAAATTTGTCTTAAGGATTTGGAAGAAGATCATGCTTGTATCCCGATCAAAAAGTCGGACCCTGTTGTCTCGTACCGAGAAACCGTATCAGATGAGTCGACCGAAACTTGTTTGTCCAAGTCACCCAACAAACACAATCGTTTGTTCATGAGGGCAGTACCCATGCCGGATGGCCTTCCTGAGGACATTGACAACGTATGTAGTAATTTTGTCCTCGTATTTATTTTATTCACATCGGAATTATTTTTTGTACATAAATTCGTCGAAGCGAAGGACAAAGGCGAATTTATATTTTTTTTCTATGATGATTGTTCCACAGACCTGTTCTTATATACCGTGACTGACACTAGAACGGCCATCTGAGTTTAAATTTGAATTAGTGACAATTAAATACACGTCGAGAATGTTCACGAAATACTAAACAATTATATTCCTGTATATCCGTTTCAGGGAAAAGTCAATCCTCGTGATGACTTCAAGATTCGAGGGCGCTACTTGGCCGATACGTACGAATATGACATTACCGAGGCTAGGAAAATCTGGTGCTTCGGTCCTGATGGAACTGGCCCCAATCTCCTGATGGATTGCACCAAGGGAGTCCAATACTTGAACGAGATCAAGGATTCTGTTGTTGCTGGATTCCAGTGGGCCTCCAAGGAGGTAAATAAATACACTGACTTATGATGAGCAAGTTAATAAATTGAAAGATTAATGTAAACCATCATATTGAGGTTGAGTTGTTCGATTCGATTCTTAAAGTGCCTGGTGCCCACTCCCATTCCCTATCTTTGTTAACTCAGTAGTAGTGAATGCAAGGTGTCAGGAAAATTAATTTCCATTTGCTTAGTGAGTCGATATGACTAATTTTCGATTCATTGTTTAAGATGGAATACAAAATCTACGAAAGTCAAACTCTTTTCAATACGAATTCAACATTTAAACTATGTGCTTATATTATTTATTTTCTAATAGGGAGCTCTGGCTGAAGAAAATATGCGAGGTGTTCGATTCAACATCTACGACGTCACTCTACACGCTGACGCTATTCATCGTGGTGGTGGTCAAATCATCCCAACTGCTCGTCGTTGTTTGTATGCCTGTCAACTGACTGCTTCTCCACGAATGATGGAGCCTGTGTATCTCTGTGAGATCCAGTGTCCTGAGAATGGTTAGTACATAAGAAATTGAATGAATTGGATAGAAAATAAGAACAAAGAAAGTAACCACATGGTTGAATGGCGTATGAAAGCATAAAAATGCAATGCCTTTATTTATATATCAACAGTAAAATTCATATTATCAGTATGCTCTACTGAAATACTAAGGGACCTTCCCGTTAAAAATTTAAAAGCTGCCTGTACAAAAACTCTGTCCCCTCTTTCAATAGTATGTACATTCTCGTATTTCTTATTGTCCCTTTGAATGAGGATGCCATTGTAGGATTGGCCCTTCATTTCTGCAAGAACAAGAGCTGCATGACCCAATCCCTCCTTCCTTGTGCAATCTTCTTTCACCAAATCGAATAGATCCCTCTGCTGATCCGTCCACTGTTTAAAAGAATTAGATGTCTCAATGGTGTTTGCAATCGCAAGCTGCTCATCCGACAGGGGGGTTTGGTAGATGGGTCCTGATTTGAATTGGTCACTACTGCATTAAAGAAACAAGAATTTTAGTATGATAAAATTTAAACATACATGTATGTAAACTAACTGGGTGTAAACAGAATGATCCTCCTCCTCCCTCCTCCTGGACGTTTTCAATCCAACATTGACTTTGTTGTTGGGTTCCACTCCACAATAGATTCTAGGCAGTTTTGAGCAATATCGATCTTTGTTGATTAACGAGGAACTGCTATCATCATCATCATTTCCCACGGTGAAAGTCACTCCATTCTCTTCCAAAATCTTTTCCACCGCTGCCAAATTAGCGTTGTCCATGTATAACTGTTTATGAAGGAACGAATGTGGTTTGATGGGGGCGTCCGAGTCAATTTTTTCCATGTTTCTGAACAGTGTGATGAGCGCGACTGACAACTTCAAATACAAATACAATTATTATTAATTTTCTAAGCACTTATGTACATGGGTAACTTACTGTCATGGAATGAATGGCTGGAAGTCGTTCCGGGGAGGAGAGCAGAATAGATTTTTCATAAATAGGGGTGAAATGTGCGTTAGGGTGTGCAGCAAGATATTTTTGTGTTAGATTGATATTGTAAGCAGATTTTTTAACCATATTTGTCGTCCATTCTGTTTTCTTCACACTCATAATGCTTAACGCTGCATGATAATGAATGGTCTTCTCATTAATATCACGCAAAACGGCGAAATTTTGATATCGGTTTGTTGAATGGTTATTACACAAATAGCCCTCCGATGTTGACCTCGACCAACATTGCTTGCATTTTTTGAGGTGAGGGACGCCCTGGTGTATACTGCCGTAACACAGCGTTGATCCATTCCAATATAAAGGAATGAATTCACCCCACTCGTTTTCTCCGACATCGTTTTTTTGAGGGGTTTTCGCACCTTTGGTTTGGGTCTTACCACGAGTTGATATAGGAATTTTGACAGGGAAAAACTTTTCCATTCCTGCTTTATGAGTATTATAGTGAGTCGTCCATTCCTCAATTAGCACAAAAAATAATGGATCTTTGTCAATTTCTTCATCCTTTCCAACAAAACCTCTTTGAACAAGAACACTTTTTACATAGTCGAATATTGTTCGGATATCACTTTTTCTTGGTAGTTTGAATTTTGTGACGCTATCCCTTTCGTCGTCAAACTCTCCAACACCCAAATCCGAATCAGACGAATATGTCGTTGAGGAGGGCGAAGGTGTTGCTGTAAAGGGAGAAGGAACTGTTGATCTGGGTGAAGAAATGGATGGAGAAAACGGCGACTGAGGTTGAGCGAACAGCGGGTGAATTATTTTTCTAAACGATAAACAGATAATGATTAATAATAGTTCATTCAGTTGTGCATTCCATCACTATTTACTCACATATCCAACTAATCTCGAAACAAGATGTCTCGTCAATTCATCCACATTGTTTCCAATCCGTTTGAGATGAACATCTGGATTTGTGGGTGGTTCGTAGTCCGCATCAATAGGGTTTATTACTACACAAGCAAAATAAACTCAAAACGAGTCAAAATCCACTGTTATGAATAATCAAAAGTTTTACCATTTCTTCTCAGGCCAGTTTCTGCATCACATTCCGCTCTTGACCTATCCACAAAGACATCTACAAACTTCAGTCCGTCTTGCTCATGAGAATCCCTGGCTTTCTGTCTATCCTATAAATGTGCGCAGAATTAGCAACCTAAGCATACAATATTACATTCTTTCATGTCTCACCTCATGTAATGGAGCCACAATGGAAATTATGGACACAAACCCCTCTTCTGTGATCCCTTTGGCGTGTTCACTAGCCAAGTGAACAAAAGCCGACCGATCCTTATCTTCGTCAAAATTCAGATTTTTGCAGAGACCGGCCCTCAAAGACTTCCCGTCTATTTGTTTCACTAAAATCCCGTTGGATTTTAGCATTTTAGTGAGGGCATTGGAAATCGTGGTCTTCCCCGACTTCGCTAGACCTGTTCATACAATCATGATTATTAAGAGATACAAAAATTGCAAACTTATTAAACCCCATTCGATAATAATATTGCAAAATTTTATCAGTAATATAACAAACATACCTGTCATAAGAATTGTACATCCATTGTTTACCTCACTTTCACTTTGCCATTTCATCCTCTTATTACTTGGTGGAGAGGGGGATGGTGACCCAACATGGGTAATTTTACTGGAGGTGGGGGTGGATAGGTCCATTTTAAGTATTATTTTCTTTAATAATACAAATAATCGTACAAAAAGTTGACTGAGCCACTTGTTACAAAGACAACCCGGTATTTGGCGCTGTTCGTAAACTTCATGACGCTGGCCATGAGGGGGAAAAATCTTGCTGTGTTAAAGCAAGACACAGAAAAGGGATCTACACACAAGGTGTAGATCCCTATTCTGTGAAAGCAAGATAGGAAGTTTACGAACAGTGCCTTTCTTGTTTGAGTGGTGTGTGGAGTGCGTGATGGGGCATATCAATACACGTCAACTGAATACTAACTGTTTGGTTTTAATTTTTCAGCCGTTGGAGGAATTTACGGTGTGCTCAATCGTCGTCGTGGTGTGGTCTTTGAAGAAATGCAGGTATTTAAAGCCAACAATGTTCCATTAATTACTATAGAATAGTGTAATATAGTACAAGTCCTACAAAATTTACGTCTTGCAGGTTGCTGGTACTCCGATGTTCGTTGTCAAGTCGCATTTGCCTGTCAACGAATCATTTGGTTTCACCGCTGACTTGAGAAGTAACACCGGAGGACAAGCTTTCCCTCAATGCGTTTTCGACCACTGGCAAGTCTTCCCTGGGAATCCATTGGAAGCAGGAACGAAACCCTACCAAGTTGTCCAAGTAAGATGTCATATTTATTATTAAGCGTTTAAATATGTGTACGTATTTATTTTTACGTTTAGATCAAACTATATTTTCCAATCAATACTCACTTATTTTTTTTACTTTTTAGGACACCCGAAAACGCAAGGGACTGAAAGAAGGTCTACCTGACCTTGCATCATACCTCGATAAAATGTAAAGAGGAGATATTCTATCTAATATCAGGAAAAAAAATAAAAATCGTAAGCTACGTGAAGAAGAGAACTACAGTGGATTGTGTTTGTTTGTTTTGGCAATTTTCTGAGACATTCTACCTAATTTAAATATGAAAGTTATGATAATGTAGCTGGTTGGTACATTGATTATTTATGTTGTATTAAATACTTCTATTGTTGGTTTATAAACAAATTCTTTATCCGGAACATACTAATCTGACAAAATATATACAATTTAGTTAGCAGTTGCGCATTTTCTTCGCGTTAAGTTTTTTGTACACTACTTTTTAAATTAATCAAATCAACAACAGTTATAAAATCTACGTCTACTCCAGAAATACGCAACTTTGCCTAATAAACTGTTAACTAAAAACAAATCAGCCATTGACATCGCTCATTCTATTGTAATGTTATCTGAATGACATGAATAAAAAGTTTAATCTTGTTGGAAATAGGCTTTGTCGAAATATTATCCCCGCGAACAAAATAGGTTAGTGTAATACGTAATACCCACCCAGCAATATTTGCGCTTCACATAGCGTAGTAGCTAATTAAGACATGAACATTTTTAACTAGAATAAAAGACGAGGCACATATATTATTAGCTGTCTTTATACTCACAGTAATCATCCCAATCCTCGCATTCATGAAAATTGGATCAGTTGTTATGAACGTAAATAATTGATGGTACTTAAACGACATAAAAAATAGCGTCATCTGGAACGATGACACCCATTCTAAATCTTTTTATCGTCGATGTAAATCCATAAAGTACCAGCTTGAAAACCCATTATATAACAAATAACAAAACTGTTGTGGGATGTAAACTTTTTAGTACTGGGCACTTTATTTTACAGGACGATATTGTTGTTCTTTTGTGAACGAGTGACCTTGACTGAAACTCTAAACCCTTGCAGTTTGACATTGAAAATAATTAGGGTAGCGGTGTATCGGTGATGTCATACCGTAATATTAAATCCATGTGCTTCACAATGCAGTGTTAATCTAGCCCGAGTCAAAGTCCATTCTAAATTTTTGTCAGATGATCCAGCTACAACTACTTTTCGTAATCGTCAAAAATGTTCCCATGATCCAGTATGCAAAATTTCAGCTTTTTCGACTAGTTTCAAGTGTTCACCCTGTTGATCCCCCTGACAAAAAAAAACCTTCAAAATTTCATATTTGTTAATCTGATCTACCGGATCTACCTCTGCAAGATCAGCACAAATTTAAGGCTTCTGTGACCATTTTCAAATATCAATGGAGTCACTTGGGTCTTCTAAATAGTAATTTAGTCGTTATGATGTTGCATTTCACTTTCACTTTAGCACACAACTATGACCAATGTCCCGAATATCACTCGACTTTTTTGACTACCACCGGTCAACCACTTACCGACCGACTTTCGACAGAATGAGTTTAAAGAGAGCTATCGCAACTTGCGATTCGCAAGTCAGACATACGTACACGATGGGTACATAAACCCGAAGTCAAATGACATTGGCTTTCATGCTGTCTCATTCTCATAATCGTTATGACGAGTTCGTTACATTGCTTGCATATCAGTATTAGATAGATACCTAGTGAGTCATGAAAGCACCTACCTCACTCACCGTCATTATTATAATCCTAGTCATTGCAAACTAATTTGCACATAATATTTGCAAATATGTATGATATGAAAGCCACCACCATCAACCAAACATGTTCCAGAGGCGTGCTAGTGCTAGCAACCACACCGCTCATTTTGTCGTTGGACTCGGTTGGACTCCATATTACTTTATTCTCCTTCCTTTGAGCTTATGCTCTTGTGTTTCTGAGGAAAATATCCAAGTTTCCAACTAATTTTTCATCTTCGTGAAATACTGCTCGATTTTCCTACCCAGGTAATAAAATTTCAATAATACAGGTATTCTAACAGACACGTAAGAAAAGTAAAAGAAAGTAGAGAAAGAAGGCAATTGAACCAATTTTACTAAAAAAACAAAGTTTTTGATCACAATTAATTTGGCAATTGTATTTTTGACTTTTGTTCATTCTATCAGATGCTTTAACGTTTGGCGAACTTTTCTGAGTAAAATTAATCGTCTTATTCATTATTGTGTATTTTTATGCTACATCACTAATACTTATATTATAATTATTATAGAAAGAAGACCAGAAACTTTGGCTGAGAATCGTATCATCATGTCAGCACAAATACAAGGATATCTGGAACAAGTGGAGAAACTTCTTCACGAAAAGAATAAGTTCACCGAAGTTATTGCTCTCGCGGAACAAAAAACCGGTGTCAAGCGGCTTTACATTGTTTCCGGTGAGGCTAAAATACAGACATTTAGAAATAACTCTAAATGTCGAGTGCATTATAATTTAATGTTATTAGTTTACGACAGTCTCATTTCATAATTGAATGACTTGTACTTGTTTGGCAAGTTATTATATAGTAGGAAGTAAATCACAATGCACATCTTCCAGTTCTTTATTAAATTAAAATGGGTAATATGCATCAGCCCTAATTTGAGTATGACGCATATGATATAATAACATATATAGATTTGAGGTCATAATAATTGTCAAGTAACATGTTTTTATCATATTTTTGTCTGATAAGATATCAGAGTAAAATCAATAAGTTTTTCTACTTCATGTTCAACTGTGGCTGTTGGTTGAGTGTTGAATTGACTATCTCTGTTGCAAATGCACGGCAAGTGAATATGCAGTTCGGATTAAGCATTAAGTTATAAAGAAATCATTACACCAGATTGCATAACACATACATGAATTCGCAATCCAATTGGTGGTTGTTGCACATTTTAACTACTACTAAGTAACTAGCTATGGCATGCTTGGCATTGCTTGGCAGGGTAATAGTATTACCGTAATACACCATCCATATTGAGCTTTTGCCAATATCAAACATTAGTGTTACACTTTTAAATTCTAGTCTGGTTTGTATTTTCTTTAAATTCGACCGCAAGTTACTGCAATAATGACGAAACCAGAAGAATTAAGTTTTAGTGGTATTAAGACAAAGGCTATTGCCATATGGGAGAATATTGACAATAATGAGTTAGTAATGTGTGAATATTTGGTATTAATATAATATCCTAACCTAAAATAAAAACAAATAACCATTTGGTGTTTATTTTTCTTCCAGGTGGAGTTGCTTTCATGTCATTGTGGTTGATTTTTGGATATGGAGCCCAGCTTCTATGCAATTCAATTGGATTTATTTATCCGGCTTATGCATCAGTGAAAGCAATTGAGTCTCCTCCAAAAGGTGCTAAGATTATTCTTATACTTCTTTTTAAAAAATTTTTAAAAATTTAACAAATTTTTTTACAGGCGATGACACTAAATGGTTGATGTGTAAGAACTTTGCATTTTTTCTATTAAATTATTAGCCCGAGCTAAGGCTGATGTTTATGTAACGAGTTAACGACTAATGAGATGAGTAAAATTTTCATTAACACGGTATGCAGTAATTGTACAGTATGTGTATTTCTTACCAAGTCAATGACATAAATACAATTACTGCATACCGTCTTTGGTAGCCAGTTTTCAAAAAAATAAATAAATAAAGTCGGAGAAAGGAACTAAAAATTACCAATAAAAATATCTACTTACAATGGAGTGAATAATTAAACTAGCTCAGCTCGGGCTCAAATACTGACCGAGGGTTTTCTGATTTTTTTTTGCTTTTTAGACTGGGTGGTCTTTGCTCTGTTCAGCGTTGTCGAATTTTTTTCGGACATCCTTCTCAATTGGTTCCCATTGTACTGGCTTGTGAAGGTACATTTTATTTATTTTGTGCTTGGTGAGTAATTAATTGCTATTATTTCCTTGAAACTAGTGCGTTTTCCTGATCTGGTGTTTCATCCCACTTGCCACCAATGGAACAAATGTTATCTACAATCGAATTGTGCGGCCACTATTTTTAAAACACCAGGGACACGTTGACAATTTCTTGGGCAAAGCAACTGATGCTGCTGCTAACCTTGTTAACAAGGGTATGTGTATGTATATATGCAATGCATAATATAATTTTTATTTCTTAAATCCTAATGATGTGGTGTCAACTTTCAGCCCAAGACGAGCTCCGAAAGAATAATTAATTTTTGTTTCATTTCGACTGTTTTAAACAAAATCAAATTCTCAATAACACCAATCTTGGACTTAAAACAACAAGTTATAACCTACATTAGTATTTATAATGTACGTGTATATTCCGGAAGAGATGTGATTGAACTAAACTATACAAACACAACGGGAAGCTCAAAAACACCTTGATAATATTATTTCTTGCATTGTTAGGTCATTCTGTTAAATATCGTATGATCGTTAATTCTATATACATAAAACACATGTTATAATATAAATGTTATGAATTATGTATTTCAACTCAAGTACGTACTTATAAAAAATTTAAATGCGTGAAATGAAAACCAATAGTAGGTGCCTCTCACTATTTGTACCTTCACATTTCTTTCACAATTTTCTCATTCGTCCAGTGTATTTTAATCTGAAGTAGGGAAGCCACAAATATTCGAATTTGTAAATATTGTTATCTTTCCTCATCTACTTTCATTGTTAGTGTTAGTACATACTTCTCCATTGATGGCATACATTGTTAATATACAAGTGCCATGTTATCTTACGTAAACCTACCATATTAAATGTTATTATTATTATTCGTGATTCATAGAAAATAAGACATGAATTATTTTACAAAATATCTATCTTGGTGTAACTAGAGTGCGCATGCAAGTGCATGGATTAAAATTCAGAAAAAATGAATCATGCATTTGCAGAGGAAAACTCATATATTGCACAAGGTTAAGTTTTTAACTTTTGAATATTTATTTCATTCAAACTTTAATCCATGCATGGACAATTAACTGCTGAAATGTTCCTTTTCTTTAAGATATTTATCAACTGCTTTGATAGCATCTCCCAAATCCTGATGAGTCAATGTTAAGGCAGTCTCCATGTTCACCCATTTATAATCCTTATGCTCGTCCGACAGCTTGATAGAAGCCTGAGGATTCTTCAGTCTAGCAATCCAGTAGTCTACAGTTTTCGGTTTTTCTTTGACCATGTACTAGATATTAAATCAAGCCGTTCACACGATTACTAGATATGACACACCATCAACTGAAATAATCGTCATGTTTCGTGTATTAAAGCACCTTCAACACAAACGGAGGGTAATTAGTGTCAATATCATATTGATCTTTGCCAAGCCCGGATTCTTCTTCCGTCTCCCGAAGTGCTGTTTGCATTTTATCCTCACCAGGGTCTACATGACCTATAAATAAACGTACCCTCATTACTGGTGATTCTTGTGGAGCAATTTACATATAGCTTGGTGTTGGACCTTTTGGTGGACTCCAGTGAAAATTTTGATACGACGCTTGAAGAAGGAGATATTGAAACTCTCCCAGAAAACGGTAGATCAATATCCCAGCCGCAGCCTTGAGCTGTTCGCCAGCCATTTTTCAGTCTGTCCTTTCTAAATTGTCCTTATTTATGACATACAACAAGTCCGAAGGAAAGAACGAGCCTTGTCAATTAGATAGATCAATCAATTAATTACGAGTATGTAGTACTTACTAAGTACTATTACTTAGTAGATCATTTAGATTTTTAGATGACGAGTTGATGAAAATATCATCGCCTTTCCTTTCGCGCTGAGGATTTCAGTTGTCTCATCGCAATTGTCTCCATCTGAGGAGTGCGAAGTACAAATACGAATTAAATAAACACTGCAAGAAATTGTTTTTAAAAATAGTTTTTTAATGGAATGTTCAAATAATCTATCTTCTGCGGTGCTACACATTTGACGACGGTATTAACATTAACAATTAACAATGGCGAATGCATCATTTAATATTTTTGGTTGTAATTTCAATTTTGACTTATTATTATTTCAGGCGACTTTGTCAATAATATCTGGAAACAATATTTTTTCCGACAATGTTTTACGGCAAGTCTGGAGGAAACGATAGGCATGGTTTTGGTCGGAATGATCGACATGACCAAATGGTGAAGCAACAACAGTTAATTGAGCAGAAAAAACGAGAAATTCAAGCGCGATTAGATGCTGAGCGCAAGAAAGAGTTGCAAGAATGTGAAGCAACTGCGGGGGATACAGATAATGCAGAAGTTGACGTCAAGTCTCCTAGTTCGATCGGTAAGAAATGAATCTGTGGTGTTCGCCATTAATAAGTGCATAGCTAGATTAGGGTGCAACTAGTTAAGTTTAACATTCATCCCAAAGTTTGCATGCCATATAACGGTAGTATGTTCAGGTAATGTAACGTAACTATTCATTGAGCAGCACAGGGCCCTCTATATATAGTTTGTAGTGAGTAATTGAATAGGGTGGAGATTGAGTGTTTTGAAATCTAGTCGCAGGTGCGAGTTCTTCTACTGCATCAACTTCGCCATCCTCACAAAGGTACAACAAACAAATATTCAAGTGTCGGGCTGGTGGTGATGTGATGAGGGTTTTCAAATCGAAACAACGTTGGACAAGACCTCAAATACTTCTTGAATATGAATCTCTGTGGATAATATTATTTAAATAAATTTGAAATGAATAAATTTTCGATTAACAGTTGTATTGTTTAATTATGTCCAGATGCAAAAGAGAAGTGGAGGGGAAAAAACCTGCAGCCGTCCAGTTTAACTTTAATAATGATGGAAGTTTCTTGGAGCAGTTTAAGAAGATGCAAGAAGAAACTATGAAAAAAAGTAAAACTATATACATTTTTTACCAATTATTCAATTTTTGATTTAAAACAAGTCAAGTTTACCATAATTTTAAATAATTGTTTTGCCTGCTGCCTTCAGAGAAAGAAGAGGAAGCAGCAGCGTTAGCAGCAACGGGAGTCGAAATAAAGGAAGAACCTTTGGATTACGATGATTATGGAAATCCAGTGAAAAATAATCCCGCAATTAAAATACTGCGCCAAGAAAATGTTGCTAGACATAGTGGTGGTAGTAATAACAATAGTAACAGTAACAATAGAAGATATGATCCTGATGCCTCCATAGAACAAGAATATTATAATGCTCCACCACCTCCTCCTCCTCGCCCCGGGCATCATCAGCATCACCACAACGTCAAACCATATTTCAATCAAAGACCCAGCAACATGGGCATGGATTATCATCAATATAACAAAGCATCGCCGCCGCCACCACCTCCTCCTCCACCTCCTCTCCCAATCCATGGTATTCTTATGAAAACTAAATACTATGATATACTTCATATATATCTACATAATATTATTCATGGTTATAATAAATACGTTTTATAACTGTTTATATTATTATGCAAAATTAGTGACTGCTCCGAAACAGCTTGGATTTCCTTCACCTCAAGTCAAAGCATTGGCAGCAGTTGTCGCAGAGAAAGGAGACTATATTGAGGATGAACAGCGAATGAAACAACATGATCCGCTGATGTGGTGAGACCTTTGGATTTGTTACACAGTAATGTAAATATCTAATCTGGACATGCGATTTAACCTAATGCTTAATTATTAAATTTAAGGTTCTTGAATAAGCCTGATTCGACGGAATATAAAACGTTTAGGGCTTTGGTGGCTGAAATAAAGTCTGACATTATGACGCACATGCGATACAATCAAGCCCCTCCACCACCACCACCGATTGTGACTAAAGAATTTTCAATTAAACCTGAACCTGGTTTAATTAAGGCAGAACCTTCATTTTCTCCTTTGCCTGTCCAACCATGCTTCAATAATTTCATCAAAATAGAGCCTTCTTCCGGGTCATTACAACAATCCATACCATCTCCGTATTCTAACTTTGTTAAATCAGATCCATGTACAACGCCACCACCACCACCAACAACAACAAAAGCAGCATCTTATGATGCCTTTAATTTCATCAAATCAGAGCAATCAACAGTAGGCCCAACATCAAGTTCGGCATCGGCAGCGACTTCTTATAGTAATTTTGTTAAATCTGAACCAGTTAGTTGCACAGGTGCAATTAAACGTGAAGCGCCCAGTTCAGACAGTGAGGAAACGGAACAAGAACGAAAGGAACGTAAACGAAGAAGCCGCTGGGGACCTCAATCTCAAGCTGACTTACCTCCCGCAGGCGTTGTAACAATTCCATTAGTTCCTGGGCTATCACTGGTCCCCTGTGAGACATAATTTCATGCCATAAATTCTATTATAATAATCGATATTTATTTTAAAATATGATAACTGATTGTATTTGTATGGATTAATACTTGAAGATGGATCAGGAGAGTCTGCAGAAGAGATTGGAATGAATTTGATGAATATGCCGCTGTTACCTGTATCTGCCATGGGAGCTGGACCTGGAGCCTCCATCTCAAAGATAACTAGAACTAATCCACAGCTTCTTGCATATGCTCGTCAAGCGTAAGCAAGTTATTTCACATTAATTAATCCATTATTCGCAATAGATTCATAAGTCAACATTTCTCAGGCTAAGCACAAAAATTTAATTTTAGCACCACGTTTACATTATTGTGTTCACGTTCATGAGAGATTTTTGTTTATTTATATGTGCCTTTATTTAATAATTTACTAAATACATTATTTTTGGTTTAAAGATACGGAAGAATTGATTTGGACGACGATGAATGGAAACAATGCATTGGTAAGTCGATAGAAACAAATCAGATTAAATGCTAATCCTAACTTGTGTCGTTAAGTCCAACTACGACTCATGCATGTAAATATACATACATATGTAGAAAATCAAGTATTTCACACCCTGTAAATTAAATTATAGAAGAAAGTTAATTATATATAGCCCTTAGATTAAACCTTGAGATTGTTTATTAGTATTAATTGCATTTAACTAATTATTTTTGTTTAAAGATCTGCTATTTGCTAATAATTATTGCTTTACGAGTAAAATTCATAATTAATCAATTGTGTTATCGACTTAGAGAGGCGGACACGACAATACTATTAATTTTAAAAACTTATTATGCTATTGGTTTATACCCAGATGCATACAAAATGAACATGGTTTTCCAAGACATTGCCAGAAAGAAAGCAAACGATGAAGAATTAGCTCGAGCTGGAAAATTCAAGTGAGTGGGAATTCCATTATCAAGTTATTGTAGCAAACGAAGCAAATGGACACAAATGTAAAGTGTGACTACTGCTAATTGCACAAGGATAAACGATTTTCACTTGCCCCTTTCTGATCTAGCACATTTATCCTACTCGGATACTAGAAATCGTCTCCATTTATTTCTTCAGCGACGCATTGTCTGTATAGATGAGTATTATTCAATTTTAAGTTGTATTTGTAGACATGAATACGATAGCGATGAGGAGACAGAAGGTGGAACATGGGAGCACAAGGTTTTCATTAAATCATCCTCTTCTTTCAAAAATCGTTGTCAAATTGTTACTCATATTCCACTGTTATAATTTCAAGGTTCGCATGAAGGAAATGGAGAAAACGAGAGATTGGGCTCAAGAACTAACACAAAGTGCCCATGGAAAACATCATATTGGCGATTTTCTTCCTCCAGATGAACTAGCAAAATTCATGGAAAAGGTTAGCATAATGTTGAAGTAATTATTCCGGCTATCGAATTGCCCACAATTTATTTTATGACTTACATTGCAGTACAAAGCAGTCAAAGAAGGCAAACAGCTTGATGAGAGCGAGTACCAAGAGTACAAACTTCAGCAAGATAATATCGGTTTCAAAATGTTACAAAAGATGGGGTGGTCCTCTGGCGAAGGGCTGGGCGCTGAGAACCAAGGCATTCTTGCTCCAATCGACAAGTGAGTGTATAGCTTTTGTAAAGTACAAACACATATATATTATCATTGACAAACCATGGCTTAGTGACCAAGTATAAATAAATAAATATTGCGTAGGGGCAAAGTGCCATCAGATAAGATGGGGTTAGGCGTAGAAAAACCTGGGGACTTGAATGAAGAGGATGACGAATATACTGCTTACAGAAAAAGGATGATGCTAGCTTACAGATTTCGACCGAATCCTTTGGTAATTCAATATTATTTAATATGAATAAGTTAATGTGAAATGATTAATTGTTGATTATAAACCATTTAAAAATTATATAATTCGTGTTATTGATTTACCTATAGAACAATCCCCGGCGAGCATACTATTAGCGTGTGGGAGATTGAAGAGAGGATGAAAAAAGACATGAATCATATACTTTGCAATAAAAATTTGTTCGCATATTAGGTATTGTTAAAATGTTAATCCCTCTCTACTCTACCCCCTATCTATCTATTTAGTACTTTTAAGATACTGTTGCCACTTTTGTCGTTTTGTATCTCACACAATAAGCTATTGGTTGATATTATCATTGTTTAATATATTTATTCAGTATGATATTCAGATGAAATAAAAATGCTTCACTTATTGAGGGAGCCCTTATAAGAAAGATAAGAAAGACTTATTTGTAAGATTTCTGCTCAGACGTAATGCAGAAAACTCCTGACATGCAATATATGTTGCATGCATTAAGGGCTTGTCTTACGGCGTATTGCACATCATATAATTATAAACATATCCTATGCCTATTTGTTGTGGGAAAATGTTTATGCTAAAGTTCTCTTCTCACGATCCAAAACAATGTAAAGTAAATTAGTACAATTCAGCTTAACCCGAAACAAGGATTAGACATTTTGCATGGCACATGTTATGGCTAATCAATATATTCGTTCGTATAGTGGGTACGTTATTGGGTAGGCAGGGGATAACAATCATGTAATCGATTACATAGGAGCCTGTTGGCATTAAATAAATACAAATTCGAGCAAAATTTCTGCACGTAGTATAAAACCATTCTCCTTTCCGTATGCCAAGTAATATTTCAACCATCATAAGTAACACATAAAATTAATTCTATTTTGAGTCTTCCACATTTACTCATTTCCTCAATGTTAAGATATCATATCAATGACATATCCCTCCAGCCAGGCTGAAGGAGTCAAAATGTCAAGACCATTACTTAACTGACTTCTTAAACTTACGTTATATCTTTATAAGACCTATAATAAATGAACTTTGGTATGTATGCATGTACATATAGCAAATGTGTTTTATCAGTATTTGCACAACGCGAAGTAAAGTTCAAGTGGCCATCGATCTGTACTACCAAAATTTGTCCCATATACATAAATAAATACATTACATTATGTTCATATGCGAACTCCAATCTGTACATTTGCAAAATTCATGACATGTACATTGTTCCTGACAAGTTTAGATAAGTGATAAAACATCAGTAATTATTGTCGCTGATTGCAAATTCTTCTGATTTCTCATCATACCAATATCTTTTGCATAGTGATTGATTTGATAGTCTTGTGATTGTCAGCAAGCAGTGTGGGCGAACCTAATTGTAACATCTTTTAATATACAGTTTGATACTGGTGCTCACATATTTTATACCACTTTGACTTCGACTTAAGAATTATTCAAGTAATTAACTCAGGACAACGCATACAAAAAAATGGCAGCCGACGCCGGATTAGTGAATGGTGGAGCTAGTAATAATGAGGGGTTCTCAAAAGTAAGAAAATAAGCATAAACTGACATTGAAAACAATGCCCCTTGAAAATGTCATTTGTGTGGTAAAGATGATGACCGAGATGCGGAAAGTTTTTGAGACTGGTCGGACCCTGCCTCTTGCTTTCCGACTACGTCAACTGGATCGTTTTTATGACATGGTCAATGAAAATTTTGATGACATGTTATCTGCGAGCAATAAAGACATGAGGAAAACAAAATTTGAAGGTAATCTATGAGTAGTAAGGAATCAATGCTAGTAGTTAAGCAATTTGAAAAATTTATGGACATGTAGAAACTTGGTGCATTTCCGTTCGGTCGAATTTAGCAACATTTAATTGTCTAGTATTTTTTATTACTTATACAAACGTCTTTTTAGCTGGCAGTTATGAGCTTGAAATTCTCAAGATTGAGGCAAAAAAAATGAAGAAGAACTTGAAAACTTGGGTACAAAGGGAATGGTTACCATTTAATATATTGGTGCCTTTCGATTCAGGTATGCACATAAATGATGCAATATTGATATATTGAGATAACGCATAGCATTGCCGTTTAATTTGTCGAAATATTGACCTAAATATATGTTTTTGTCAATAATTATAGCATGCATCAAGAGAGATCCGTACGGTCTAGTCCTTATAATTGGTTCGTGGGTAGCAATTTATTAAATTTTGATTGAAAATGAGATTTATTAGAAGAATACATATTTAATTAATTCTAATCAAGGACCATGGAATTACCCGTTCCTTCTTCCACTTCAACCACTTGTGGGGGCTATCGCTGGTGTGTTGTGCATAATTTGTTAAAAATACAATAGATATTTTCGGAGAGATTTAACATTTAGCTTTAATAAAAAATCTATATTTCATACATATTTTCAAATATTCCGATAGCTGGAAATTGTTGCATTCTCAAGCCTTCTGAGCACTCGCCCCATGTGTCTGCCAAGATTGCAGAGCTTATTCCAAAATACTTGGATCCGGTAATAATTACTTACGTATAATTATCAGTCTAAAGTTATCATGTTAATCCCATTTATTTATTATGATCACTGTCATCATTTACTTATTTTTATTGTGGTTTGTAGGAATGCTACAAAGTTGCTCAGGGGGGTGTGCAAGACACGATCCAGCTCCTGGATCAGAAATTCGACTATATTTTCGCGACATCATCGACTTGCATTGGCAAATCAATTATGCAAGCTGCAGCTCGTTTTCTTACACCAGTGACTTTAGAACTGGGAGGAAAGAGTCCAGTCTACATTGATGAAGACGCTGATCTAGAAATGACAACAAAGCGAATTTTGTGGGGAAAATGTATCAATCTTGGTCAGGTATGCAAATCGAGTTCTGATTATGAGAATGGTTCGAATCGAAGTGAAGTGTGACAAAAAGTGAAAGCTATACAAGTTTTTGCTTTTGTAGACGTGCATTGCTCCAGATTACGTTCTTTGCTCCAGGAAAGCACAAACCATTTTTATTGAAAATGCCAAGAAGTACTTGCAAGAGTGGTATGGCGATGATCCCAAAACCAGCATGGATTTGCCCCGCATCATTAATTTAAATCATTTCAAGAGACTCTCAAAGTTGCTGGATGGAACAAGTGGAAATATTGCATTGGGTGGAGACAGAGACTCGGAAGACCTCTACATTTCACCAACACTCGTTGGTATGTATTATAAAACAAGTTTTTCGTATAGTATGTAATCTTATATGAGGAACAATTTCTAGTCGACGTCAATGAGGAGGACATGTTAATGCAGGAAGAAATTTTTGGTCCTATTTTACCATTCGTCACAGTCAACTCGAAAGAAGAGGCTTTGAAATTTATCAAAAGCAGACCAAAACCCCTGGCCCTTTATGTGTTCTCAAAGTCCACAGCCACGATGGATTACTTTATCGACAGATCTAGTGCAGGAGCGGTCTGCGTAAATGACGTGGTACAGTGTTATCCTAATTAAGCAGATCTGACTGACTCTCCTTAACGTGAATCTGTGAATCTATAGGTGGTGCAGAATGCGTGGGACGGGCTGGCCTTTGGGGGTGTGGGTGACTCTGGGATGGGTCGTTATCACGGTCGTTATTCGTACGATACGTTTTCTCATGAAAAGAGTGTCTTGATTCGTAGTTTTTCAAAAACTGGAGAGAGCATGGCTTCTGTCCGCTATCCACCATATTCCACCCGCCACATGCAAATAATTGGGGCCTTTGTGAAGCATTTCACAAAATTCAATATTCCGCAGTATAAACCTCTCGCATATTTGCTAAGCTTCATTGGGGGAGTTGCTTCGGCTATCGCTGTCGTAGGCGCAAGATGGATAACGCCCAAGAAGCGATAAAAATAAAATTATTTACAAATACATACATTGTTAATATTTAGTCTTTTATGTTGTTGATTCCACCAAAAGCAAATTTCATTAAATTACATCAAAGTAACATTCCTATACCATACATAGTAGGGGTACAATTTTAAATTTAAATTTATTTAAAAGGAAAGTAGCAAATAAGCTCCTCATAATAACAGACAGAGTACATTAATAATTCATTATATAACGAAACATCACACTTCTGACAATATGCACAAAATACGTACGTTCATAAGAGCATCCTGACTATTCTTTCGAACTTTTAGATATTACGATCGGCTAACCATCATTGCATGCAGTATGCAGTGGTAGCTTGGGAAGTTGCTGGGCTGGAAGGACGTGACGTGAGCATTTCATCGGTCTCCTGGTTCTGCTCAATAAAATTATCTATATCTTCACGAGAATTTGCATTTTTCTTTAAAGTATCTGTTTCAAATAAAAATGTATATTTGCATTAAAAAGTGTTCCTTTATATCACTATGTTCTTATTTCACTATTTTAAGCATTACCTTGCTTTTGACGATTAGTTCGGCCGTACAAGGTGCGGATCGGAACTCCAAATTTTTTAGCGGCATTAGAATGACGCATTCCACTCTGGACTGCATTTATTGCATTGCAAATTTGATCGTAGGAATACTTCTTGTATTTTTCAGAATTCTTTGACTTTGACTCTTTACCTGAATAAAATGCCAACCAAACGGCTAATTTACTTTATAACTTAGCAGATTGCTTACTCAAATAAATCCAAAAAATGAAATAACTATTGAAATACCTTTTCCTTTTCCTTTAGCGATTTTATTATTATCGCCAGATTGGATTTTTCGGTCTTTAGTTTGGGTGACCTTTAAGAGCGTTAAAAATAAATTAGCTGCACTGACTGCACATATGTAACGTTGACCATGTATTGTGTCACATAACATAATGACCAACAAACCTGAGGATTCTCAGCGCACGATATGTTCCTGGAGCCTTTTTCAACATTATCCATTGCGCATATTGTCGTACTCTCGTCGAAAATTCGATTCCCAAAACGAACCTGATCTTCAACATTTACAGTGGATTGAAGTGCATCCATACAAGTAACGGTAGCACCCTCTACAACAGATTGTTGAATTTCTGTTGGAAGAACAATTCCTTTAATTCTCAATAACTCTGCAGCTTTCAAAAATCCAGCAATTTGTTTCTCTTCTAGCACTACTTTGCCCTTATAAATGAAGGCCAAAATTGATTCCAAATCTAACCGAGACTTGACACCACTAAGGATAAGACAACCAGGACCACCCATATATTCTTTAGGCATTTTCCTAATTATTTTCTCAAAATATTCTGAAGTAGCAGCGAGGATAAGTTTATGGCACGAAATAAAGATCTCCTCAGTGGCGCACGAAAGCGCAATATCGCACATAAATCCCGTATCCAAATACTTTGCAAACGTGTCGAATATTCCTCCCTTGTGATGATTCCACTGGATCGTGTATTTCGTCGTTGCGAGCGGTTTCGACCTCAAGGCCTCCTCACGTCCATGGTTCTCTGCGGTACTTAGGTGTTTCATCCTGTGGATGGGAGGGCGGAGAGAAATTAGCACATTAGTTTCTCGTTAATTAAAAGTTTCGGAAAGTCAAAATACTAAATTATTAAGGGCCCGGGGGAAGATTTACTTGATTTTATGTTAGCAACAATAATTGCCAGGGCCCCAAGATTATTATCGCTCTGTTAGGTTACGACCACAATTAATTGACACCGTTTCTATGGGACACTCACGTTCAAAAGCTTTGGTTTTGTCACTGCTTTTGAAAAAGTTTCCCTCAAGTCCCTCAAGTTTTTGAAAAAAGTTGTTTCTTTTGTTCCATGGATACTCAAAATGCAATTCCTGCCATTAATTTGGCAATTCTAAGCCAATTTGTCCTCACTTTACGACCAAATATCTCCACTGCACAAGAGGGCAGATCGTCAAAAAAAACTCAAGTAAAATCTAAAGATATGATTAACGCATTAAACATAATTTAAAAAATCTGCCCTCTTGTGCATTGCTGAATTTTATCGTCAAAGTTGACGTGATTTCTAAGCAACTTCCCCCAGGCCCTTAATGTTTTTATTATTGCTGTATTGTTGAGTAACATCTATAAAGCAGGCTAAATAATAATTATATATTACACGCCTGGTGAATGCAAATATAAAATTGCACAAAAAAACGTTCAATGGCTTACCTGTTTTTTTTAGAATTTGCGAATCCAAGGGGTATTAAATTGTTTGTCTTGATAAATCTGGATTAGGTCGAATAATGATATGCATGTGGAAGAATGGTTCAGCTTTCTGCTCGCTCGGGGTCATTGGATTGTGGTTCACAATTTGTGAGAGCAGGGCAATCTTTTCCACTCGCAGATCATTGCCCTTTCCTTTGCCGTTAGGATTTGCACAATGACATTTTACGTTGGACTATTTGGCTTACTTAATATACTCAATGATTTGTTTATTATTATCAAGCTTAATATCAAGTATGTTTGACAAAAATGTGCATTTTCAACAAGAGAAAATGCCGAAAGAATAATTAAAGCTCGGATGAAATAATATGATGAAATTGAACCGGCAAATAACAGATGGGCGATATTTTAAATCCAATAGTTTAACTGTTCTTTTGTGGAACCTTGATGGTAACCTGCTTCACTTCAGTGTAGTTGTTCAGTCCGTATTCTCCAAGTTCTCGGCCAAAGCCAGACTGAAAACATTACACATTTCACTAATTAATTACACACTGAAACTAACCAACTTTACTGAAAATTGCACACTTTATCTCTACTGCAGAATTTTATTTTATTATACATCGGGTAAATGTCGTACCTGTTTAAATCCTCCAAAAGGCGTTTGTGGACTGAATGAATCGTAACTTAAAGGAAAGAAAGATTCATAAATTATAAAATTATTTCGTAACATATGTATATTTCATATATAAATTTTTGAGTGAATTTTTACCAGTTCACCCAAACCGTCCCAGCCCGAAGTCCCGACGCCATATGCAAGGCTTTGTCCAAGTCTTTAGTAAAGACAGCTGCGGCTAAGCCATACATTGTGTTGTTTGCACGTTCAATAATTTCGTCGACATTTTTGAACTTGAGGATCTGTTGGACTGAATCGATCAAAAAATATGTATACATACATGTATAATATTACGGTGGATGGATAACAGCATAGCATATGATTGAGTCCATAAAGTGAGTGCATTTTCGTCTAACCTGGTCCAAAGATTTCTTCCTTTGCAATAGTCATGTTGTCCTGAACATCGGTGAAGACGGTGGGCTGAATGAAGTACCCTCTGTCGCCGTGACGGCCCCCTCCAATGGCCAGCTTGGCCCCCTCCTTCTTCCCAGAGTCAATCAAATGCAAGATTTTGTTCATCTGTTCCTCGTCAATTTGTGGTCCTTGAGTGGTGTTCGGGTCGTAAGGGTTGCCCACTATCTTTGCCTTGGCCAATTCAATACTCTTTCCTTAATATTTGTAGAAACACTTTAGAAAAATCGTATCTGAAGGAAAGACCCTGTACGCGAAGGCGATATTCGATAACTCATACCTACGAAGTCATCGTAGATGGCATCTTCCACAAATACTCGAGAACCGGCTGAGTTTGAAAAACAGATTAAATTGTAGTGGATGATGATGATTATTTATATTAACTTTTGTAGTAATAAAATCCGATCTTAGAAATTAGCTAGCTGCCAAATAGAATTTCTTGTGCTTAAATTGTGGTTTACTTTCATAAATAAAGCGACTAAAAATATCAAAACAGACTAAGCATTCATTTATTTGGTTTAGGAGTATTATTAATTCATACCACAGCAGCACTGTCCCTGTTTAAAAATTGAGATTTTAGTACCACCGTCGTGGTCATGATCTACTGTATACCTAAAATTTTTGAAACAACCTACTTGATTGAAGAAAAGGCCAAAATGTGCCATTTGAACGGCATAATCCAGGTCAGTGTCCTTGAATATGATATTTGGAGATTTTCCACCCTAATAAATTGTAGGGGAACTGAAGTTAGAATTTGTGGAGTTGTATATGGTTTGGGTGATCCATATTGTGCGTATGACTTATTTTGCGGTATGATATGCGTATATGAATGTTTGTTAACCCTTTAAAAACACATACCAACTCTAGTGTGACCCTCTTCAAATTTTTTGCAGCGGTTTGTTGAATAATTCTGCCAACCTAAAATGATAGCGTTTGACATGCATTTTGAAAATCTAACAATGAACATGGTATCGTATCATTGTTCATCTAAATATACCTCAGTAGATCCAGTGAAAGCGATTTTGTCGACCCCTGGATGTTCAACGATTGGTTGACCTATTAGAAAATATATCGTTACCAAAAGAATAAAAGTAGAATACATGAATGACAAATATTTATTTGTCGTGCGGAGACTCACCTGCCCCCGGTCCATAACCAGGAATCATGCTAACAACTCCAGCAGGAAAACCTGAAAAAACATGGAAAACCTTACAGGTTTATAAATGGAATTATAATTTAAATTTATGATTAAATGAAACTAACCAGCCTCACGTATCAACTCAGCAACATACAGGGCAGTTAACGGAGTCTATAACATTAGACAGGTTATAAGTATTTATAAGCAATTAGTAATAATCAACTCTAGTAAACATATATAAGATATTGGACAGTAAGGAATAACTGATCGCAGGTTTAAATTGAATTTCACCCCGCTCCCAATGTAATCAAGTGGGCACGTGATTCTAGCGCGAAAATATCCTGCGATCATTTATTCCATAACGAGCAATAGTGGCAGTGCGCTATCCAAAAAATCTTGGACACGACATATCTGCGTAGTTTGCAGAAAATCTGTAATTGACTTTGACCCTGTTTGCTATTTGCAATTTTGCAGTACTTGTATAGATTTATTGTCATTCGAGATCCTACGCTAAAATTAAAAACCTACAGTGCAGACTCCATATAGCCCGAGTCAGGGACATAGTCCCTGACTCAATAAGTCAGAGCCCGCTTCTAAATTCTTTTCCGAACTGACCGACATAATATCACCAACTTCCGTGTTGTGGATGGTTAAAAGTTTGTTAGATAGTTTCTATTATTTGGTACCAAATTTTTGAATTAGTTACAAATCATGTGCCTTGACCACCATGACCAGTGGCTTCTTTAACAACCTGAAGTTCTAAGCTGTATGTATGTGCTATTCAGCCTCCAAATCAAATTTCAGCTCGATATAACGATTTTTAAAAATCAGTATGGGTCACCCCATACTGATTGCACTCTGGTCACTTTGGTCTGGTTGCACTTTGTTCACTTTTAACTTCATATTCTTTAATTAGCAGTCATTAAGTATCATTGTGCCGGATTTCATCTTTTTAAAGCAATTTCTAAAAATCGGTATGGGTCACCCCATAGGGGCGTTCCAGATAAAAATTTTACCAATATCATATCATATTCTTTCATTAATCCTAAGACCCATAAGCAACCTCTCCACCAAATTTCAGTTCGATATGATGGTTTTGAAAAATCGGTATGGGTCACCCCATAGGGTCACTCATGATGAAAATTTTTCCAACCTGAAGTTATTTTTTTCTATTAGGAGCCATTAGCAACCTCTGTACCAAATTTCAGCTCTCTACAACAATTTTGAAATTTTGGTGCATAAGACCCCACCCACTCCGATGACCCCCACCGGTCAACCACTGGACCGATTTCGCCCATCTTCGAACTCGTTTCCTAACTTTGTCCAATATGCATATGGTAAAAATTTCAAGTCAATCGGTTTAGCCGTTTTGGCTCTATCGTGCCGGACAGACAGACAGACAGACGGACGGACATGACGGTTCCATAAGCCCTGACTCGGGCTAAAAATTAAACGTTTTGTCTGTATTAAAGTAAAATTACCTGTTCAGCTGGCTTCATAATTGAAACATTTCCCATACTTAAGCAAGGCCCTAACTTCCACGAAAGCATCAAGAGTGGAAAATTCCAAGGTATTATCTGACCGCACACCCCCACCGGTTCGTGCCGGGTAAACGCAAAATGTTGCCCATTCTGAAACAAATGCATACATTTATATTTAGTTATAAGTATTCATATAGTTTTCGTAGATTAATCAGCTTAGAGCTTCTGGAATCGTCCTATCCGTCTGTGCCGCACTAAGGTACAAATCACTCGACCTATTTTAACCACCTTTTGGTCTTAAAATATCCGAAAGAGGCATTGAACGAGTATAAGACGTGCGCAATCCATCCTGTGGTTGATGATTGAGGGTCATTTAGATGGGAAAACAGCACTAAATCTTAAAAGTTCCTTGATAAACCTTGATATTTGAAGGTGATTTTTTTTAATTTAATAAGGAATGAGAAAAATTACTGGCTCGGGGTACGAAAATTTACTGCGGGTTTTCTACTCGTAATTATTCATCTATACCTCTACCAACTGTAACAATTTGTCAAAATAATTTTACCATTGGGATCACTTTGCCATGATTCTGTAAAAGTAATAGAATATAAATCAATGAATTAAAAAATCATATTTTGTTAATAATAATGTTAGGATAAAAGAAAAACCTTATCCGCCCATCCGGCGTAATATCGGAGAACATCAATGGACATTGGTACATCCAAATTAAAAGAATCGTTGAATGGTTTTCCATTGTCCAAAGTTTCCAAATTAGCCAAGTAGAGCCGATCCCTTTCCATTAAGTCGGCCAGTCTATGCAAAAGCACTCCCCGGTAGGAAGCGTCCATGGTTCTATATATGAGTTAAATATTCTTTATATACTCTTTTCTAGCAATCCTGAAGTTAGAATGTTCTGCGAAATTGTCTTCATATTATTGTTCTATGTGTAATTCTTTCTTTAATTAATACGCACCTCCATTCTGAACCAAGTTTGAACGCCTTTTGGGCTGCTTTCACGGCCAAGTCCACATCATCTTTATTTCCCTCTTGTACTTCGACCACACATTCGCCGGTAGCAGGGTTCAGCGTCTTGAACGTTTTTCCAGAAGAAGATTTTCTCCACTCATTGTTTATGAAGATCTGCAAAACGGCATAACACTTTATAGATAGGCAGACTTATTTAGGCAAAAACTGCAAATGAAAATCAACTCCTTGAACACGAGCAAAATCCATATGAACCTCGTCCACAAGGAATATCAAACTCGTAAGAGATATGATACATCTACATAAATACATAGTTGCACTTTCAAGGACAAGTAACTTCACGTGCAGTGTCCATCCATATATATTTTTTCGTCCAAATACCGAATACAAATATTCCTATTCATATCATCTACATACATAATATATATGAATGTAAATATGTGTTTTTTATCGCGAAAAGTACACAAAGCTTTATTTCTTCTCCGTTTTAATACTATGAGCAGTGATAAGTAAAAAAAACGATAGTAAATAAATAAGGTATACCCCGGTAAACTGGATCTCTGGATTGGGATTCGGTTGTGGTTTCGCCACGGCAGAAAAACTTCCCTTTGATGTCTTCACTGCGGACGCCACTGGTGTGACGAGAGACTTGACGTTTTTAAACATGTTGACGTACCGCAAATTGACGATGAAGAAATTGAAATTGTCCCGACAAAGTTGCTAACAGTATGGCCAATTAACAAACTTCAACTGGAGAGTGGTTTAGTTTTATGTAACTCAAGTGTGCGAAGAAGAAGCGAAGTTCAGGTTTAGCAGCACATTACAAGGTCAACTTGTTGTGTATGTATGAAAATGAACAGAGTTTGGATATGTATTGTAACTGTCATGAACACATTTCGGTTTTATGCATAGGAATGGGGATTTGCTCTGTAAATTATAAAGTGTGTCGCGGATACTCGGAGGTGGGTTACATGTTCTCGTTAAACCGAACCCGAGTTAAATCTTTGTTCAGCTTCAAGTTCATCTGTTGCAGTCAATGATCGTCGACGTCAGAACATCAGAAGGGTTCATATTCACAATATTTAAATATGACAGTTACTACATATTGGGAGTTTTCATTTTTCAAACTCAATAATTACACAGAAATGAACATGTTAACATTGTTTTACTTCGTATTGGTCTTCCTTAATCATAAAATATAGGTGCAGCCTACGGTGTGCAGTGTTCATGGCCCGAGTCAGGGTCAGAGCTCGCTTCTAAATGGTTCTCACAAAATTATTCATAAAATTTACTTCATATTCTTGAGTCTGATGCCTTAGCTTTGTTATAGTTACGTACGGCACCTATGTTTACCTATATTTACCTATACAGGGTGGTTTAAATGTCAGGTTACGATGGAAAATTTTTCAATGGGAAAAATTCGTAAATTTCCATTAGTTACAGATTTGGGATTGAGATTTTTATTAACCTTTTAAAAACGGATTCCACCAATAAGGTGGAGGGCGATTTCGATCTCTTGGCGACGGACTACACCAATAAGGTGTAGGCCAACTTTTTCTCGTTGACGACGGATTCCACCAATAAGGTGTATGGTTACAGAATTCCGTTGAGACCGGGCTACATCAATAAGGTGTAGGAAAAAAATAAAAATAAAGTGACGAAGAAAATTTTCTCAGCTGCTCCATTCTTTCCTCCTTATTTATCGTTGGACTTTCTTCACGCTTGAACTGCAATTTTTGAGGGGAGAGCTGTAATTGGGGGAGTAATTGCATCGTGCTGAACATACAGCCAGCCAAAATTCCAGAAAAGATAGGAAAATATCCAGTAAGTGTTGTATATTTTGTTGTAATATGTATGTGCATAAATGTTAAATATTCCTCGAATATCGACTCAAATTTATTTCACGTTTCAACAGGTACTCTCAACTTTCGGAAATCATGGCTATGCAAATATCGGAAGGTGATGACGACGACCTCTACTACGACGCTGCTTCAGAAGATGATTTTGAAGCTGAGGACGAGTCTGACAGCGATATTGACGAGGTTTAATATTCTTTTCGTTTGTGACCATTCCTCGGATTATGACCTTGCTCTACTTGTTAGGATGAAACCATAAACTGGGATGAAGAATTTCGTCCACCCGTGCATAATTTCCAAGGTCCAGATGATCAAATAAAGGATGATTTTCGCCACCACTTTGGAACATCTCTAGACATTCTCAGAAAATTCATTGATGACTCCATGGTCGAAAAGATAGCTGTGGAGTCGAACAGATACGCTGAGCAAGTGAAGCGAACCTCTCCCCGTGCATTTATTGGTTGGACCCCAGTCACTGCTGCTGATATCTGGCGCTTTCTATCTCTTATTTTGGCCATGACGCTTGTTAAAAAATCATCTTATAAAGAATACTGGTCCACAGACCCCTTAGTTTCGACCACATTTTTTCCTTCTGTCATGAGTCGAGATAGGTAATCTTATATAAATATGTACATATCAATATATGCATTTATCACACATTTTTCATTCTGTACTAGATTTATATCCATTTTGAGAGCTCTCCACTTCGTAAATAATGAAACCGTGCCACAAACCAACCAAGATCGCTTCATTAAACTCGGAAGTTTTATGACCGACCTGCTGATGAATTTTCAACGCGCAATTCATGCCGGAAAAGTTCTATGCATAGACGAAAGTTTAATTCCATTTAAAGGCAGGTTATCCTTTAAACAATATAACCCGAAAAAAAGGTCAAGATTTGGAGTGAAGTTGTTCCTCGTCGTGGATAGCGCAATGCAATTTGTTCTCGATGTTCTTCCATATCAAGGCAAGAGCACGCAGATAACTGACCGCTCGTGGATTTCTCTTGTTGGATTCGGGGGAGCCGCCGTTCTGACTCTTTTGCAGCCATACTTAGATGCTGGTCGTCGCATCATAATCGATAACTGGTTCCACAGCCTCAAATTAGCAAGGATGTTGAAAGATCGTCTCACGTATGTTTTGGGGACTGTACAAAAAAGACGGAAAGGAATTCCAAGAGGTGCAAGGATGACTCGAAAACTCAGAAAAGGAGAGGTTGAAACCTTTAGTGATGGAGACGTTTTGATAGAAAGGTTGGTGAAATATTTCTATTTATTTTTTTTCAAAAATTTAGAACCTCTTTGTACATACAAGATGGCAGGACAGGCGGGAAGTGCTTATCCTCAACACTTTCATGCCCCATGGAATGACGGAATGGCCCTCCACCAACCCCAACAACCAACGAATGAAGCCAGATACAGTTTTACTCTACAACAAGACCATGGGTGGGGTGGACAATGTCGACAAAACGATAAAACCCAACCAAAGTCTCCGCAAGTCATACAAGTGGTATAAAAAGGTCGCATTTTATTTGGTCGAGCTCTCGGTATATAATTCAATGATTATGTACAATACGACCCAAAACGATCAAGTTGGATTCCGCCGTCTTAATTACGAAGCGTTCGTCAAATCAATAATCCACAACATTCTCACGAAGTTCCCCGTAGCACGGAAGCCAAGAGGAAGACCTTCCCAAAGCCGTGTCTCAGTACCCTTAGCGAATATGCATATTCCAGAACGAGTTATGAAAGAAAACGGTTACCCAAGCAAATCCGATTGTTTCCACTGCAAAACAAAATTGGGGAAGAGGACGATTACGCAGTTCAAGTGCCTTGCTTGCGAGAAACGTTTGTGCATTGGTAGCAGCGTCTTCAACTGTTTCAAATTTTATCATGACGAAATGGTAAGTCGAGAACATGCTGTTTATCTTTGCTGAGAATTTATGTAGTGTATTCACAAATAGTTGCAGTTATCGCAGCAGCAGGTATCGCAGCAAGTAGTGCCACTAGCGGATCGCAACGAGTCACAGAACACTGGACAAAATTCACCACGTTACGATTACAATAACTTGTTTGAAATATATAATGCATCCCAAAATCATGATAGTAATGTCATCAATGATGATGATTTACTGTTCGTTTAGTTAATTGTTGTACTACTATGAAAATCAAATCCCACTGTCATGTCAAAAATTTATAGTGTGTGCCATTTGGCTCAGTTATATTGTTGATTTATAATTGAAATTTCATGTTCAAAAAGTGTATAATGTTCTAATTATTGTTCGCGAATCAGTTCTTGGTTCGTAATAAATCAAAACTGCATAAGCAGAATATTCAAAATCGGTTTGCATTAATTCAGTCCTCAACTGATTTTATCACCGCCCCACAACTCGGTCTCAATGGTATTTTGCACCCCAGAAAGTCCGCCCTCAAGAGCAATAGAAACCATTTTAAATTCCGTTTTTAAATGGTATCCAGGTCAAAATTAATTAGTTTTTATAAGGTTAATTTTTATCAAAACTTATGGAACACTGATGACAAAATTATTAAAATATTGGATTTCAGGGGCAAAATTTTGGTAACTAATGGAGATTTGCGAATTTTTCCCATTGAAAAATTTTCCATTGTAACCTGACATTTAAACCACCCTGTATTTACCACGAAAGGATATGTATTTATACACTGATGAAACTCAAACTGCAAATGATCCAATTCATTCCATTGATCGATAGATTAAGTGCATGTAAAACAGGACATTTCTAATTTATATTTATGTATGTACATATAACGTTATGAAGCATATACAATTTTTCGCTAATAAGGCACGCACTAAAAAACTGCAATATATTACAGGTGACCACCCACTCACAGATCATAGCATGGGTTCATCAAATAATTCGCTCAGACTATTTGCAGTTGCGACTTTCGTATTGATAATGTTATCAACATCAACGGGAGAAAATACAGAGAAGATTTTAATTGAATTGCTGAAAAGCGAAACGAATTTATCACTTGGGGATTCATGTACATACAATGCCAATATTGAAAACGACCAGTGTCAACATACGTTTTATCCACACAAGTACCGCATGATCTGTGACATCAAGACTAAAAAATGCAGATGTGTCTATTTCCGAAAGGGAGCAGACTTCAATCCTTTGAAAATTAAAAACAAGATGTGCCTAAGTCCTGAGTATGCTGTTTGCTACCCGTTCTACCCCTTGAATATTACTCTAGTCAAGGGACCCAAGACTTTCAGGATGAATTATACCGCAGCTCATGAGCAGTGCGACAATGATAAGCGGACTGGAGACAAATATCTGGAATGCTCCAGACCCAACAAGGGCAAGTTTGTGCAAACTCACAAAGATGAGCATTTCTGCTTGAAAAAGTCTGATCGATCTGGGGGCGGTCGATTGCAGTTGAAAGCATCTTATCTAATCTTGTGCTTAATTTTAATTTCTCGAATTTTCCCTTATGTGTGACGCAGAACTTGTTACACAGTAAATTGATATTTAAAATCAATATGTATGGTGTCATAAATAAGTTGTTTTATTTCAAGTAGAAACAGCGAAATCATTTACATATCATATATATGTACCACATATGCACTTACCAGTCAACATTCAACATATAAATACATCAATTTTATAAAGTTGCATCCGGCATTTTATATTAAAGCTATAAAATTCAAATCTCAGAAAATTATTAAAAAGGGAAGGCTGTGCATATGCATACGTACATATATCCAAAATTTAGATTTGGCATAAGCGACTACATAGTTTTCATGAAAATTAATTAATCTTATTATTATGCATATGTACATAAGAATTATACTCTTAAATACTCGTATGCACGAGGGTTGGTATTTGGTAATTGGTGTGGTTGACTTGGCTGCTTTTGCTTATTATCTTTCTTTCCGCAACCACATACATATATCTTCATCTTGAGCTAAGGGAAAATTTTCTATAACGGGTACGAATTCTTAATAGTAATGTGTATAAACGTTGATAATATGGACGAATGACGCATATTTCCGGATTATTTACCACATAATTTATTCAAACCTATACATTAAGCGCACATACAAATTATCGTCTTTGAATGACATGAGTTTAAAACTTTTCCAAAATGTTAACCATTCCAGTAGTTTCGTTGATCAGTTTATTCGGTTTCAGCAGAATTCTATCCCAAGAAACCGAAAACTATATTTTCGACATAAGGTATCCTTTAATATTTTCTTACAGCAAAACTGAAGAATTTACTTACTTTGGTGCTACTGTGGCTTTTGCCCCCGGACCTTCGGAGTATGACAAAGATAGGCCTTCTGCATGGTAACTGCCAAACTTTACTGACATCAGTCTGATATTTAGCCAATTGCATAAACACGGTAATCTTTAGGATATTTATCGGAGCACCTACAAAAAACTCTCCTTCAAGTGGAAATAATCAACCAGAAGGTGTAGTGTGGAGGTGTAGCATTGGGCGAGGCTATGAAGATTCCACAGCCAGAAGCGAAATTTGCAAAATGGTTAACATTGATCCAGCCGTCAAATGTAGATTTATAGTTTTATTGACAGTTTTATTATACTTAATATTTTGAATCACCAAATCCTTAAAACTACGATATTTGTCCACAAATTTACATGTAGCACGCCGTGATGGAAATGGAGCCCCATTTCTGGAGGAGCACGACTTCATGTGATGCATTTTTATACATACAACTTATTTTATAATATTCTATTAAATATATTTTTCCCGATTATTCTTCATGCAGGTGGACGGGAGGCAGTTTGGAAATTAGGGAAGGGAGGCTCGTCACCTGCGGTCATCGTCACACTCGTGGGGGCAAAAGTTACATGAATGGGCTTTGCTATTTCTTCAATGAGACGAGTTCCTTGAAAAGCGAGTCTTATATAGAGCAAGACGGACCTCAACCAACGCGGCACTCCCACAGGCTGCTTCCTTTCTTCATTCCAGAGCCGCCAAGGACTAATGGTAAACAACAATAATAATAAATGAACCTTAATTCAGCGTTCTTCACTTCTTGCTAAATGCTAATACTTGGGTATTCGGTACTGTACTACCCCAAAATTGCAGCATGACATTGCGTCTTGGCAAATGTCAAATTTTGAATTCATATGTAACTGAATTTCTGATATGTGTCGAACGCACTATTCGCTGCTGTTTTTTTTATATATATTTATGTATTAATAGACTTGTATGCTCAATTTTAGACAAAGAGCAAAATTTTAATTTCACGACTCCCAAAGAAGATTTGGAGAGTGGTCCGGAATGGGGAATGGGCCAAGTCGGCACATCGCTCCACATCGTTCCGAAGATAAGTGCAAATGACGTCCAAGAGGTTTTATTGGGGGCTCCAGGAGCTAGAATGTGGTCAGGTGAGTAGTTTAATTTAATTGTTGCATGGCATTATATATTTAAGGATATTCTTAAGTCCTATAACACAATAATTTTCGTATATGTAACAGGAGCAGTGGTTCGCTACAGAGATAACTCCTCGAATGAAACAGGACCGAATTTCCGACTAAATCGAGACTTGAAAAGTGCAATTTTTTCAGAGTTTGTAACTGGTCACAGGGGGCTTAAAACTCAAAAGGATGGTCATTGGTTCGAATATTTTGGGTATGGATTATCATCCGGTAAATACTTTGACGAAGAAAAGGTTTACTACGCTGGAGGCGCTCCTAGAGGAAAAAACCTACTTGGTGACGTCGTGATCTTTGACTTTACATATAATAGCAGTACTGAACATGTGGATGAAGAAATCTACAAACGGCAAATTAACCCCATTTTAACCATTTCACCAACAATGGATACATTTGGATCATATTTTGGATCAGTTTTATTCAGTTTGGATGTGGATGGAGATGGCAGGGACGAACTCATGATTAGTGCCCCACATTTCGGTTTTGCACGAACTCGATCCAAGCGTGGCGTGACTCCACAAGAATGGTCAGGAGATCATGGATGCGTTTTCGTCTACTTTTTCAACGCAAACAAGTCCATTGTAAACTAATGCTTTGAATCTGGATGCCATTTATTAACACCTCCAAATAATAATGCACCGTATTTCACATTCACGACAGAATGGAGAGCCTCATGTTATTCAATCCAATACACAAGCTCCTGGGGCTCGATTTGGTTCTTCAATTTCATATACAAATACTTGGACCAGTTCCGTCAGAAATATTTTAAAGGCTCGTACTTGTAAGTATGCATAAGCAATTGAGATATGATGGCTTCCACAAGTTACTCTCACACAAATTAACCACGTCTCAATTGGGAAATAAATGCATTTGTAACAACAGATCTCATAATCGGAGCCCCATATGAAAGCAGTGGTCGAGGGGCAATTTATATCTTCACCTTTGTGTCCCCTAATTTTAAACTTGTCCAGAAAGTATTAGCTTCGGAACTTTCGCACGAACTCTTTGGGTTTGGCTCCTCGATCTCCTTGCCTTGGGATGTGGACTTGAACGAGACTCCTGGTCAATTCAGATTTAAATACATTTATGCAAATATGCACAGTCAACCTTGTTACATTTTTATTCCACTCCACATACTACGAACGATCGTAATTACATAATCCGTGTACCTAAACAGATATTGCAGTTGGGGCTTATCCAAGCAGCCAAGTTGTAGTCATTAGAACCCGTCCTACAGTTTTCATAGAGGGGGAGGTGCTGTTTGAAGATAAGTCCCGTGGCTCAATGAAGGACGGAAAAATATCTAAAACTTCCAAAACCTTTGTTATAAACTCTTGCATCAAAGTTGTGGAAGTTGTTGGGAAACCAAAGGACATTGGTGAGACGCAACAACATTAAATAATGGGCAAGAAAACTGTAATGGATATTGATTAATATTATTAAACTTTTAGACCTGTTTGTGACTCTCACGTTTGACCAACGATTGAGTATAAATAAGACCGTCCCAAGATTACACAAACAGCACGACAAAACATATCTTTATCGGGAAAACATTGACCAAATTTCAAAGGACGACACAATATGTTTTAGGAATTTGGAGGTGGTTATCAATCCCAGTGTAAGTTTATTTTTATACATTTTGCCATATTAAATTAGAGAATGATGAGAATATTGGGTATTGAAAATACTTATTTGGGAATAAAAGGTTCTTTTTAAATTCTAGACAGACATTGACATCTCCAAGTCGTACGAAGTAGTCCAATCCATTTGGTATAATTTCACAATGTTACCGAGCCGATCAGATAAAATGGAAAACATATCAATTTTACAATACAAAATTTCAAGTTTGGGAACAGTAACAAAATCGGGAACAGCAGGTATTTCGTTCCTTATTTATTGGAAACTATATCACAAAAGAATTCTGTTACAACCAGAAATTAATGTCTTAACAGAATTGGCAGATTTCCAACCAAATTTACCATACCCCATCCAGCGAATTTCTCAAACATTTTTTGCCGACATTGCACCGAATGACTGTCAAAAAACAATATGTAAACCTGATCTACGTTTTAAAGCAGAATGGTTTGATGTTGTAAAAAATCTGACGTTAGATTCGCACTCTAATCAATCGAACCCAATAATTTTGGGTTCAATATCCAAAGTAGTGTTCAAACTTGTGATATCCAACTTTAATGAAACTGCAATCAGACCCAGCTACTCTATAGAGTGGCCACGAAATATTGGAGTTGTCGTTGATGATGAGCAAATGGCGAACAAAGAAAAAGATGCATCTGACAATTTATTTGTGTTCTTGCAAACGGACAGTTGCAAAGAAAACAATCTGGCCTCGAAAATAGTTTACAACTGCATTTTTCCCAACGATATCACGCAAGCTGCGCCAGTGAGTACCGCATGGTTTGGTTCCTTATGCATAAATATAATACATTTATTGCTTAAATTGGCATCCTTTATCTTAACCTAATTATAAAATTTAATTTAATTTAATTTAATTTAATTTAATTTAATAAATTTTAAGGTGACTCTAATGATTCCGCTGAGTTTCAAGAATGCTTATGCAACTCAATTGTCAAACAACTTCAACTTCACTATTGATTTTTCTATGCGACCGAAAGATGCGGATAAGAGAACTCCTCCTTTAAGTTCTTGGCTGCTACTGAAAGCAAATTCTAAAATAGAGTTGATTGGGTCAAAGATGAAAGTCACGGGACTGGTTTCTAAAGTAAGACCTTTATGCATATGTGAAAATTTAGTAATTATCAAACTGGCGACTGATACTGAATAGAAACCTTAAAAATTTGAGTATTTGCACTGTAGCCTGGACGAAATCAAACCGAAGATGGAGAAATTTCCGGAAAAACAAAACTTGTTGAATGGAAACAAACTTATTGGGTGAGACTTATTGAGCACACAATATATTGTACTATTTTATACATTATGAGCCTGTATAAATTTATAAGTTACTGCTGTTGGTAATTTTGTTTGGATAGGTTCACGTTAAAGGAATTAGCGGTGTCAAAGTTTATGTCCAACTTGCATTTCCTTATTCCAGAAAAAATTCTGATGCTTCAACGAGTGTTATAATTCGGACTAAAATTGCCAGTGTATGCGTCTAACCAATATGGTTTTAACAAATTGTAAAGATATATGAATATGAGGTACTAATTCCCCTGACATTATTCTGTAGAACAACACGTTTTGTAAATCGGATCAGGAAAATGACCAGCAAATTGAGTTTGCACATGTTGACCACCTGCTCCCATCATCGGAAGCAGGTGGATCTGTAAATGGGGATGACATTAAGCCTTCTGGCATACAAGAAGGAAAAATGAAAATTTTGGGATTTCCGAAAACTTTTAAAGCATTAAATGATGATGCCTTGATGATAAAGTGCAACAAAAATCATCCAGATATTGCATTTGATTGCTTTCTAATAAATTGCGACATTATTGTACTTGGAGAGAGTTCAGTTGAACTGGGATTTGAGCTGACCATGATGAAGAATGACCCTGGTACTAGCAACAAAGTTAATCTATATTTTGTGTACATGGGCTCTTGGACGACTCGATTATTTTTATAGATTTTATGCTCAGCGAGGAACAGATGCAAGATCTTCTGGTCGTGTCGTATGGATATGCCAGGACCGTTTTTGAAGCTGAATTTGTGAATGACACCGCTCAAACCCTTTTCAAGCATGCAATTTCTCCCGTTGGTGCCTGGGTCTATGTAGTTTCAATCATTGTCGGCTTCTTGATATTGCTCTGCATTGGATTCTTACTACATAAGGTGAGACTTTTAATTCGCGTAGATCTTGTGACTGATCTTTGACCAGTCATAATATATACACACACACATACTACATACATATATATGCATACTGTCGTATAAAATGATCCAATAAATTGCATTTTGTGGCTTAGGTTGGGTTTTTCAAGAGGCAAGAGAAGGAAAAGTTGGAGCTATTGAAATCTGAGGTATCGCAATAAATGCAAGGATTGCATATATTTACTTATTATTGACACACTCATGTCTTCTAAATTCTCACAGGCACGAAAAAGTGTAATGATTCCAAATTTTAAAACGGACGAAGTATGTTTGGAACAGCAATAAAATTATAAAAACTTCAATTTATATCATCAATCTCAGGATACGGAATGATTATACTTTTATATTATTGATTACTTGTGAATAAAAATATGTGGCTTTTTAACATTTGAAATTGTGTATTTTGGATTACATGTTTTGCTTGAAACGTCCAACCAATTCACGAGCGATCACAAGTTTCTGAATTTGAGTGGTTCCTTCATATATTTGGAAGATCTAGTATTTTCAGAATAATAATTAATTAGTTCACTTTCTAGTTTTATGAGTGCTATAATTTTTGTACATTGTGTGCTTGACAAATTAGATGGTTTAAAATTCAATTATATATTTTCCATTTAAGAATAAACAACCAACCTTGGCATCACGCATCAATTTCTCAACAGGGTATTCCGTATTGAAACCATTTCCACCAAATATCTAAATAAAACCCAAAGCAATTGTTGAACATTCCTTACATGTTAGAAGTACTTCTGTGATAATACCTGAACAGCATCTGCCGCTGCCTTGTTAGCAGTTTCCCCAGCGATCGCTTTCGCGATAGATGCGAAATAGGTATTTCGTCTGCCTTGGTCAATTTCCCAAGCTGAGCGATACATCATCAATCGCGAAACTTCAATGTTAATTGCCATATCTGCGAGCAGATGTGCTACTGCCTGTAGGTTATGAAATATAGCGATTGATATAATAAAAAAACATGATGTTTCCATTCAAATTTAGGTACCTGATGGTTTATAATTTCAGTTCCAAACGTTTTCCGTTCCAGTGCGTATTTTGTAGCCTCATCCAGTGCTGTATTTGACAATAACTTTAAATATCTAAGATATGCATTGACAAAACAGATTTTATCTTTCACCTCTTTGTGCTAAACCCACAGCTCCGGCTGCAACCTAATTTTATAAAATCAAAGAAATAGAAACGTGCATATTATTACCTTGTAAAATATTTATGAACTCACTGGGGGCCTGGTTTTATCGAACGCCCCCATCGCGATTTTAAAACCTGATTATAATTAAATACATTAGTATGCATATTTATATAAATATTAATAAATATTAATTACCAGCTCCAGTCTCTCCTAGAACATTTTCTTGTGGCACTCGAACGTCTTCAAATGTGACTCCCCTAGTGTCTGAGCATCTTTGGCCCATATTTATTTCCTGAAAATTTAAAGGCACATAAACATATTTAGCACTATTCTATTATGTACGATCGATTTACAGCATTGTAAGTATTATTAACAATAAGAAACAAACCTTGCGTCCAACAGTAAGACCTGGAGTACCTGCTTCCACCAAAAAGCCAGTGAAGGCTCTGTTTGTGGGGACCTTGGGGTCTGAGTTAGTCCTGGCAAGGACAAAGTACCAACTCGCAACCCCTGCAATTAATTTTTTGCATTAAATGATGCCAAAATTTTAAATTCTTGGAAAATTTGCTGCATTCCATTCCCCTTCACTCGATATGAGTCGTAGATTCAGTTTCAGAATTAAACTTATTCCTCACTCTCCCTTAGTCTCAGAAAATAATTTTGTAGCTTTTGTGGGTATTGATGTAAGAAAGAAAGGCAAAAGAAATGAAATTAATTAAAAAATAATTGCACCAGCGCCGGTGATCCACATTTTTTGTCCATTAAGGATCCACTCGTCCCCTTTTTTCTCTGCTCTAGTTTTCAGCCCTGCAACGTCTGACCCCGCACCTGGCTCAGTTACACAGTATGACTGGAAAATTAACAATTAAATATTTACTGTGTATTCAGATTGTAGATCTGTTGATATTAATATTACAGCAACAATTGGTTCTTCACAAAGTCGCCCAACAAACTTTTTCTTCTGCGCCTCGTTTCCCCCCAGAAGAACAGGAGCAGCCTACGCACATAAATACACTATGTGAAATATTTCGTGATAACGAAATAAAATTCATACTCCGTCGATATACGTCGTGTTATTTACTCACGGCAAGTCCCGATCCTGTGATAGCCTAGAATCAAAAGCATATTGGTCTAAGTTTATGTACAAATATGATATAATAAATATGTGGGATATATATAATAATTAGGTAATACTGTCAATATTCCCGAACAGCCATACGAAAATTCTTCGGCAGCAATGCAACCTTCTACAGTTCCAAACCCTTGTCCTCCTGTGTGATAGTAACATAACTGGTTATATAAGTCAACCAATATAATTAGTCAACCAATTTGTGTAAAAACAATGATAAATTACCGTATTTCTCGGGTACAAAAGTAGTAGTGAGACCTAGTCCCCAAGCCTTCAATATAAAGTAAAATATTGGAGTATTGAGGAAATTATGCATCATACCTATAATGATCATATAAAGATAAAGATCGACTCACCTTCTTAAGAATTTCCCAGGGGAAGGCCATAGTCTTATCGAATTCACTCGCTTTCGGAATAATTTCATCCTTTGTAAACTTTCGAAGCAATTGCTGCAGTTCTCGTTGCGTTTCATTGAATGCTGCGTATACCGGAACGAGAAAATATTATGCAAACAAAATTACAAAATTTTCGCGTTTAAAATATATTGCGTGGCGTATATATTTACTGTAGTTAAGGCCAGGGTCTGATGCCGGTACGGCTTGGGCAGACGGCGTGCTCAAAACTGGGCCTTGGGTGGAAACGAGTCGTTGCGCTGATTTTAACAACTATAGCAAAAATCAAATTAAATGACAAAGTTATAGAAAATTATATGCACAATTGTGCATATAATTTCAAGCATATTTCCCATTGTTCTGCTATATAAATAAATGATAATCGTTTAGTGTCCCACAATAATCACAAAATGTTACTATTATTATTATAGTAAAAAAAACTGTGTGCTTACAACAGATTTCCCTTTCAACATTTTGAGAAACAAGTCAAACAATTTGGAAAAAAGTTCAGGCTTAAGATAAATAATTTTTGGACAGCACTGACAACAGCAGGTTTAATTTGACATCAACACCTCTGCATCATAGTATGTATATCATCATATGTAAATATGTAAGCAAATCATTCATTGTGTAAAAGGCAAAGTTGCTTTCCACAACAGCGAATAGTTGTGCAATGCTAGTTTCATGTAGCAAAGTCCATGTTATGAACTGGGTCCAAAGGTTCGTCATCGTCATTAATGGTCATCATGATATTGATGCTCGTTATCTCAATTTATATATTATTGTTTTCGGGGCAGGCACATAGTTCTTTGCATACAATACGTATGTACATAGGTATATATATATTGGTGAATAATGATGCAAAATGATAATAATGCATATTATCAGTATTTAATACTCTGCGAATACAATACCGATGTAAGATATATTTGCAATGACACAGGTTATACATGAGTTGAGTGGAACAAATCAATATTATTATTATATTCAAATTCAAAATTACATGCATTTCAATAAATCTTTACATTTTGGGAATACTTTACCCTGCACACAACATTTTTTGTTAGTGTTGTGTGCTACCTATGCTGCAGTAAATAATTTCGCAACTCTTTCAAATTCGTCTTCTTTTTTGAAATGATCTTGAACGAATGGATGATCAGGGTTAGCATCCTTCAGTTGGGATAAAAAACGGTTGGCAACCTGAGGAGGAATTGGCACAATTAATAAATTATGAGTATGTGCAAGACTAGAGTGACTTCTTAACATACTTCTGGAGGTTTCCCCACAAAATGAGAGTTCATGAAAAGATTTATTAAAGCATCAGCACTATTTGGATCTTTGTCGAGGGATTCCTGAAGGGATGATTCTGCCTCAGCATATTTTCCTTGGGCTGAATAAACATTTAAATATGACCAGTGCATATTTTATGACAATTTTTAAAAACTACTAGGTTCAATTGTTACCTATTTGGCAAGCAGCCAACATATTTAACAGAAGAGAGGTGCTTCCATATTTGTCAATCATTTCTTGTACAATGTAAAATGCTTCTTGATACTTATCTCCTCCCTGTAAATTAAAAGAAATTACATTAATATGTACCATTAGCCAATATAAATTATGGTAACTACAGTAAAGGCCCTACTGTTGCAAGAGACACCCACGCGGCTGCCAACTGTGTTAAAGTCGCATCTTCATCCTTTTCTTGCATATTTTTCAGTTCCTTCTTTGCCAAATCGAGCCGATCATAAGCCAACAATGTTTGAATTGTCAAAGCTGAGCTGTATAAATAGATTTTAAAATATTAGTATTATAGTAATATTAATAATAATCGTGCCACCTGTCTGCTAGTAAAGGTATTGATAACTCACCACTCCAGATGGTCTCCTTGATTCAGTGCCCTCAATGCCCCCTCATAATTACCCACATGATGATAAATCATTCCTGCGACAATGATGAGCGTGACATCTTCAGAAGTAAATCCAGATGCCACCAATTTATCCAGTTTTTCTACAACAGTATCCCTGTAATTTTGAAACAGATATTTATGTTTAGTAACGTAACTTATGTCTATGTATTTATTTACATTTCGTCATTAATCCACAAATGTTGTTGGATAATCTCATCACAACAATTATTGCGATGTTAAGCCACCTACCTTCTCGACAAGGGAGCAGATATGAACTCTGCAAAGAGTCGGATAGGTTGGATGGATTTGGGCGAGGAATTCGTCACTTCGTCGAGCACGACGGTAAACTTTCGGAAGGCAATGTACGCCCGATACATGAAGACGTCCCGAACTGCCCCCACATCCGGACCCAATCCCTGCATCCACATAAGCAATTTAATCATTTAATTATTCTACATATACATAATAGAAAGCATATTGTATTCTACAAGCATTAAAATATTAAAAATTATGTACCTTCAATTTTTGAGCTTCGTTAATGCACTGCTGATAGTTTCCAATAAAGTAGTAATTCTTGACGTCAATCAGGACATCCACATCAGATTGAGCCATCTTACCCTCGGAATGTTGCTCAATTTGCTATTTTATAACAAATTTGTTTAATTACAATTTACAACAAATTGTGGACTAAATTGACAGGTTTTTATTTTAGAACACGTCACCTTATTGAATCGAGTTCAAATCAGGTTCCCGCACCCAAAAGTGGGAATCTTGACTCTTGCCAATCCACATGCAAAAATAAAAATACGGACTATTTAATTTTGATAATAATATTAATTTTTATACTTTTAACTACCAAACGTATCAAATCAACGTCTCATCTTGGGTAAGTTGTTCAGTAAAAGGGGTATTGGAAATGCAAAAATTGTCATTAATTAATTAATTTTATTTTGATGTATTTTCTAATTTTCGAAAAATACTCATGAATTTGCACAATTTTAAATTAAAATTTTAAACTTTGACGATTTAGATTAACCCGGCTTGTGTTCAAGGAGTTTATTTGCGTCAAAAGAGAATCGAATCCCAGAAACGTTTATTATAAACGGGGCGAAAATGTATGAAGTCTATGATTGTTGCATATTATTTATTGGTTATGTATCATTAAATGTGATATATCTAGGTAAATATATTTTATAAAATTGTTTGCATATAGAGTGACCAGTTAAGCGAGATGGACATTACTGCGATATTTAAGTCATGTTTGGAAACACTTCGGCAGACCAATAAGGAATTGTCATGTATCAGCCCACTGGACAAAAGCAATTCTTCCAATTCCAGTTCTAGAACCGTAAAGCCAAAAATATTCCCTGGGAAGAAATCCGAAAACTTTTCCAAAGCTCGGGAACTTTCAGCGACCATCACCAGTTTACGAGACTACCTTTACGACAATCGAAATGCGTATTTGAATATTGCAGCTTCCCAGGCACACAGTAGTAACTCTTCTTCAGTATTCACTGTTCCTCCAGGAAGTGGGAAGAAACCTAGAACTCCTACCATGAGTGATATGGATCGAGACCTGTTGGACAATGACGTTCAAAAAATTATCCATAACTGTCAAAAGAAGATTTTAGAGTATGAAAGTTTAATAGAAATGACAGACACCATCAAGAACAATGTGCATGTTCGAACACACTTGGAAAGCATTTCAGAGTCGTTAACCGCCTACTTGAAGCAAGTAACTACAGTATTTTCAGAAATGAGGGCTGTTAGAGTAAAAAGAACAGTAGACTACCAAAACATGTCCAGGTTAAGTTCTTTGGGTAGTGCAAATAAGGGAACAGATTCATTTATTAATAGATCATCTCACAAAGAGAGCGAACTACACGTAAGTAATCATCGCTCAAAGAAGCAAAATTCTCTTGGATCACAGACTGTTGAAGAAATTGACGGGGTCAAGTCCCCCACAATACCAGACTACTTTCTTGACGACGGTGATATACCTCCAGAAGAGCTTCAACTCCTCGAAGAGGAAAATGCTGCCTTATTAAATGAACTGAATAGTCTAGCCCAGGAAGTGGATCAGATTCAAAGTAACGTGGTTCAAATCGCACAACTTCAAGAGATATTTACTGAAAAGGTGCTGCAGCAGGAGAAAGAAATTGATACTATTGGCAGTGTGGTTGTAGGAGCAACCGAAAATATAAAAGGTGGAAATGAACAGATTAGGCAAGCTATTCAGAAAAATGCAGATTTTAGAGTTTGGGTGCTATTCTTTATTCTGGTCATGTCATTTTCTTTGTTATTTTTGGATTGGTATAACGAGTAATTTTTCTGACTTTTGTATTTTGCAGCAATAAATACATGAATATATTTTCCTCATTTCTAAGCAATGTCCTCCGTGTGCTTATACTATACATTGAATATATATATATATAGTTCCGGTTTGGATTTCCGGGTCATGTCCTAAAAATTAAAGCTTAATAGAATTATGAATTCAAATTCTTCGAAGCCAATTTACCGATTGGACTGATTGGCAACTTGTATGGGTCATTTGTACTCTCCACAATACGCTGCGTATGAAAACTGACGATGACGACCACGTTGGACGCAATACTGACAACCAAGAAGCAAAGCACTTTATTATCTAAAATTTCCAGACCTTGCGTACAGTGTAGAAATCATATTACACAAATTCAGTTTCTTATTGGTATTGCATACGTGCATATATTGAAATATGCGAAATGTGGCAAATTTTTGCCGGCTTTTTACGTGGTTAGCCACAAAACTACCTTTTCTTTCCATAAAAGTCATGCTTAAACCTATCCTTTTGATTTTGTGGGTTGGCCAGTGGTTTTTAAACCATAAGTGACGACTTTTCAGATTTGTCAGAAATTTTTTATGAGACAAGAGTTACTACCAATATACAATGCGTATTACTTTTTCATTAGAAGAGCTGCTCTAAGAAAAGTTGATAATTTCCCAAACACAAAATTGATGACATTTTAAGGCGAAACTTGTTAATTGGACTAATGAGATTTTCCTAGAGACGAAACTATGACATGAGCTCAAATCGAATTGACGGAACTGTACATGATTGATAGAGTATAAAAACTATTGCAATTTCAACATTGATGGCAATCATAGTACCAACGGTATAGTAGTGCCATACAGTGACAGACAATTTATTTTATGTATCTCAATACAGCATTACTTACAACTTGTATAGTTATCAGCATGCAAACAGTAGCAATGTTCCAAACATCTCATTACATAAGAAATCGAACCAACCTCTCCGTCACTTGCAATACAAATAAGCTGGTGAAACACTGGAATGTGATAATAATAGTGCTAGTACTCCTAATTAACTTTTCTAACGATGGCGTAAATGCAAACCCCATCGCAATATTGTCCAGCAATTCTGACATAAACTCTGTAAATCCCTACAGCTCAGTCAGTCTTTATAGTGATACAAACTTTAAAGGTAATTTACGTAAAAAAAAAGATAAAAATGCACGTGGTTAGCAGTGATAATAATATCTCGTGTCCGCGTCTACATACCTTTCTAAAATACTTTTGCAATTTGAAATGCGTCTTCGCACAGAAAAAAAATCATGAGGGTACCATGTTTTATTTGGCAGGGTTCAAAACTGTTCTTAGGCAATCCCAAGCGTGTACCAATCTTATTGGTGCCATGAATGATGACGTTTCTTCTGTGGATGTGGAAGGGGGATGTGTGGTCCTCTGTGAACATTCCATGTGTCGAGGACGATGTCAAGAAATCCATTACTATACTTCGGATCTTTCAAGACTTGGTTTGAACGACATTGTGTCCTCACTTAAATCTTGTGAATCTTGAGAAATGCCAGTAAATAAACTGAATCGTTTTGAAATTTTATCTAAGGAAGTGTTGCATATTTTGATGCATGTGATCAGCTTATTATGTATCAGCATCCCATCTCAACTTTTTCGGAACTCCATGAGTTATTGCTACCAATTATCTATTACCCGGCCGGTGGTCTGTAATCGAGTTGGGATATGGCACAGACTAATTCATAATTGACCCGTTCCGACTGCTAATGAATTTTTAAGCTAATACTAGGAAACCACAACTATCAACACCCATGGTACACACGCTACGATGTCGTTAAGTTATTGCCATCAATTGTCGGTCAGTGCTTATCGTGGTTTAATTTGGTCGGCCTTCTTTCATGTCCATCTTCCTTCCAGTATAAAAGAAGCATACTTTCCCTATTTATTGCATGACGTTCCTAATTTGTATGATTTTTTTGTATACTTTTTACAAAGGCTGTAGATCAGCATTGGTCTTGAAAAATCAACAGACCACTCACAAAGTTTGCGCCTTTCAGTAATTTATAGGAATCAGTAATTTGTCGGCCCTTCTCAAACTCAACAAGAAAAAAATGCAAAATAAAGTTATTTTAGTGCTATTACTTGTGATGGTAGGAGGAAGGTGCAGTAGGGCCGACCCTCTTCCTGAAGTTCATGTTGTATTCTACAGTGACAAAGATTTCAAAGGTCTGTTGTGACTTAATATTCAATTTCTATTTTCAATTAGAATCTAATACAAGGATTTGTTTAATTATTTATTTATTTCAATCCATTATGCATATGTAGGTCTAAGATCTACGTATATTCTCAGTGACCAATGCGCCAATCTCAACGGACAACAAAATGATCACTTCTCATCAGTAAACGTCGAAGGCCACTGTATCGAAGTATGTGAGCACGTTTATTGTCGAGGGCCATGCGTAAAAGTCAGGCATCCAGTGGCAGACTTTAACAATCTCGGAATCAATGACCTCGTGTCATCAGTTAAGACTTGCAGCAGGGAAACAAGAAAATAGAACATAATGCACATAATATATATATTTCAGTTTCAAGGAATCTAAGAAATTACAATCAAGAGTTCCTATGACCAGAAATCTGCTGAATTGTGATTTTAAAGATGCGAGTCATTATAATTTTTAAAGTTTAATTTTTTAAATAAAATTGTTGTATTCTAGCTTACTGAATGCATTAAATACGATTCTGACACTTTACGGCATTAAAAAACGTGAAATAATGAATCGGATTCATGATATGAAAATTATCTTGGACAGGTTAAAAATGTACGTTTGGTACATGAGCAGTTACATATATCTAAGATACATACCTATAGGCTAAACTTATCTACTCTGTTAGAATTTCTATTACACCTTGTCTAATTAAAGTTTCACATTGATATTTTGGTAAATGGTGGACACAATTTTTTCTTAAAACAATTATCTTTCCATCCTCGGGCTCAAATTCTCCGTACTCCTTGAGGACCTTGAACTGCAAAATTATAAAGTTTATTACCTGGTCAGAAATGTACACATCTTCTCACAGGTCATAAACTAATATGTAACTATATCGTAAAGCTTTTAGCTTACATAAACCATATGAGATTTAGGAGGTTCCATATGTTCGGTTAAATCCAAGCCGTCAAAATCTCCGTCTACTCCGATATCACGCATATAATTGGCCAAAATTTTGTTGTAATCCGTAAAGTACTGCAGTTCTTGTTCTGTCATATTATTTTGATCAGCTTCGGGTAAAACACTGCCCTTAATCCATCTCAAATCTCTAATTCTTTCCAATCGGGTTGACCTGAAATTTAAAATCCAGCAAGCTGGTCAAATTATGCGATTAAATGCGAATTAAATTGGGATACCTACATTACATCAAGAGAGAGAAAGGGATCTTTTATTGAAATGCTGCTTACATATAGGCGAGTAGACAGTCTTTATTCCTCTCAAGAGCAGTATGGCGCAAGTAGACACCGGCTGCCTCACCTTGCGCTCCGGTCGAGGTGCTAGAGTTCATCGTAACGTCCAGATTTTCAGTCCTAATCAGCAAGTAAACAATTTTTAAAAATCAGTGGTTATCTTCTTTTGCAGTTGATAAATCCTTCTATACTTTTTCACTACTCTACTCACACATCGTTCTGATTTACTTTCTGTCCGATTCGATTATAATCTTTCTGGTTTTGATCAAATAGCAACTGCATCTCGTCCAATACTTGACGGACCCCGTTCTCCTAATTTAACACAATCAAAAATAATAATAAACTCTACACAAAGTATATATTTAAAACACTAAAATACCCATGCAGCGTACATCATATGTTGGAACACCAGTAACACAACCAGTCATTTGACGTTCTACATCTTTTACCAGTTCAAACGACCTTTCTCCAAACATTGTTTACATTAACGTGGCGTTTAAATACTAGAAACACTACGGTCTCCTAACTAAACTAAATAAAACTGCATGAGTGCTTGGACTGTTGGAATGACAAAGGAAATTGCTCCGTTTTTGATGTCCGCATGCCCGCCAGTCCTTGGGCTAAATGAGGACGATGTTTTGAGACTCTCACTCGACATGGACGCAGCCTCTGTATATCCTTAAATTTATTTAAATACAAATTTAAATACAAATTAAATACAAATTAAATACAAATTTGACTGAAAATGTACCATTTAAAATGATGCATGTTTATTTTTTTGTCCACAAAATAAAACCAAAATGCAGTCCGATTTTAGATGATTAAGATGATGTAGGTTTTTTTTAACTTGCTAAAGAATTTTCTAGACTCTGGCAGACCTTACATTTCTATAAGTGTACAGACGGACGCTGTACTTTCCTTAAAATTATTGTACTATGTATGGTCACAGTTGTTACCCATTTCCGTCATTTCCGCAAGTGGTGATGGGGGAAGGTTTTTTTTTATTAATTACACGTATACGTGAAGTTAGCTTTTGCATGTAACCGGAAATTCAATGGCAGGATTTCCTTTCAACGACGACGAACCCCTTTTAACTAATATTGCATATTTATATGAATGAACGAACCTGTCCATTGATCCGTAATGCGTGGTCGATTATAAGTAATCATCGACTACAAATACTTAGTCTAACCATAAGAAGTGATAGTAGAGCGTAGTATTTGACCCGGTCAACATAAAATTAAAATGTAAGTTGCAGTTTGTACCTGCATTCAGTGGCTATCATTGTTGTTAACCTCATTTGCCTGACTTCACTAGGTCAAAAGCTAGAGGAGCTTTACCACACGCGCGCGACAATAAGTTTTCACTTTTTACGCGAGACAAAAAATTCACAATGTTAGATATAGGGTAGAAATTCAAGGACAACTACGATCTGGTTGCCCAACCCATTAAATTAACCCTAGGGACTGTGACTATTTATGACATAAAAGTTCCGGTTGTCCAAGGTCAAGGAGGAGTACAGTGATGTCCGAAGCTTTGAACGCCAGAATAGCATAAAATCTCTGTCTGACGCCGAAGACTTTGGCCATACAAATGACCTTTCAACTTTAGAAATGAGATGAGCACGGAAAAATGATCCTAAGATGGAGGCCTTTTATAGTAGAAAGCATCACGCGCTACAGATTTCCTAGACATAAGCTAAGGTCAATAAATCGACCTCCCTCTCCCAGCGGTACGGTAAAAAAAGCAAACAAAATTTTCCATTTACCGATGGGAATTTATTTAAGACGGAACCATATTTCCACAAAAAAAGAAGCAGAATTTATTCTGAATATTCTTAGGGTTAGTTGATTACGAAAAGGAGGTCGAATGTTATCTTATCGGGCTGCATTCATTGTTTTGGCGGGAATCGGCGGAATTGGGCAAAAACCGCCCAATTTCCTCGATTATGGAGAGGAGATAGTTTTAAAAAATATTTGATTGACGTCATAATGAAGATGGAACACACCCTCGACCAGTCCATATTGGGTGGAAAGCCACCGACCTTTGTGAAGGGCCCCACAGCAAAAATGCAGCGAAATTCGTGAAAACCTGGCTGACGAAATCTATTTCTGACTTCATTTCCGATTTAAGTTTGTCCTTGGTATTTTCGAACCGAAATTGATTTCACCACCAAATCATGATTAAAATTGAGGAAAAGGTCTGTTCTGAGCCCCATCGAAGTGTCAGGGTCACAAAAAAATTTCTGACCCGGGAATGATACACTTTTTCAATAAATTTCGTGCGTGTTTTTGATAGAGGCTTCTCCTCTGGTAACCAATTTTTCATGGTCATAGGAGGAATATATTTTCAAGTCTGATACATGTTTTCTACGTGAAATTTAACTGGCTTTTCAATGGAATAAAAAGAAATTTGAAATTCCTTAAAACTAACCTAATATAGTCATCTACTCTACTATCACTTTTTAAGTTTAGACTAGGTATAATAATTGATTATTTTTAGATCACAATTACATGATTCACAAGATGCACACAAAATCATGGCTTTTGTGAGGATATTTGTTGTCATTAGATAACGGAATGGCCCGTCCTTTATTGGCTCCCTATCTGTCACATATAATCTAGGGGGTCAACGCGTATTCGCATTATTATCTCGATCGCAAGAATCTCTGTTTCTGTAAAGCAATCCTATCGCGTGATGTCATTCACATAATAATGTCCCTCTAGTCGAATTCGCATCGGGAGTATCGTAGGCATGAAGAAGGAAGCCACATAAATCCACAACTGACATGACCACCGGCTGTGACCCCTTCATCTGGGGGACCATAATCTCCTCCGAGACAAAGCATATCCCTAATAATCCACTTACAGATTTGGACAGTTCAAGAAAGTAACGTCATGTTTTATCTTATTAAAAAAACACGGTTTTGAGTTCTCCAAACCATTAAATTCAATCAATTAAATTCAAAGCAGTTATTCCAGTCTTTTTAATGCTGTTTTGAAGAAATTGAACGTGTAGCCAACTGAAGCAGGATATTGTCCAAATTAAATAAACTTCATCCATCTCACAAAATCATTTTCACCCATGCCCTCCCTATTCTCCTGTTTCATTACTATATTTTTGTCATTCGTATCCACTTTGTTTTAGTGGGAATTTCATGGTGGGGTTCTACTGCCTCCAGTGGTCTTAATGCAATTGTGGCTTCACGTCGTGGAAACGACCGACAAGGTCTGGTCTCCTGATTGTGAGAGAGGGGGTGGATTTCCCATTTCCTTCCCCCTGCATTATCGCGTTATGACTCATTAGCTTATTGTTTAGGATTAGTCTTGTTTAGTCATTGGCAGATACACTTTTCCTTGACTAAGCTTTCTTCCAACTTGGCTCTTCTTACGCATTGGTGTAACATACGCTTAGGTCGCTTCTTTCAGAAGGGTGGGTTGTTAAAGGATGAGCCTGAGCCAGTGAACGAATTTTCATTAAAATAAAGTAATCGCATAAATTTTAAGCGTGAAAAATGAAAAAGAAAGGAAATACTTGTAATTAGATGACTTGTATAGGGAAAGAGAGGTTCAAATTATCGATATTCTCCGAAGAAATCAATGTATTTATATTCCGAGAATGGTTACAAGGCGAATTGATACAGGTGGGTTTAACTGAACTATAAAGCGTCGTCCTCTTTATTCCTTCACATTTATCCAACCCATCAAACGAGCACCAAACTCGCAGCTTGCGACCCTTGCCCTTGCATTGTCATTCAATCAAACTTTCACCTCACTTCCTAAATAGTCTCATAAATAATACTGAAATATGGGCTGGGTCGTAAGTGTGAGGTCGTAAGCTTTAAGCAACACTTTCAACGCCGACAATGTCACGAACAGGAATAACGAAATACATAACAACGACGGGTATATGAATCATATGCATGCATGCATTTTAATTCAGCCTTTGTACAATATTTATTCCAGTAATTTTCCAGCAATTCAATCAAGTTACAATTTCGGCTTCAAAATAACACTAAAGAAATTTCTATAATTGCAAATTAATTAACAATTTGAGCAAGCATACATATTAATGCATATTCATTGGACAAATGGAAATTATTATAAACCCACCCCAGGCTATATTTGATAGCCAGATTGATGCTTTTTTCAGAATGAGCTATGCCTATGAAGCCAATTTCCATTTTACGTGTGAATTAGTTTCTGCTCGGAAACGCTAAAATCTCATTTTCCTCCCCTTTGAATTGTTATAAATTGAACCTTGTGATGTGAAAGTAAAATAAAATGCTGGGTGACATGACATATCCACCCCAAAGCCATATGACATCCGTGTTCTTTGTCATGGAACAGGTGTGTTCAACCCCCACCGTGAATCATCGCAGGTTTTTTTTATAGATGCAAGTTTGAATTGAATATGTGGTCTAAAAAGTTCTATTTTTTCCTGTCGAATTTGACCGAGATACTTTGTGGTCAAGATTCAGGAAAACTTGTGCCGACGACTAACTCAGGTTAAGATAAGTGCATTCTCAATAGTTCTATTTTGATTAGCTTCATATCCGACGTATTCGGAATCGGGTGAAGGCATGGAATTGATACACATACGATATTATTTATTATATATATTTACTGTATCGCAGGTACCGCTGGTGCTCATCTCCTATTGTTCAATTGCGTTGTTGACGAAGGCATAAAGAGAAAGTGCTGTATATTCCGATCGACTTTATCTTCCTCCAGCATTATGTTTCTCAAAGTTTCGCAGGTGCACTTAGCTTCCCCTCTCCAATTTTTGATATCAACACTCGACTCGACACTGACAGTATAATGAAAGGTTACACATGTGACGAACTATATGCATATGTATACGTTCTCTCGTTGCATCGTATAATGATGTACCCGTATATATGTATAACTTCATGTATTGAATTGAGTGGTTTTGTCTGATTTTAAGTAAATTTGTAAACACACTTCTTTCCCCCGTCACATTTCCCCTTGTCGCATTTACTTTTTGTGATTTCTTGACATTTCTCCTTTACCAAACGATACCGTCGTTCCTAGTCCTCAGTAATACCAAATAACTATCAAAAAGTAGACATCCCTGGTGTAAGCGTCTACATTTCATTTCTTCACAAGCTGTGCCACAGTAATTCACGTCATGATTTTGACTTTCTGTTTGCATGCACTCATTCAAGTATTCTGCTCAGTGATGACTAACGTCCCTTCAATTTTCCAATTTCCAATTATATCTGCAAGCAAAGCTTTATTTAAAGAGAAACAGTGCATTGACTATGCATGTTCTTATCGTATATATATGGACCATGTATAGCTGCTGATTGATTAGTCTTTGAGGGTGTTATCTGCTTTCGGTACGCACTCTGTTGAATTTACTTTTTGGTTTATTTAAACAGCCAATATTATGTTTGGCGTGGTTAATATACGTTATAATAATATGTCTTATTTGACAGTCGTCCTGAAGGGCATCATCCACTTCTTGAGTGTGTAGATCGATATCAAAATAATTGGTTGAATTGTAGCCGAATGTGAAGAATTTAGTGCATTTTTCTGCATTGTACGAGTGTGATGCATTATTGAGCGAATCCCTCCTGTACAGAA